GAGTTGTAGATTGGGTCAGATTCTCTGTTTGGGAAGCAGGTGTCAATAACAACGGGTCACCAAAGTGTATCTGGTCAGCATTCACCCAAGAAATGTCAGTTTGAGTTGCGACAGTTGACATTTTTGGAAACTGGATTTGAAAGACACAGCACCTAAATAGGTTTTGTTAGGAGATAAGGATGGATGGAAAAAGTAACTTTTGGCTTATGTGTTAGAAATGCTGTTTGCAAATTTAAGGTTTCATATTTTAGTTTCAGGATTTGATTGAGGACAAGTGCTGTCCGTCGCAGTTGGCACATTTGATCTCATTTGTGTACTCTGAAATGAGTTCCACTGCAACGGAAGCAACTTGTCTTGGCAGTGCACAATTTAGCCTCGGGACCGAATTTCTGACAACACTTGTAACACGGGAGTGGATTTGGAACATAACCCCCCACCCGATGGTAAAGTAACCAGCTTTGACTGGTTTGGGGAAACGTTTAACTGTAGTGACATCTTGGTTTTTCAATTCAATTACGATGTCTTCCTCTGTCATGTCACAGAGAAAGGGGGCACGATCTCTCACAATATCTTTGCTGGAATTCAGTGATTTGTGTTCAGAAACAACAACCTTTGTGACAACAAACTGCTAGAGACTAATTAACAGAATGCTGCTTCCGATCACATTCTACAAGGATTGTCGGCTGACGTTCTGAACTTCCTCACAAATACTTTGTATTCCCTTAGAGATTGCAAAAGAGTTCAGCTTTAGAGGATTGCCATCATCGGATGAGATGACCATGAACCTTGGCTTTAAGTCAGTTACTTGTGAAGGGACATCTTCATCTGATGAAAAGAAATCTTTTGTCTGCGTTTGATTGCTTTGATGAACCTAAATGTAGATTCAAAGACACCCCTGCTTCCCAAATGCCATCGAATGTCAACAAGTACGGTGTCACATTGGAAGCCAGGTTGCAACACCAGGGCTACAGGGGTGTTATACACCAGAAATAAAGACATGAAAAGCTGATGTTAATAAAAGAAAAAAATGTCAGGCTGGTTCAGCCCAAGGCATTTTCGTATATGAACACAGAATTCAGCGGTCCGTATCACCAGACTGGCCCATGAGCCACCACCTTCTGCTATAGGACTTAAGGCAAAATATAAATGTGCATCAATAACGTTATCATATTTCATGATAAACATCAATACAAGTTTTCCATACACAGTGAGCCGATTGATAGAATCGGGCCCATTCTTCCACCCGTCTAGGTGAAGTGAGGGTCGCGGTGGTGTGTTGGGCAAAAGAAACACCTGTTCCAGGCTCCAGTGCCCTCAACCACAAGACTCCCGTCCTCCACCGACAGAGGGGCGCAACCCACGGCAACGACCAGCAATGGGGTTTTAATTTTATTTGTCATGTCTGTTGGTGTAGAAGGAGTTGTAGATTGGGTCAGATTCTCAGTTTGGGAAGCAGGTGTCAATAACAACGGGTCACCAAAGTGTATCTGGTCAGCATTCACCCAAGAAATGTCAGTTTGAGTTGCGACAGTTGACATTTTTGGAAACTGGATTTGAAAGACACAGCACCTAAATAGGTTTTGTTAGGAGATAAGGATGGATGGAAAAAGTAACTTTTGGCTTATGTGTTAGAAATGCTGTTTGCAAATTTAAGGTTTAATATTTAAGTTTCAGGATTTGATTGAGGACAAGTGCTGTCCGTCGCAGTTGGCACATTTGATCTCATTTGTGTACTCTGAAATGAGTTCCACTGCAACGGAAGCAACTTGTATTGGCAGTGCACAATTTAGCCTCGGGACCGAATTTCTGACAACACTTGTAACACGGGAGTGGATTTGGAACATAACCCCCACCCGATGTTAAAGTAACCAGCTTTGACTGGTTTGGGGAAACGTTTAACTGTAGTGACATCTTGGTTTTTCAATTCAATTACGATGTCTTCCTCTGTCATGTCACAGAGAAAGGGGGCACGATCTCTCACAATATCTTTGCTGGAATTCAGTGATTTGTGTTCAGAAACAACAACCTTTGTGACAACAAACTGCTAGAGACTAATTAACAGAATGCTGCTTCCGATCACATTCTACAAGGATTGTCGGCTGACGTTCTGAACTTCCTCACAAATACTTTGTATTCCCTTAGAGATTGCAAAAGAGTTCAGCTTTAGAGGATTGCCATCATCGGATGAGATGACCATGAACCTTGGCTTTAAGTCAGTTACTTGTGAAGGGACATCTTCATCTGATGAAAAGAAATCTTTTGTCTGCGTTTGATTGCTTTGATGAACCTAAATGTAGATTCAAAGACACCCCTGCTTCCCAAATGCCATCGAATGTCAACAAGTACGGTGTCACATTGGAAGCCAGGTTGCAACACCAGGGCTACAGGGGTGTTATACACCAGAAATAAAGACATGAAAAGCTGTTGTTAATAAAAGAAAAAATGTCAGGCTGGTTCGGCCCAAGGCATTTTCGTATAGGAATACAGAATTCAGCGGTCCGTATCACCAGACTGGCCCATGAGCCACCACCTTCTGCTATAGGACTTAAGGCAAAATATAAATTTGCATCAATAACGTTATCATATTTCATGATAAACATCAATGCAAGTTTTCCATACACAGCGCATGGCGTTACGAGCCGATTGATAGAATCGGTCCCATTCTTCCACCCTTCTAGGCGAAGTGAGGGTCGCAGTGGTGTGTTGGGCAAAAGAAACACCTGTTCCAGGCTCCAGTGCCCTCAACCACAAGACTCCCGTCCTCCACCGGCGCAACCCACGGCAACGACCAGCAATGGGGTGATGAGGACACATTCTATCCCGGTTCCGAAATTGGGGTGTAAAATGTAATGATTCCTTATTCATAGTTATGAGTCGATAGCAGTGACATTAAGTTGAGGACACAGTTGAATGATGGGCCAATGTTATCATGTAAATTATACTAACCACCAACCCAGTGTAATGCATTCACCGGATGTTAAACATACCATGCTTATTTAGTTATGTATTGCTTTTGAGTGAGTGAGTGAGTGAGTGAGTTGGGTTTAACGCCGCTTTTAACAGTATTCAAGTTATATCACGGCGTGTCAGCTTAATGTGGGAGGAAAGCCCGAAGTGATGCAGGTCTCAGACGTTTACCACTTAGGTGAAACCCACGAGCACGGATATGGTGCTGACAAACCTAGAAACATAATCGGGGCGAACCGGGATTTGAACCCACAATTATAGGTCTCTGGCGTGCCCAAGGGACGCAACTGTGCACAGCGAATCGCGACGCCTTAGACGACTGGGCCACCCGTGGCCCCGAATGATTTCGAGCGAATGCTCCCATGAGTTCCCGACTCAGCAGAATCGTGAGGACGAGTTCGTAATTAGTATGGAACAATAAAACGTGAGTGAGGGAGTGACTTGGGATCAACGCCGCTTCTAACAGTATTCCACTTACATCACGGTGTGTCAGCTTAATGTAGGAGGAATGTCAGAAGTGATCCAGGTCTCACTTCGGTGAAGCCTACGAGCACGGGAATGGTGCTGACAAACCTAGAAACATAATCGGGGCGAACTGGGATTCGAACCTACAATCATAGGTTTCTGGCATCCCATTGGACGCAACTCTGCACAGCGAATTGTTGCGCATTAGATGACAGGTCGACCCGTGCCCCCACATTTGGATGACCTAACTCAGTCATTTCCCACTCGAAACAGTCAATGTGCGATTTTGCATCAAAATGTAAACATGAAATATAGATTATGCATAGTTTAATGAGACTGTCCAACACGGGTGGCCCAGTCGTCTAAGGCGCCGCGATTCGCTATGCAGAGTTGCGTCCCTTGGGCACGCAAAAAACCTATGATTGTGGGTTCGAATCCCGGTTCGCCCCGATTATGTTTCTAGGTTTGTCAGCATCATAGTTTGTCTCTAATCTGCATCCCTAAGTACGTACAGACCTGACCTTCCACGAGATGGTCAATAACTCTTTACTCAAGTAAACTGACCGATCCCCTCCCTTCTACCTTGTCACGTGAAGATTGTTGCATTTGTCGAGCCCAAAGGACATCCCAATATCATTAGAAAAGGGCTCGGAAAAGGAGAATCTGTTTTTTCAGTGTGGGCTCTCTACTGGCCGTACGTTCAAGGTCATCCTGTAAAGGAGGTGAGTAAGAGGTGTTGGGGATTTGTGCTGAGAGGGACGATAACCTTCTTCTTTGCTGAGCAAAAAGCTTCAAGGATTTAGTGTTAAACAGTATTTCAGTTATATCTCTTTGCAATTTGTCATCTTGATGTGGGCGGAAATCACGAAGTGATGCATGTCGTAGACGTGTACTGCTTTGGTGAAACACACACGCACAGGTATGGTGTTGACAGACCCATAAACAATTTAATATGAGATAACAAGGATTCAAACGCATTATTATAGGTTAAAAGGGTCTTTTCGAGTGTGAGAACAAAAGATGAATGATTTGTTAAAATGTATATCAACGTTGTGTTTGGGAAATATCTTGTTCATCACAACTTGAGGCGAGTTATAGTTGCTCAGTCGTGTCTAAGTATTAGTTCGAACAAAGCTATTTGCAGTAAACTGTGTATTTGTCACCTTTATATTTCATCTTTTTAGGACAGAACGGTAAATCATGTTGTAAGCATGAAATGAAGATTCTTTTCCAGACCTGGTGTATGTATCGAATAAGTATTCTTTACGAATATATATTCAGTGTCCGTGCCGTTAAACTTAACCGTTTCTGTGTTCTCGTATTTTGCACCTAAACGATTGACATGCCTTTGCATGTGTTTGTGCCACGTGCCACCGGTGGGGCAGGACATTCTCACCTTTTCGATAGTGATGCATAAACACATGCTCGTGATATGGTCAGAAACGTACAGTGGATTATTATGAATGTGGAAAAGGTTTTGTCGCTTTTATTTACATCATTAAATACAAAGAATGTCTATATTTTTCAGATTTATTTGCAATACGAACATATATTTATATCCTTCGTAATTCTTTTTGTTCCATGTAATACCCTCCTTTATACTTCCCCTCTAAACAGTCCCAAATATCCCGTGGCTTTCCGGGTAATAATTGGTCTTTAGAAACCCATGCTTGCCGAAAGAGGTGACCAACAGGGTGTGGGTGGTCAGGCTCGATGACTTGATCGATGCTTGTCATCGTTTCCCAATCGCGTAGGTCGATGCTCGTGGTGAAAGTCACTGGATTGTCTGCTCCAGACTCGATTGTCTACAAACCGCCGTCATATAGCTGGAGTATTTCTGAGTGCGGCGTTACATAACAAACAGAGTCAGGGGTGTTTGACTATGTACACAGGTACCGACATCACTCTGTACATGACAAAAAGCAAACATGGCAAGATATATTAAAAACCTCATTGTACTTCACCCAGTTCAAAAAATGCCTAATGTTACATGCATTGCATGAATACTATAACACTTTGGTCTTCTGTGCTGTGTGTAGTTGTAAGGTTGTTTTGAATATTCAAGAATCATACAAAGGTGCATTAAGCAACGAATTTTCATATTTGAAATTCCACACCTCCACGAATGCAGGACATGTTATAGGTCAACAGTCTATCTACATATGGGTGCTGTGATACGGAAAAGCCTTTTTTTTGTATCCCGGAATACAAGGTCGGTTTAGGGCGAACGCCTGACGAAGTAGGAGGCGAACATTTCTGGTACAGATGAAGGAGACCCCAATGAAGACCCCCTGTAGGGTGTTGGTGACGATGAAGAGGTACGTGGTAACTGGATGAGGGACAAAGGCTGATAGGAACCCTAGACTCCACGTTATCCCCATCACAAGGAACAGCTTGACGTAGACAAGAAACTCGCTTCTTTGTTCAGATCCAAGGATCCGAGCAGATGACTTCTTCAATGAACAAATAATGGTTGATGTACAGATGAAGAAGATGGTATTCAGGACAACAATCATGCCAAGCGGTGCAGCAAAGAAGATCAAGAGTGACAACTTGCTTGTAATCCAACAAATTCCTTTTCCATATCCAGGAGAATACACAGAGGAGGAATCCACTAGGTCCAGTGTCAAGGCTGAGATGACTGGAACAAGAGGGGACATCCATGCATACATGCTGTACGTCAGAAATCGTTTCCTTTTCTTTCCTGGTTCCCTGGCTCTCACGAGACATCTTGAAAATGTAAACCAGACATCAAAAGCAATGATGTTCATCCAGAGAAATGCTGCAAGGAAAAAGTAGTGCATACCAATGGCGAACGCTTTGCAAACTATTGGTTGTGTTTCTGTGTACGGGGCTAACGTCATCAATACTTCTGCGGTAAACAGAGCAATTGACAGTGACAAAATGCAGAGTCCGGGGCGGTTCTGTAACTTTTTGAAAGTCAGATAAATCACAATAGTAATTAACAGTGAAACAGCTGATAGTATTGTACCTACACGACTGACGATTTCTTCAATGTGTGAAGTGTTTTGATACAAGATCTTACGTTTTGTTGGAGGGATGCACCTGTCGTCACGAGAAGTGATGCTCTCCGACAATTCTGTTTGCGAGTCACCTTTTCTTGAAGCAACTGAAATAATTGAACAATTGGTGATTGTGTCGTTAGGGGAAGTTTCGAAAATACCAACTGCCTGCTTCAGTTGAGATCCACATGTGAACGTTGCATTATTGGAATCACAGAGGACTAAACGGCACACGTTTGTAAACGGATCCCAATATTCTCCAAACGAACATTTATTGTGGCGTATGAAGCTGGTGGTTGTTGTTTGGAAAAAGGATCGTTCTTCCATCGTCCCGCTATTTATATTTATATCAAACAAAATGGAAAATGAGTATGTTCCAAAGTCATGAAACGAGGGCACACATGCAGATGGCACATAGAGCATATCACATTTTGCAGACATTTCACTATTACATGCAGCACAATGTTTATTGAGGTATATGTTGCTACGAACAAACACCAGCTCCCGGTTAGATGCGTCCGTACACCTGTCTCTTAATGACTGACTTCCCGACAGACACGAGGTAATGATATTTGTGTAACATGGTCGGAAGCTGCTAGTATTACTTGGCTGATGAAACTGTAGTTTACACTTTCCATTCGCTAGAATGTCATTGAATGGGGTCGTTTCATTAAAGTTCAGTGATGACCGGCTCAAACAATTGACCCGAGGCTTCCAAAACTCGGCATCTTCCGAATGACACTGGGCGCAGAAAATATTCTTGTACACAAGACCTGTCTTCTTGCCTGTTAACGGCGTTTGAAGAAAGAGATCGTTTGTGTGATATTTCCTGCATTGCTCAGCTAGAGCTGTGTTCTTGCCATCGGGGCACTCATGGACAACGTAGAGTGATACGCCTCCATCAATGTAACAATTGTCAACACACTTGATATAGTCCTGCAGTCTGGCATTTACTGGCTTTTGTATTGTGAGATCAGCGTCGCCACAACAGTCATTAAAAACTGTGCACATGTCATCACAAAAACAACCCGGGGAGCTGTTGTACTGACCTGGCTGAACTTCCTGTTTTGGTCGATTCTTGCATGTCCACTGTTGTTCGCAGGTTATATTAATCTCATGAGAATTGGTGATTGTACCATTCACTAGCACCTTGCATGAAATACTAGTAATCACCATTAACAACAGGGTAGTCAGCAGGCTTGCACGCATCGTTCTCAGCTTATACAAGAAGCGTTGTTGTGCAAGACTGTCCTCAAGGGAGAATTTGTAGCTTGGTGTTCTACTGAATGTCTTACATGTAATCTGGCGAATCCGGGTCCACAATACAGGCTCCGCCTATCACAGTCACTTACGCAGCACTACCTTACACGCGGGCTCCCGATCAAAGCCTTTCTGTGATTTCATTCGTTCGCAATTGTAGCTACAAAATATTTTGTGTTTGATCGATCGCTAAAAATTACTTTTTCATCATTCTAATAAATTATCTCACATCATTTAAATGACACATGTCCAACCTTCCCCATATGTCGAGCAATTTCCAAGCAGTGCCAGCCTTTGGAGACTACATATCACAAAGTTTGATCAGAAGATTTCGAAGTACGTTATACGACTCGTTCTTAAAAGTTGTTTGATCAGGGTTTACAGCATTCAATGCCTTACTAAATAAATCTTTCAAAGGGTTTTATGGCAGACACGTGGGGGACATTTCTACATTTGATGCAAGCGTGTCACCGGTGGGGCATGATACGTGCAACTTTTAGAGAAAACCGGTATCATCACTATTTGATAGCGATTTGTAAACTCCTGCTTGAATACAGTGGGAATCGTACAATGGACTTAGATATCTTATGATTGTGGAAAGTGATTTGTCTCGTTTGTATGGCTTTGTATTACACGTGATTGCTTTCTCATGTTTGCTATGTAATTCATTTTGGTCCATACCACATTATCTACAGTAAGATTACAGATTATTAGAACGTATATGTAATAATAGTTTTATGCACAGCTGATTACTTTTTTGTGATACATGCAATGTGTAAGGAAGAGAATTTATGGATGTCAACTTCATTATTATTTATTTGTTATCTTATTACTTACCCCTACATATATATGCTCTCTGCCTCATAGCATTCATTCACCTGATGAAGGAGTAAACACATACACCGAAACGTTGTGTTCCTCATAATAAAGAAGTTGTCATCCATATATTCTCTTCCTCATGTGTATCACTTCTAAATGCCTTTCAAGGACCTGAAACATAACTTTAGTTACAAAAATAAATTTTGTGTTAAAAGTTGACTTAAACATTCTTTAAAAGATCCCTCGAGTATTAATTTCAAGAAAAAGAGATGACAACAGCTGCCAGAGCTGAGAAGATGGTGAGAATGGAATCGTGTTGATTCTGGAGAGGATCAGTTGGTTGTGATGGAAAGTGCTATAGGCCGGCGACCTGTGTTGCTTTGAGGAGTGATATGACGAAAACAAGACACAAGTAAACGATGCAATGTGTACACTACTAATCAAACCTAACGTTTCCTCGATCGTTGCGGTCTTGACCCGAACATAAACATCCTAATAAGAGCAGCGATTTCAGATTTATGTTCATGTTAAATTATACCTAATGGTAGATCTCCTAGGAATATCATCCTGTGCATAGGCTCCAGCACTCTTAACTATATGTGGTCAGGTCCTGTGACGAGGCTGGTGACCAGCGATCGTGATGAATCTGTTGACCGTGTCAGTTTGTCTGTCACATCCATCATGCGAACGGAATTACATCTAAACATTATGTGATTCCGTTTTTTACCATTTCTTCTTCTCACTTAGGGGTATAAATGCACTCGCTGGACATCTGTGGACGACGCCGAAGACGGGGGCATAATGGTGGACGCCATCGGCTTCATTTGATTGTAAATATGTTCACCATCACCACCACACGATGGATCGCTCAATATCCAAACCTGAAACTTATCTTCATTTTACTGTTACTTTACTTTAAGTTTGTGAGAACTGTATCACACTCAAATTATTAATGAACACAGATAAACGAAGTTAGCAGTCTCATTGATACTACATGGTGCTACGATCACTGATCTTAAACACAGAACCTACTCGTGTTCACAGTTCATTTAGGGGCACGGGTGGCCCCGTCGTCTAAGGCGTCGCGATTCGCTGTGCACAGTTGCGTCCCTTCGGCACGCCAGAAACTTATTGTGGGTTCTAATCCCGATTCGCCCCGAATATGTTTCTAGGTTTGTCAGCACCACACCCGTTACCGTTACCCGAGACCTGCATCACTTATGACTTTCCTCCCATATTAAGCTGACATGCCGTGATATAACTGGAAAACTGTTAAAAGCGGCGTTAAACCCCACTGACATTTCATTATCACAGACAATCCTGACAGCCTCTTCGAAGTAGCGGGATGTGGGCTGCTTCCTTCAAAGTCCGACTCTTGGATCAATGTGATGTTGTAGAACGATTCTTCTGCAGGCTAACTTTTGTTTTGACAGTTGTGTATGCCTATCTTTTAAAACCTCGTCCATTTCAAACTGGAACAGTAACATGGGATCAACTAACTGATACCCAATTATATAATTATACACATAGTTACAACTGTGTTCATTTTATTGTCCGCCATGGTCTGCGAGTTTTATTGCCCGCTTTCTCGTTGGTGTTATGATCATCTTCATTTTTCAATGAAAACTTCAATGCCAAATATTTTTTTTTAAAGTCTATTCTCCATCTCCTCGTCTACAGATACTCCCGTACTAGGTAGTCGTGCACCGGGGTGGGAATAAACGCCTTAAGACGAGCAAGAACCTGAAAATAAATAGGAACAATGAAATAATTCAGTTGTGAGATATCGGCCTAAGGTTAGGGTTGATGTGGGACCGGGAGGTTGAAGTGAGGTGAGGTGAAAATGGGTTTAACGTCGCTCAACGTAAAGATTATTGCACTTATATAGCGACGTGCATGTACGTGTGTGTGTTTGTGTGTGTGGCTGCTTGTACTAGTCCGGACTGATGCCGATTTATAGTGCTAGCCCACTGAGATTCCAGGCCGTAATTTAACATGAATACCCCACTCAGACAAAATATACTGACTCCGAGTCGACCAGTCCTTGTTTTAGCCCCTTAATGCCGAGCGGCAGACAGGGTAACAACAAGTACCATCTTTTAACGTCCGGGCGGACGCTCCACCACTAGACCACGGAGGCGGTCCCGGGAGGTTGAATGGTGGGAGGGGATGGGGTGGACAGTACAAAATACAATGATCGCACTTGATGGCTACACTGTAATCTTTTTCAAACGCATTACAAAAGTCATGTTGGTAAGCATATTTTTATTAAGTAAGAAAAGATAACCACAACAAAACAGATAACTCAGTAATATTATTCAGATGACTCATATGAATAAAATACTAATGATGGCTACAAGAAATCAGATTATCGACGTTATGACGTTCACAAACAACATTATCAAAACCAAACTCACGCAGTAGATATCACATGTCCTGTTTCCTCCGTGTATCAGATATCGATAACAAGGTGTTGCCGCTAGCACCGCATCCTCCATGCAATTAATGACTTGGGTCAGGTCTTTTCGTCCGATTTTGGCTGCAGAAACCAGTTTTGAATAGCAATCCTGCAGGTATTGCCTGCCGTACACTTGTCTGACGTCATCACTTGCCTCAAGCCACATCCTGTCGTAGTTCTTTCGATGTATTTCCATCTGTTAAAGCATACAGTGGCTCTTCGTTAAATGTGGGAAGGGGCGGGTTATGACCACTCAACTTTCGATAGAGATAGGAGTATTTATTTCTCAGAAAAACCACTCTCGGTGGTACATGATCTACAATTATATACAAATTTCAATATGTACAAAATGGCAGGATTTAACAAGAGTAATGAAAATAGGATTCGTAGATACGAATACATTTTATCAATTGTATTATACACTTGGTTAGGGAATTTTTGGAGGCCTTTTAGATCTCTAACATAGTTAGTGGTCATAAGTTTCCTAAACTGGAAACCGCCTCCGTGGTCTGGTGGTAGAGCGTCCGCCCGGAGAGCAGTGTTCGATACCCTGCCGCGCCATACCAAAAGACGTTAAAAGATGATACTTGCTGTTACGCAGCATTAAGGGGCTAAAACAAGGACTTGTCGGCTTGGAATATGTATACTGTGTCTGATTGGGGTATTCATGTTAAACTGCGGCATGGTATCTCAGTAGGCTAGCTCTATAAATCGGCATCAGTCCGAACCAGTACAAGCAGCCACACACGCACGCACGCACGCACGCACGCATGCATGCACGCACGCACGAACGCACGCACGCACGCACACACACACACATGCACACATGCACGTCGCTATATAAGTTCTTTGACGCGACAAGAAACCCGATTTCACCTCACCTTAAAAGCGAACAGGTTCTGAAACCTTTTTATTTAAGAGTTCATATCGTTGTAGGAGAAAAGTTTCACGTGTCAGTAAAATTAATAATGAAACTCATCTTCCACAGCGATTGAACCACACAGTGGACACTGGAATGTTCAGCCATCGACCATTTTCAACGATTTATCTATGATTAGTAGTTCTCAATATTAATACATAACAGGGATAAATATTGATTTTGAGAGTAAAAGATAATTATCAAACGGAGGTTGGTTCTTCAGGTACTTCTAAAACGGCCCTCTAGAGCTTGATGCAACAGTGGATTTCGAGTTCGGAAGGAATTGAGATCTAAATATTTTCAACCTTTAAGGCCAGCCATGGCCTGGAAAATACCGATGGGTTTTCAAATACATACGATAGGCCGCAGTTATCTAATACATTCTTAATAAATTCCAACCATGGGATATTTTCAACTTCTTTATGGAAAGTATACATGTATTTGTAAAGTGTTCGGGACGGTTTATAATACACTTCTGTAGAAGCAAGCTTATGCCAAAAGGAAAAGACCGCCTATGTGGTCTAACGGTAGGGCCTATACCCCGAGAGAGGAAGTCCGGGGTTCGATCCCCGGCCGCGTCATACCAGAAGATGGTACTTGTTGTTTCCCTGTCTAGCGCTGAGCATTAAGGGGCTTAAACAAGGACAAGGACACACACACACACACACACACACACACACACACACACACACACACACACACACACACACACACACACACACACACTGGTATGTATGTCGCTATGTAAGTGCAATAATCTTGGACATGAAGATAACCCCTTTTTCACCCCACCTCACCCAAAAGGAAATACCAGTGACATGTTTATATATTTTAACACGTAGTGGTTTCCGGCCCAATTCACCATACAACATAACATTTAGGGTTGTGTTTTGATAACCAGGTGGCTGTTTTCCCGGATATGTTGTCATACGAATAGCATTCGCCATGCCATGCCGTAAGTTGTCACAGTAGCAAACATTTCAGTATCCTTATCGAGGCAGGGGAGGGGAGGGGAGGGGAGGTGTGTGTCTGACGTATATATATTTTTTTTCATGTATTTTCGGGGTCAATTTAGTTTTTTCATACAACCCCAGGCTCCCGTTAATTCGAATCCATGATTCGCCGTGATCGTATTTCTTGGTTTCCAAGCTTAGTATGTTAACTATAAATGATGTTAGCCATACACTGTCAATGTACATGTAAAGAATTGCAATATTTGTGTAACATTCATGTTAAGTACACATGATGTTAGCCATACACTGTAAATGTACATGAAAAGATATGCAATATTTGTGTAACATTCATGTTAACTGCACATGAAATCCCGGTTAGTCAGATACTGTCAATGTACATGTAAAGAGATGCAATATTCGTGTAACATTCATGTTAACCATACATGATATTAGCCATACACTGTAAATGTACATGTAAAGAGATGCAATATTCGTGTAACATTCATGTTAACCATACATGATGTTAGCCATACACTGTAAATGTACATGTAAAGATATGCAATATTCGTGTAACATTCATGATAACCATACATGATGTTAGCCATACACTGTAAATGTACATGTAAAGATATGCAATATTCGTGTAACATTCATGTTAACCATACATGATGTTAGCCATACACTGTAAATGTACATGTAAAGATATGCAATATTCGTGTAACATTCATGTTAACTGCACATGAAATCGGATTGGCCATACACTGTCAATGTACATGTAAAGATATGCAATATTCGTGTAACATTCATGTTAACCATACATGATGTTAGCCATACACTGTAAATGTACATGTAAAGAGATGCAATATTCGTGTAACATTCATGATAACCATACATGATGTTAGCCATACACTGTAAATGTACATGTAAAGATATGCAATATTCGTGTAACATTCATGTTAACCATACATGATGTTAGCCATACACTGTAAATGTACATGTAAAGATATGCAATATTCGTGTAACATTCATGTTAACTGCACATGAAATCGGATTGGCCATACACTGTCAATGTACATGTAAAGATATGCAATATTCGTGTAACATTCATGTTAACCATACATGATGTTAGCCATACACTGTAAATGTACATGTAAAGAGATGCAATATTTGTGTAACATTCATGTTAACTGCACATGAAATCCGATTGGCCATACACTGTAAATGTACATGTAAAGAGATGCAATATTTGTGTAACATTCATGTTAACTGCACATGAAATGCGATTGGCCATACACTGTCAATGTACATGTAAAGAGATGCAATATTTGTGTAACATTCATGTTAACTGCACATGAATCACTTGCTTGATAACTGTGTTAGAACCTACACCGAAACGTCGCTCTTAATTGTAATAAAGAAGTTGTTCATCCATAAATTCTTATCCTTACTTAGTACTCCAACTTCTAAATGCCTATCAAAGAAGTCAAGAGTACAGATGTCGATAGTGTCAAATTGTGTACTAAATTCAGACATATACTCTGTGATTCGCTCGTCACGCCGAAAGCCTTGGTTCGATTTTCCACATTGTGTGAAGCGCATTTCATATGTCCCGCCGTGATATTTCTGGAAGATTGCTACAAGCGGCGTAAAACCTACTCACTCACACGATCGAACAGCTCACATTTCCCAACATCCCCGTTCCTCCACCATAGTCTCCAGGTTCTATTATGGACACTTTGATTCCGAAACGTGCCATTTCCAATCGGAGTGAATCTGAGAACGCCTCCCCTGCGAATTTAGTCATGTGATAGGCAGCACTGTGGGTGGTGCAGATTAAACCCTTGACGCTTGTCACGTTAACAATTCGACCTGAAACGAACAAGCTCTGATTTATGCATATTTTCAACTGGAAATATGATGAAAAGAGATAACCCCATCTTTGATTTGGCAAAACCGCTCGAGTTCGAGAGTAGAGTTATCCCCCTTGTCATGTGTAAAACGCAAGCTCCTTCCCAGTGCGTGTCTCCTTTGTTACCTCATTACCCTCATATTTGATGACATGACATGACATGACCTGACATGACGTGACGTGACGAGACGTGACGTGACGTGACGTGACGTGCTGTGCCGTGCCGTGCCGTGACGTGACGTGACATGACTAATATAATACAATACAATACAATATAATACTATAATAGTTACAGACGAGAACAACACATTTGGATAAGATAATCATTGCAAAATATATCTATTCTTTTTATTATTCTCCTATTTCAGCAGTTGTATATACCTTGGCATTTTCTGATGAGAGGCAAAAAGAATTTCGTCACGCGCACCATGCCAAACATATTGACTTCCGCTGCCTGTTTGAAATCGTCCATAGTGTAGAACTCTACGTCGCCAAGCGGCATGACTCCTGCATTGTTGACAACAGCCCAAAGGCCTAGAAAAAGAAAGGTATATTCATGGATACATCGATGTCCGCACATTTACATAATGAATTTACGCAATGTTTCCTGCCGTGATATCATGTTGCTAAACTAAAAAGTCATGAACAAACATTAATAAACGCTTGCAATTAATGTATACTTGTAAACACACCTGCTTCGCCAACAACTCCTCGCACATGTTCCATACATTGTCTGACGCTGTTATCGGAAGTGACGTCAAGAGCCAGCACGTGCATGCGTTCAGAAGAGACTCGTTTTAGTTCAGAAGCTCCGTCCCCTCGTTCTAACAGACATGTCGCTATTACATTACAACCTCGTTCATCCAGACGTTGTGCCAACTGATGACCAAAACCTGAAGAACATAATTGTAGAAAATGACCTTCAGTGATATGTCTAAAGAAAGCCCAAACATGCTTCGTATTGTAATCCGGGTTAGTTATAAACACATACTCTCAATAAAAAGAAACACAATAGGCATATTTTGGCCATAAAAGCAAAATAAGCACAGCAAGGACATGCAAACCATTAGTCGGGAAACACGTACGATTCGGAAAAACGCACCCAGTGCATTAACAAAAAGGCCATGGACCTGCACGTACTGCACGTGCAGCAGCACTTTGAACGGCCGAATGCAGGCAGGGAAATCCCTGGAAATCAGTTGTAGCCAGGGTTTTCAATGTAGCGCCCAGCACCACTACAAGGTTATGGGATCGGTTTTAACTGCATGGGTCAACAAGGTCGGTAGGACCAAGAGTAACCAACATTGCTTAAGATCGCTACATCCAACTGCGCCACCTACGTGAAAGGACGACCACAGCAACATCAACCGCATCCCAAATGCCAAGAAGCTCCGACCAGACCGTACGAAACCGTTTAAGAGTAGCATGTCTACGAGCAAGACGTCCTGTTCGATGCGTCATATTGAGTCGACAACATCGTCAACAACGACTACATTGGTGTCGTCAACAAAGAGTATGGCCTCAACTGCGATGGAAGGATGTCTGGTTCAGCGACGAATCAAGATTTCTCCTCCGTCGAGAGGATGGAAGAGCTTGGGTCTACAGACGTCGGGGAGAACGTTACGCCGGAAGTTACGTACAGGAAGTGGACAGATTTGGTGGTGGTAGCGTTATGATGTGGGCGGGTATCTCTCATCATGACAGGACAGGTTTGGTCCTTATCCAGGGCAATCTTACGGCTCAACGATACATCAACGATATTCTCCTACCACACGTCCTCCCAACGGCAAAGGTGTATTCCAGCAGGACAACGCTCGATCGCATACATCACGGATCACAAGAGCCTGTCTACACAACAACAACGTTGATGTTGCCCCCTGACCCTCCAGAACCCCGGATTTGAACCCGATAGAGCACCTGTGGGATGACTTGGATAGACGTCTACGCCGACGTCAACCACAGCCCCAGACGTTGCAGCAGTTGGTTTTTGCGTTTCAGGCCGAGTGGGCTACTATTCCCCAGGATATGGTTCGCATACTCCTCTCTTTCATTGGCAGGAGATGTCAGGCCGCTATCGATTCCAACTGGGGGCATACGCATTATTGATGGTAGCTGACCTTCAACTTGAACTTTTCCTATTTACCGATAACTGAGATGACTACAATCACCAAGTGTTCTCTCCACAACACTTTGGCTTAATACCATGTACGGTTCCTCGTGTAAATGTATTTTCCTACCTCACACAAATCTGGCTTTGCGTTTCTTTTTTTGAAGAGTATATAATACGGTACATACGGCTAAATGAAATCATATTCGCAAACATAACAATATTATGTGCAATTCATATTCCAATGACTCCCTTGGTGCTTTTATATTATATGTATATCGTGGAAAATGAAAATACCACTTTGCGAACTTGTTGACAGAATTGTATTTCAGTCTTTTTGTTAAGTTTTCCGCGTTTGATGTTGGCCTGGCATCTGAAACAATGTACTAGTGGGTATCTGTTCCGACGTAAAACCTCCTTAACGTCGACGGAAGTTTTAGCCATATGGGCTGTGATTCGGAAGGATCTCATTTAAATATCCAGATGGGGCTCTGTACACTTGCTCTATTAACGGAAAGGATCCATTGTTCTGTTCCTGGTACACACAATCTACCGCATTCGTAACCGCTCGTGTCATTCCGGAACAAGCGAATGTCGACTCCATTCGTGACCAACTCGTGTTATTCCGGGACAAGCCGAAAAGCGACTCGTGCCTCTCTTGTGGCTTAATGTGGGAGGAAAGCCCGAAATAATGCAGGTCTTGGACGTTTACAACTTCGGTGAAACCCACGAGCACGGGTATGGTGCTAACAAACCTAGAAACATAATCGGGGTGAACCGGGATTCGAACCCACGATCATATGTATCTGGCGTGCCCAAGGAACGCAACTCTGCACAGCGAATCGCGGCGCCTTACACGACTGGGCCACCCGTGCCCCCGCATCGCTAAACGAATTGTCAACTCGTTGCGTAATGATTCACGTTCATTTCACTCATATATCATATATATTCCTGATGCTACTGAAAACACATTGGGACTTACATTATTATACTGTATAGTTGATCACATTTTAATGTATCTTGGGTATATTTTTAAATGCAAGACATATGTAAAATCAAACATTATGCCTGAGGGATTCTTTGGTCAAAGTAATTGAAGTCATACGCGCATTCTGATTGGTTTGTCGTATTTTCGCACATTAAATTCTTCGATAGGGGGACCAGTCTTCTTGTAGGTTTCGGAAAGGGGCGAGTGGTGACGCATGTGTCGACTCGTGTCTCTCGCGTGGCCAGTTTACTGACTGGGTTCCATCTCAGCGCAGTCTTATATGTTACGGAAAGGGGAGAAGTGTTGATCTGGAAAGCCTACATATCTGTTCTACATATCGGTCCAACTCGAAGCACCACCTACCCAAATTCGACAGAATACAGAAAATTAAAAAATACACTTATTTGAATTTATGTTAATATTTGTCAGGAAGCATCATCATCATGTTTATGTTCGACTGACCCAATAATTGCTATATATTAAAATAAAAATATCGAGGAAAAACAGGCACCATCATTCTCAACTTTCCTCGCTTAAAAAAATTACGGGGCGCTGCAATTCGCTGAGCAGTGTTGCGTCCCTTCGGCACGCCATAAACCTATGATTGTGGACTCGAAACACGCTTCGCACCATACCCATGGTCGTGGAGTTCACCAAAGTGGCAAACGTCTAAGACCTACATCACTTCGGACTTTCCTTCCACATCAAGCTGACCCTCTGTGATATAACTGGAATATTGTTCAAAGCGGCGTTAAACCAACGCACTCATTCAAATAAAAACATTGTCATCCTTTAGGACAGGATTCCTTCAATTTCTGTGTGACGTTGAGCAGTATTTCAGTTAGACAACGACGTATGTAAATGGAGTGTCTATAGCACACTTACTCTGATATAATACATTTTACCCTTACATGACCCACTCATTCCCATCCTCATCAATGCACATCCCTCTGTAACTTACATGACCATACTGTCACGTAGACAGACCGTCAACAGCAACATCGTCACTGTCTTCACTGCCATGTCGGGTAAATATGCTCCCGTTTGTATTCTATATTTTACATACCATTGAAGTGGTAATATTACTTTGTTCTTACACGATGTTTGTATTTGTTTGATGATGGCATAAACAATACGTTTTCGTTCATGCATAGACAATATTAGCGAACGTCTGTCTTCAGTGTAACGTGGGCTTACAATGGACGAAATACTCCTCGAGATGTATTTGTCCATAGAATGCCATCAATCCCAAACACGAAGCTGGACTTACAAAGGGCGAAAAATGCTTTATGGTATTTTGTATAGAACGTACAGTCTCACTTTGAATCTATACCATATAGGATAACATTTATTTAACAGTTTCTAAGTTTCACGTAATCCCAGATTGAACTGTCAGAATAGGAATAAGAACATGCGTTTTAACCTTGGTGATGTGCATCTTTTGTCATCTACAATTGCTAAACGAGTAGAAGGAATTATCGAAACGGGATGCATCTCATTTTAAATTATTTTATAGACTACGATTTGCTTCACATGGATTTGGTTGGGGATTGATTTTGTGTTATTTCATGTAGAAATATGTTCACTCAAACATGTGTTACTTTAGCTAAACAGGCAAACAAGGCTCTTGTACCTATTAAAAGAATGATGGTCAAATATCCAGACGTAAACGTTGATACATACTTCAAAACTTTGATTGTAAAATGTTACTCATTTTGCTATATGGTGCGGAAATATAGTGTACAGAAGTAAGGAAAAGCATTGAAATTATACATAATAAATTTTGTAAATATACTTTGAGAATAGGATACAAATCTTCAAATGCTGCTGTATAAGGTGAACGTGGAAGAACGATAATGTATGGATATTGTATTGGATTAAGCTATTAAGAATGCCTCTGTGTAAATATCCAAAGCATTGCTATTTCATGCTATGTAAATATGATGAATTAGGTTATAAAAATTGGGTTTCATTTGTAAGATATACATTGTTTAGTTATTGTTTGGTAATATGTGGTTGATGCAAGATGTCGGAGACTGTGATGTTTTTATTCATACATTTAAGGAAAGAACAAGAGATTTGTTTATGCAAGAATGGTCAGATTGTATATCTTATTTACCAAGGCTAGATTTATATTGCACTTACAAATCCTTACTAAAACCAGAAAAATATCTATCATCTATTAAGACTGTAAATTTAAGAAGATCTTTAACAAAATTAAGATGTTGTTCAAATGATTTTAAAATAAATAAATATAGAATGTCTAGTGTCCATGACTTTGCTGTCAGTCCATGCAATTTCGGTAAAGAAGACTTAGATAATGAATACCATGCACTATTTATATGTCTAGCTTATACTAACTTAAGGTAAAGGTATTTGTCCTCGTATTATTATCAATATCCTACCATGCACAAGTTTGTAGTGTTACTCACAACAAATGACGACAGCATTTTATTTCAGCTAGCTCTTTATATTGAAAAAATGTTTAAACGTAGAAAATCAAAAGCTAACGCAAACTGATGCGCTCAATATGTCAAATATTATCCAACCATCTGTACTATTGGACTCATGGCCAGACTATACGAAATAAATTCTGATTATGTGCAACATTGAGAAAAAAATGCTTTCTTTTGGGACGAACGAATAAATATGTCCATGGTCAATAATTCAGTTTAGACAAGGAGGTAAATCGCTAGAAAAATACATACCGTTATGCAGAGTGAAGTTTGCAGTGGTTCGGCGACAGTTTTCAGGAGAGACCGTTTTGACAAAAAAATAAATAATGTTTCGTCAAATCCGATTTTCATGTGTATAGTTCTTTTACCCGACAGTTTCTAAAATCCCGATTTAGAAAAATACTATTTCGTGCCATTGTTTTTCTTCATACTTAAACCACCTGCCCTTTCCCTTTTTAGAGCTCTCAACACCATTCTAGCGATGAATAACGATTCGGAATCGATTTCTATATATATCTTTAACAACAACAACTAACTCATCAGTTGTACTTAACCGATACAAAAGGCAATATTTGTTGCTGTCTTCCGCACGCACCTTCTCTGAGAAGCCAAGTAGACGGACAATAACAAAATATTATTGAATTCCCCACAGAGAATATACATTTTACCAATGTCATATGTACGTTTCAGATATGTTTTATCCAATGGACAACAATTCGTCGTTTTCTAATATGACAACAGCCACCGAGTCATCATCTAAAATTAACGAAGCATCGCCAAGCAACGACCTTGATGTGACCAAATACATACTGGATTTGGAAGCAGAAAGGAGGGCCATCTTGCAACCTGCAATCTTCTTTACTGGACTCGTCGGTCCGATTTCTTTCTTCGGCAACATTACGATTCTCATAGTGTATTCCAGACAGTTTAAGGAAAGTGCCACAAGAAGCTTCATTTTAACCGTAGCTCTGTTCGATTTGCTGAGCACATCAATAGCTCTACCCGCTGAGATCTTTTCACTGTTGAACAATGCGTCTTTTCCAAGCCCAATCTTGTGTAAATGTTATGTGTTTGTGGAACAATTCTGCGCCACTGCATCGTCCGGAGCACTGGTTGTGTTCGCTGGCCATCGATTCAGAAAGATTTGTACTCCTTTAAAGAATCAGATGACTGTCACAACAGCTCGCAGTTTTAGACTCTGTGTGTGTACGCTTGCTCTTGGGTTAACTTGGCCTGCCTTTGTTTTATACGGGGATCAAACAACAACGACACCGTTCGATGATGTACTTGTCCGTACTTGTGGTGTACAGGATTATTTCAAAGATAGCATCTTCACAGTCATATACAGGTGTGTTTTCATGGCTATGTTCACGCTTGGAGCAGTTCCCATAGCTGTGTTATACATTCTTATTGCTCGAAAGTTGCTTTTGCTGCGCCGGTGTCGATGCAAAGCTGCACTTCCATATCAAAAGGTCATGCGCGAAATGATAGCGACTGTCAAGCTGCGTTCGATATCAGAATCCAGCAATACTTCTTGGAGAAGAGCCAGGATCTCAGCAAGCACTTTGAGATATTCGACAAAACAATCAAACATGTTAACTGTCCCTAAACGCACAACCCTCATGATTGCAACAACAACAGTCGTCATCTATTTGAGCTTTCTACCCAACTTAATCCTACGTCTCCTTGAACACTTCAACACTGATTTTTTGGTCAACCAAAGCTTCCCCGCGCTAAGTGTTTACCATTTATTTTTGAGATTTTATTATCTTCACTGTGCAGCGAATCCTATTATATACAGCACATTTAGCGTCAAATTTAGACAAGAATTTCAGAATTGTATGTGTGGAACACAGAGATGCACGGGAACCGGAAGTCCTACCAGAAGGCCTTCTAAAGGAAGGTTTGACGACCAGGAAACGCATAGACTTTCTGTTTTTCAGTGATTGTGCATGACGAAAAGGGAAGGACTTCTTTTCTTTAGGTAGGCCTCAGTAGAATGTGTTTGGGGTTTTGATAACGTACTTTCAATTTGTAAAACATTCAATTTCGGTTATAGCGAACTCACGAACAGCCTGTTGTAACGAACCCGATTTTTATTTCCCAAGTCCCGTCTGCACAAAACGAATGTTATGCTACGAGTATCGTAACTCCCAGACATTAATAAAGACTTACAAAAGCCCAGCGCCACCATAGCTTTGACAAAGAGGATTCAGGGGTAGTAACTATTCATACGAATAACCAACCTTAGGTGATTACGGGGGTTCCTTGGAGTGATTGAATGAATGCTGTTTAACGCCGCAGTTAGCAATATTTGGTTTGGTCGCAGCGATATGCAATTTATCGAGTCTGGGCCAGACAAACCGGTGAGCAGCATGGCAGCATCTCACGCCATGAAGCAAGTCACCCACGTGGGGAATCGAACCCGGGCCTTCAGACTGACAAGCGGACACTTCAACCACAAGGCTACCCCACTACCCGAATGACAGTCAGAGCTGATAATTATAATGCGAACTGTGAAAATCATGAGAAGGTGATTTTGTCGGATGGAGTTTTTACGTTCTTAATAATCAAATCTTTATTAATATATGTAACACTTTGTCGCTTTAAAGTATTTGTTTTTATTCTGTCCATCATTATACTAAAATGGTGTATATTTTATATCTGCTATAAAAATCATTATTAATCGTTGTTTGGTTTTGATGACACCAACTTTCATACTTCCATATGAAACACTGGAGGGGATTACTGTTAGAAATTTACAGTTACTGTTAACTCTGGTAGCATTAAAGTGTACTCACTCTCACTCTCTCTCTATGATAAAAGCATTGCGTCACAACCAATCTTTACAACTTGTTATAAGCACTTCTAATATCACTCATGTGCTAAACACCCCGTAATGTACAGCTTACTGAATGCTAAGTTTCAAAACGTATGAAAGCTTGGGGAGTTCAGTAAACCCAATAAACAGTTGTAACCGTTTCACGTGGTTTTTTACCGTTTCACGCAGCAACAACCATGTGAAACACGTTTTAAATTATACTCGTAACATTATGTCAAATACAAAACAAAGTATGTTGTATATGGTATTATCTGACACAATAAGTAAATGAGTGAGAGAGTGAGTTAGCTTGGTTTACATTACATTGAGCTTGTTCATTATTTATTTAATCTACTGCATGTTAGCTTAACGTTGGAGGAAAGTCTAAAGTGAGGCATGTGTTAGGTGTTTTAAATACCACTTTGGTGAAATCCAAGACCACAGGTTTGGTGCTGAAAAAACAGAGAAATAGACCTGAAGGAAAGAAACTCTGTCACAATTAAATCTACGCACACAATATTTTGCTACAACAAAAATAACTACCTATTCAAGCACATAATTCTTCTTGCAAAAAAATACATTCACCAGTCAAGCATTAAGAAAACTCCATTATGCTTTCTTTTTTTCATAACAATATTGTAAGATGTATCATAATGAAAAATAGAAAAAAATCATCGCAATGAAAAGTAGTAGTATTAAGAGATTCGACAGAAAATGGAAGGAATTATCAGCCTACTTATTTTATTTTCTCAGTCAATCAATAGATTCACTTACCCATATCGGATCATGTTTTATGATTCTATGAATTGCTACATGTATATACCTCATGTACCAATGTAGCATATATGTCTACTGAATTGAAATAAAAATATTTTTAAAAAATCTACGCAAACAACCTGATTAAATATTTGCATGAATATATCCCACTATCCCTTTGAGGCATCAAGTTGAACAGCGATGTTCAAGTCGAGATGTATATACATGTATGTCCAGGGTGGAATCGGTAACTTGTGTTGAAACTAGTGTGAATAAGTGGGTGAGTGAGGGGGTAGGTAGTTGAGTGGGTGGGTGGGTGGATGTATGAGTAAGCCAATGCTAATACTATTACAATATATCACTGGTTTGACGGAAAACGTCAATAGGAAACTTTAAAATCAGATTAAAAGGGATTTGACAATTTGAAATTTCATTCAAAATTTAATAACTACATGACCATTTCTTTTATGAACGTTTTTCTCTGAATTTGTAACTACAATTGATAGACGTTTGTTTATTCACCCATACAAGAGGTGACGTTTTATCATTGCACATGTTTGGAATTCAGAATCGTATAAAATACTCGCTTCCGCATCGTGTGCTGGAGATGTAACCATCCGGGTTAGAATAGGATTTTAGCAACTCATTCTTGCCGTAAAAGGCCACTATGTTTGTCGTAAGATGAGACTAACGGGATCGGGTGGTCACGTTCTCTGACTTTGTTGATGCATGTCGTTTCCAATTCGCGTGGATCGATGCTCATGATGTCAATCACAAGATTGTCTGGTCCAGACTCGATTATGTACAGATCGCCGTCATATACATTTGTAGCTTGAAAACTGCGTCGTTTAACAACAAACAAAACAGGAGATGTCTTTTCGAAACAACGTAAGACAATTACAGAGTTCGTCTTGTCATTTTGACATATTTCCGTCGTCGACGGCGTCTCCCTATGTCTTTATTTTCTGAAAGATGATCGCACAGATCTAAATAGATGATGTCAATGAACGCGTTGTTCGAATAAGAACAATAACAATAAATGCCACTTAATTTTGACTCGGACTGTACGCATGAACAAGAAATCTAAGCCCTTACCCGTGTCACATCCTGTTATCAGAACATATTTCCCAAGTGGAGACACTTGCTGTGCCAGTGTTTTTCGTCTCATGGTGTAAAGGAGGACCACGGCGATCACAATACAAGCCACGCAGAACATGTCACGTGCCGACCTCACTTCCGGTCTCACTGCAGCTGAAACTGAGACAGCCTCGGATAAATTTCCCGTACAATGTAGATAGCGGCAAGGAACAATACACGACTAATAATGAATTATATTGTTTTCCGTTAGGTCTCGTACTCTCCTCCATCAGATCACAAACCATCTAACATCTAACACACACACACACACACACACACACACACACACACACACACACACACACACACACACACACACACACACACACACACACACACACTACCCACTAAGCCCCTCCGATCGTTTTGAATGTTGACATTGGGAGTTGAGTTGTCGCTATTTCGGATTAGGTTATACCACGCCCCATTCGCTATTCTGCTTGTCCCGAAATAACACGAGCTGGTCACGAATGATCACACCCAACACTCTTCATCCCCAGTTCCTTATTGCTAAGTGTAGGCGGTATATCTGTGTTCAATATGGGGGCACGGGTGGCCCAGTCGTCTAAGGCGCCGCGATTCTCTGTGCAGAGTTGCGTCCCTTGGGCACGCCAGAAACCTATGATTGTGGGTTCGAATCCCGGTTGGCCCCGATTATGTTTCTAGGTTTGTCAGCACCATACTCGTGCTCGTGGCTTTCACCGAAGTGGTAAACGTCTGAGACCTGCATCACTTCGGGCTTTCCTCCCACATTAAGCTGACACGCCGCGATATAACTGTAATACTGTTAAAAGCGGCGTTAAACCCAACTCACACACTCACTCACTCACTGTGTTCAATATCGTTGTTGTTGTATGGTACTTGTTGTTGTTGCCGCACTTATTCCAGCGATATGACGGCGGTCTGTAAATAATCGAGTCTGGACCAGACAATCCAGTGATTTACATCATGAGCATCGATCCAGGAAATTGGGATACGATGACATGCATCAACCAAGTCAGCGAGCGTAAACCACTCGATCCCGTTAGTCACCTCTTACGACAAGCATAGTCGCCTTTTACGGCAAACATATCCTACACCGGATCTTCACGTGTCCTCTTAATATTCCTGCTATATGACAGCGGCCTGTATATAATTGAATCTGGAACAGACAAACAAGTGATTGTTATTATGAGCAACGCCCAACGCTGTCAGGGTGCGATGACACGTAATCGACCAAGTCACCGAACCTTACCATCCGATCCCTTTAGTCGCCTCGTAAATCAGATCAAATCAGATATTTGACTCCGATGAAATTCCCCCGAAGATCCGAGCATACATTCATAAAATGTCGCACCAGGACGACCATCGGATCAGCCAATCAGCGTCGAGGTTACTAATTTCTCAGCACTTGTAAGCCAAGCATTTAGACATTAATATCCGAATGCAAATTATTAATGCCGAGATATTACACTGTTGTGGCTATTTTTATACGTCCTGTCGTCTCTTAGCGTCACGGATTCTACACCTAAAAGGGTGTTCTATCAAGATAATATATTTTGGATTGTGTGGATTTTCGTTAAGTTCGAAATTCCGATTTGAGGCGGTAACGAAAGGAAGGCAAAACCTGACATATCACTGGCTCAAGAACCCGCCCATTCACCATATAATTTTAAGGCCAAAGAGGACAGAGGAGTGAGTGACTATGAATTTACGCCGCTTCAGCAAAATTCCTGTAATATCACGGCTGGGAACACCAGACATGGGCTTTACACATTTTTTTTATTTTTTTTTTTTATTCAGTCATATACACAGGATACATATGCACTCGAAAAACAGTACAGCTTTATGAATACAGGTACTTCTCAAAAGGATGTGGTACAGAGGAGGCCTAAGGCATAATCCACATCATGGTACAGATGAAGGCATATTTATGTATACAATTAAGAAGATGCGGTATTTATGGTACATCAAATTATGTTGCAAGCATCAAGTGAATAAGTTATTTTGCAGTTTGAGTAAACAAAGCCCATTTTCTATTAAAGGCAGAGAAGTCGTTATTTCTACGTGCAATATGATATTCAACGTCATAAATACTTGTTATTGTGTTCTTAAAAGCAACAAAGTCAGGCTTTACACATTGTTACCATATTGGGAATCGAACCGGGTCTTTGGCGTAAATGGCGAACGCTTTAACCACTAGAGACGGTAGAGAGGTATCGAAGTAAAAGATCTGACTTTTATTATATTACGTTGTTTTGTACAAATTCCATGGGGGCACGGGTGGCACAGTCGTCTTAGGCGCCGCGATTCGCTGTGCAGAGTTGCGCATGAACCCGTGTGAGTGTGAGTGAGTTGGGTTTAACGCCGCTTTTAACAGTATTCCAGTTATATCACAGCGTGTCAGCTTAATGTGGGAGGAAAGCCCGAAGTGATGCAGGTCTCAGACGATTACCACTTCGGTGAAACCCACGAGCACGGGTATGGTGCTGACAAACCTAGAAACATAATCGGGGCGAACCGGGATTCGAACCCACAATCATAGGTTTGTGGCGTGCCCAAGGGACGCAACTCTGCACAGCGAATCGCGGCGCCTTAGACGACTGGGCCACCCGTGCCCCCTTGAGGTCTGTTAACGAAGCAGAGCACTTGAACAGTCCGGTGGCTTCTGCAAATGAAAACGCCCTGTAAAATAGTGTTACCGTTGTTGTAGGTAAAAAGAAGTTGAATGTGTCTTCAGCGAGATAATCTACCTAACATAACCCAACAAACTATGTCATCATCGTATGGTAAGCAGTTATTCATATGAATAACACAACAGAGGTCAGTGTGACACTGGTCAAGCAACATGTCATCAACAGTGGATTACATCACTATACGCGTCACGTTAACCTCTGTTCTTCGTGTGAGTAACAGGTACATACAATGCATTGTTGTGAGTTTTGCAGGTTGTTTTAGTCACATGATGATCAGATCAAGGACACATTCTCTCCGATTTATATAAGATGTGATATTATAGTAATCGTAAGGTTATCGTGCAAAGCATGATCATTTACAGATGCCATCGGACTGTTCAATTGACCTCCTTCTTTGGGCAGTTAGTGAAAGATCTCGGGCTTCCGCAAATAATAATGCCGCAAATATGGAAAGTAGCCTTTCCTTGTAATAATATTCTGTGTCGATGATTTTATACGATTAAAGTGAGTGAGTGTGGTTTTACGCCGCTTTTAGCAATATTCCAGTCATATCACGGCGTGTCAGCTTAATGTGGGAGGAAAGTCCGAAGTGATGCAGGTCTCAGACGTTTACCACTTCGGTGAAAGCCACGAGTACGGGAATGGTGCTGACAAACCTAGAAACATAATCGGGGCGAACCGGGATTCGAACCCACAATCATAGGTTTCTGGCGTGCCCAAGGGACGCAACTCTGCACAGCGAATCGCGGCGCCTTAGACGACTGGGCCACCCGTGCCCCCTCACACATTGTACCCAGGTGGGTGTTTGGCGTGACGAGCGAACGATTTAACCACGAGGCTACCCCACCGCGCCACGAATAATTAATAACTAAAAAGTCAACTGACAAACACGGATTAAGTTATCAACCCACTTTTCATCATATATTTATTTGTATTGTTTATTGTCATGGAATGATGTTAAAGATGTGGCTAACGTCTAACGGTTTTACGCCGCTTTTAGCAATATTGCAAATATATCACGGCGGGGGACACCAGAAATGTGCTTCACACATTGTACCCATGTCGGGAATCGAACTCGGGTCTTCGACGTGACGAGCTAATGCTTTAACCACTAGGCCACCACTAAAAAGTTCACCAAACATCAAACAATTAGCAGGCCTTGCGGTGGATTATGCAGCCTGTTCTTGTGGGAATGATGTTTGTTGTTGTCGGAGTGAGTGAGTGAGTGAGGTGGTTTTACCGTCGCTTAGACCAGTATTTCAGCTATATTGCAGCAGGTCAGCTTGATGTGGGAGGAAAGCTCAAAGTGGCCGCTTTGGTGTATCCAACGAGAAAGGTGAGGTGAGGTGAGGTGAAATTGGGTTTAACGTCGCGTCCAAGATTATTGCACTTATATAGCGACGTGCATGCACGTGTATGTGTGTGTGTAGCTGCTTGTACTAGTCCGGACTGATGCCGATTTATAGTGCTAGCTCACTGAGATACCATGCCGCAGTTTAACATGAATACCCCACTCAGACACAGTATACTGACTCCGAGCCGACAAGTCCTTGTTTTAGCCCCTTAATGTCGAGCGACAGACAGGGTAACAACAAGTACACTCTTTTAACGTCTTGCTTGTATGACGCGGCCGGGGATCGAACCCCGGACCTTCCGCTCTCCGGGCGGACGCTCTACCACAAGACCACGGAGGCGGTCTCCAACGAGAAAGGCTATGGACTACCAAACGCAGAAACGAATTTGGGATTCGAAACCATGACTATAGGTTCCTGGCACGCCTAAGGGACGCAACTCTGCATAGATGTTTATTGTTGGAATAGACACGTGTTGTTGTAACATGAAAAAAGATACATAGAAGGGATCTAGAAGAGAGTGTCGCCGAGACGATTGGTGATAAAACCGCTGATGCTGCAATTGCAAGATTAACTCCCCCACTCACCATATAACAGAGGGAGGATCTCATCGCATCACGATATGAGCGCAAACAAGGAATATTGACAAGAAGATTGCAATCTGCAGAGCAGACCTTTAATTCATTATCGCCATGTGGTACACAGCATTCAGCAAATGACGCCAGAAACAGTAAGATATTGTATCAAATGAACAGCAATCAGCGTCAAACAGCTACTGTCGTCACATCCTCTCCTCCATCATGTCATTCCAAATCCGTAACAATTGTTTTATTTCACATTCTACATTTTGCTTTGGAACTAGCTGCAAGTCGGGCATGTAAGTACATGCATTTTAATTGTAGTTTTCAACATTTTATTTTATCGCAACAACATATTTGTTATCAGTTTTTGACCAATTGTATTTTGGTAAGTTTATGCAGTGACCTACAGTAGGTGTTGGAACATATACTCGTGTAAAAAACGTAGCCATGAATTTTCATTATTTTTCAAACTTCATATGAAACGATAGTTCACAAATTGTTTGGGTTAAGGGTGTACTTATATTTTATATGTCTTGGGAACTCGAAACACAGTCGGTTACTACTGAGCACTCAGTTGAAAGAGTCTTTATTCTATTTCTGCACAACATATGTCGGCTGACATGGCCCCGTGCTTGTCGTAAGAGGCGACTAACGGGATCGGGTGGTCAGGCCCGCTGACTTGTTTGATGCATGTCATCGTATCCCCGTTGCGCAGATAAATGCTCATTATGTCAATTGCAATCACTGGATTGTCTGATCCAGATTCGATTATTTACAGACCGCCGTGCGACGTTAAACAACAAACAAACAAACAAATCATGTCTAGGATGTCTTGAGGCGAGTTGTGAATATGAATGGACCTTCCATGCATATTTACAAGGCGTCAACTAGTCTTAGTGCACCTACATATATAAGTCATGGTGCCATTGTGTCTGGGACAGTTCCTTGGCTGATCGCGCGGTCAACTGACAAACACTGATTAAGTTGTCAACCCACTTTTCATCATATATTTATTTTTATTGGCCCGACATGGGTACAATGTGTGAAGCCCATATCTGGTGTCCCCCGCCGTGATATTGCTGGAATATTGCTAAAAGCGGCGTAAAACCGTTAGACGTTTCGTGCATATTCACATTAAAAATTCTATTAATATTTTTGACAGAGCCTTTAAGGAAATATGCATGACAGCTGACCTTAACTATTGACTTTTTGACCAGTGATTATTTTGTCTCCTTTTTGTTTAAAACAAATGTATATTCTTATAAGATCTGGTAAAATTAAAACTTGACAGAAAAGCTCTGTTACGAACAAAACATCCCTGAGGCTTGTCTACGAGGCGACTACATAAAACTATTTAATATAGCCAGAGTACAGGAGATGTTACTGTAGAGCAATTTTAGCAAACGCTAATGTCGTCTCTCGTTGGGAGGAAGTCTTTTTGTCCGCGATACAGCTGGTTGAGAGTGTCTGTCAGTGTAAACACGAAATCCACAAACACACTATCGTATAGACCCTTTGAGGAAGGAAACAGGGATATAACACTATGTTAGAATTGAGTTTCACTTTGTGTATGTTCATTGGAATTTGAACCTTTATACAGTGAGTGCCAAACATTGCATGGACGTCGCCGAAAGCTACGACGTTTAAATTTATACCACTTGGTCATCATTCGTTAAAGGTTGATATTTCAATGAACTCACACAAAGTGACTGTGAAATAAAAACACAGTGCATTACCTTAGAACGTTGCCTCCCAAGTTCGGTCAAGTGACATGAAATGTATAATATTATCTCTGGTACCAGGAGATGACTTGGGTCAACAGCAAGCCTTTAGTGTCATGTGTCCAGAACATGTTTTACAATATCAGCTTCATATCTTACAGGCAGAGTCAAGTTTCTTGGTTAATGAATACCAAACACGCAGTGTGTTTGACAGAGTGGGACTCAACCCAACCCAACTGGGACTCACAAAAGTCTTTTTGATAAGAATCTGTACTTTACTAAAAACTGTTATCCAAAATATAACATTTGTTACATTTGACCACTTTCTAGATGGAGAGAACGCGAGAGAGAGAGAGAGAGAGTGAGAGAGAGAGAGAGAGAGAGAGAGAGAGAGAGAGAGAGAGTTGGGTTTAACGCCGCTTTTAACAGTATTCCAGTCATATCGCGGCGTGTCAGCTTAATGTTGGAGGAAAGCCCGAAGTGATGCAGGTCTCAGACATTTACCACTTCGGTGAAAGCCACGAGCACGGGTATGGTGCTGACAAACCTAGAAACATAATCGGGGCGAACCGGGATTCGAACCCACAATCATAGGTTTGTGGCGTGCCCAAGGGACGCAACTCTGCACAGCGAATCGCGGCGCCTTGGACGACTGGGCCACCAGTGCCCCCTGATAGAGAGAGAGAGAGAGAAAAAAAAACACCACTGTACGAAAACTACGTACACCTCAAGTTGGTGGAGAACATCTTCCCGAAGCAAGGGCATTAACAGACAATAAAAGTCCAGTTTCCACCCTCGACGGTTTCCACAGTTACAGTTTAGCTGGACTAACGAGTCCATTGCATAGTCAAATCAAAATCGTGTGACCAACTAGACATCCGGTTCGCAAACAACATGGATTTCAAAGTGCAGATTTCGGTCGACTGTAGGATTTGCGAAGCATGTGTACCGCCGAATGGGTGTCGACAGATATTTTGCTAATTTTTTCATGTTTTTTAATTAAGGTGCTCAAGTGATTTGATAGTAAGACCCGTTTTATTATAAATTTAGATCTTGATTATCGATCCCGTTAGTCGACAAGCATAAACGCCTCTTAAGACAAGCATGGGTTTGCTGAAATCCTATTTTAACGCAATGTCAGTTCTTTTAAGTTCCTTAAGAACAGAATTTATAAACGTTGGCACCCAACGAGAAGATATCTAATATAATATTCATCTGTAAATGTTCATGAATAATACTTTCAATGGATCCGTGTTTTAGACCAGTGTCTTCCTTAGGTTCAACAATGTTATACGTCTATCTGACAGTAGAAGTTTTTTCTGTCTCCTTGATTGAATCTTCATTGATGTAAGTTGAGGGACGTCCAGACCGAGGATCATCATCAAAGCTTGTACTCCCAGCCTTAAACATAGCTGCCCAAGGTTTAACAGTGTTTATAGTTCACACACACACACACACACACACACACACACACACACACACACACACACACACACACACACACCTCAAATAGTTGGCCATTACAAGGCAAGTGAAGTTAGAGTGACCACTTGGCAGATTTAGATAATCCAGGGAATACTGAATACATACGAATAGCATTCTTGTCAAGCATACCCTGGCCGGGGCCCATTATAAGACCCAGAATTACGTAATACCATTATCAATTGTTTTATTTATTACTTTGTTCAAGGTCGTAAAAAATATGTTACTAAGAACACATAAATGTGTGCGGATTATAAATGGAGTTTAGGAATATAAGATGAGCATAAGTTATATATAATTGTTATCGTTTCTCCCGTTTTATTCACATGTTCCCTGACAAGCAGCGCATGCCAAAATTAATATATATTGAGTTTTACATTGAAAGTCATGGCGTCATTATCAACATGTCGCAAGCGCGTTCCAAAAGACGCCTGAGCGATCTGAGAAAGCATTCAGTGACAAACGCTTTTAAAACAAATTGTGGGATATTCCAAATTAAACGTATTTTTTATCCCCAGACTGTACCTAACAGAGATTCTGTCTTATCGGGGATTTCATTTAAGCTCAAACATCCTGTAATTTTGTGTTTATTCATACAGGATGTGTCAATTAAGTTGGGACTATAAATTCGCGAGGGTAACTTGTAGCGACATTTGAAGTCAGGCTGTCCAACATATACAAACCCACAACATACCCGGCTCTTCTCTGACGTTTTTCTGTTGCAGTTTGATATTATTGCGACGATGGGACCTAGCTATATTTTTCTGGTGGTTCTGACTGTGGGATCTCTCGCTAAAGGTACGTTCTTACACATCGTCAAGAATGTATTGTTAATTTCGAATTTTCATTTTCGCCATGTGAATAACTCGTTCCAGTCTATTTCCAGTCTTAACCTGGACCTTGGATGAAAGTGAAGCACCGCATACTTTTTCAATAAACTAGCATTTCTTACAAAGTGCATCCTGTATTAATTCTCTGACCAAATACATTGGTTCAAGTTTACAAACTTACATACTCACATTAAAGTACTGAAAACGAAATCGATTATCTAATGGCAGACCGCCTCCGTGGTCTAGTGGTAGAGCGTCCGCCCGGAGAGCGGAAGGTCCGGGGTTCGATCCCCGGCCGCGTCATACCAAAAGACGTTAAAAGATGGTACTTGTTGTTACCCTGTCTGGCGCTCGGCATTAAGGGGTTAAAGCAAGGACTGGTCGGCTCGGAGTCAGTATACTGTGTCTGAGTGGGGTATTCATGTTAAACTGCGGCATGGTATCTCTGTGGGCTAGCACTATAAATCGGCATCAGTCCGGACTAGTACAAGCAGACACACAAACACAAACACAAACACATACACGTACATGCACGTCGCTATATAAGTGCAATAATCTTGGACGCGACGTTAAACCCAATTTCACCTCACCACCTCACAGTCAGTACTGCTCCAACTATATGACGGCGGCCTGTAATTGTTCCGGCAGTCGGGGCCAGACAAACCAGTGATTAACATAATGAGCAACAACCAACACCGGGGTACGATTGCCCCGCCCATGTAGTCGCCTCTGACGAAAAGGATATTATGTTTCTCGGGACAATTTCTACCCCTGAGCCCCCACGATGTTAATCTATATGGACCAATATGCCAATGCACAGTGTCTGAACTAAATGACACTTCGATCGATTTCTATTTTTCATTAACTTTATAGAAACCACTATGCCAATACACTGTGTAGATCTTATGATGAAGTCTTTGATGTAAACTGACGATCATAAGAAAGTATTCTTGTGGGAAATAAATATAGTTTATATATAGAAGATAGTATTGTTGGTGAGGTCAAGTGAAAAGGGGTTTAAGACCATTGCACTTATAGTGCGTGTGAGGCTGCTTGTGCTAGTCCGGACTGATGCCGATTTATAGTGCTAGCATGATTACCCCACTCAGCCACAGTACACAGTAAGCATGGCGACCATCGCCTATGAATCAAAACATGTCATCGTTTACCGTTCATCAAGCTTATAAACAAGCAACTATCATAACATGGTGGCAGCGGTAAACAAGATTAATCACCAGGATTACGCCATAAGTAGCGGACAGCGCTAAACACGCAAGTTTGACCATCAAACGAACTTTTGCCATACCGGCAAGAAACACGTGTGTAACCTAGTTTCGTTTTCGAACTTTTGGTGTCATCATTAACCAGAAGCATGTCTCGAATTCCTCTTATGGACTGGCAACAGGCGGATATCGGCGAATCATTCAGTTTATTCAAACAGACTTTGCAATTATTCTGTGAGGATGAAGAAATTACTGACAAAGAAAAAAACGCTTTGAAGATAAAACGTGGACTTGGCAACGAGGGTTTACGTCGGTTGAACGCTTCGGGTTTGAGTGAACGTGACCTAAAAGATACAGATAAAATATGGACTTATTTCGAAAAACAACTCAAATTACAAGTTAATTTTAGAGTGTATACACTTGAGTTGATGCAATTCAGACAAAAGGAGGAAGAAAACATAGATGAATTTGTAACCAGGTGCAAGACACTAGCATTAAAGTGCGAGTTCGATGAACCAGAACTTCAAGAAAGAATATTGGAATTGCTAATTGCTAGCACTCCTTTTGAGGCTCTACAACATGATTTGCTGAAACAACCCAAAGGCTATAGTCTCTCCAATGCTCTAGAAGAAGGTCGGCGATATGAAGCGATCAGCGCAGGTCATCGTCAAGTCAAAGATCTCAATCCAACTCCAGCTACCACTGCCGAAGTAAACGCCATCAACCACAAGTATCGAGCCTGTCAGAATTGCGGTCTGAAACACAAGCCGAAGTCCTGTCCAGCTTATCAAGACACCTGTAATGCTTGTGATACCAAAGGTCATTGGTCCAAGTTCTGCCGAAAAACCAAGCGGAAGACATCTCGACAACGTAGACACCGATCGAAAAGTAGACATAGACAGAAACCAGCAAAGACCTTCAACTCAGTTGACAGTAACCATGGTAACAACGATCCAGTTACTACCGATGATTAAGATTACTCTCTTCTGTATCATGCAGTCACCATATCCAACTAATGCATGGATGCTATCGACACAAGCCGTGATTCAGCTTACACAGATCTCAAGGTCAAAGCTCCGATGATCAAGGGGATCCACAGTCTTCGTCTAAAGGTCGACACTGGCGCGGCTGGAAACACACTTCCTGTTCGAACATTTCGACAAATGTACGGAGATCGTCTATATGCGGATATTCTCCAACCTGCAGACGGTATCAAGCTTACAACGGTCTGGAGATCAAGTGTGTTGGTACCATGTCAATCAAGTGTAAATTCAGAGACTCTAGTTTTGAAAATACGCTATTCTACGTAGTCGACGTTTCAGGTCCCGCCATCGTTGGTCTTTCGTCATGTGAATCACTCAACATAGTCACAATCAACTGTGATGAAATCAAGCCAGAAACAGTTTCTCTGTTGGTGTGGAAGATCTGAAACAGAAGTATCCTCAACAATTTGATACTATCGGGAACTTTCATACATCTGCTAAACTTACCTTGAAACCAGATGCAGAGCCCTTCTGTGATCCTTCCAGGAAGTGCAGCATACACCTGAAGAATAAAATCAGAGCTGAAATAGATCGCATGGAAAGCATCGGGGTGATAAAACGTGTAACAGAACATACAGACTGGTGTTCCTCACTCACGTACGTCACCAAGAAAAATGGCTCCTTACGCATATGCCTTGATCTGTTTCACCTGAACCAAGCTCTAAAAAGATGTCCAACCAAGATACCTACCTTGGAAGAGTTGAATCCGGAGTTTGCCAAAGCCAAATTCTTCTCCAAGCTAGATGCCAAGGCAGGCTATTGGTCTATACATCTCGACGAGAAATGTCAGCTCCTGACAACATTTAGGACGCCGTTTGAGGCCTACCTGAGTTCGTACATACCTAACTACAGCCCAGAATCCAAGGTACTACGTGATCTGTTGAAGAAGGACGCTATCTATGTGTGGGAACCTATTCACGAACAATGTTTTGATCGTCTGAAGACTCTCGTGAATGAAGATTCATGTCTCGCCTACTACGACATGGACAAGCCATTGACTCTTGAGGTCGACGCATCAATGAAAGGACTAGGTGCAGCACTTCTACAGGAGAAACCAATCGCTTTCGCATCGAAATCCCTTACACCTACACAATCAGCCTTCTCAAACATTGAGAGGGAAGCCTTATCACTTGTTCATGGAATGCAAAGATTTCATACTTACCTGTATGGACGCCATTTTCATGTATCACAGATCACAAGCCACTTGTGATGTTACATCAGAAACCCATCAACCAGGCTCCACCGAGACTCCAGCGAATGTTCTTGAAGCTCACAGGATACAACTTTGATCGTGAGAAGTGGTCGTGTAATCAAGACACCACAGAAACTCAAAGACTGATCTAATATCTTCAGTTAATGTGTCTGATAATGTAAAAGTTTCTGTTATCATGGACTCCGAAGTTAATTTCATGTGTTTTTGCAAAAGTGGATTGCAATGTGTGTTTATTTCTTTATTTCAGGTTATCAGTGCAAATGACTCTAATCTGTGAACTGTACTACAAATCAGTAATTGTTCATCCTAGCCATCTAGTGTATTGAACATACACATCCCCATTGTGCAATGGAGTTACCAGACCTTTTCACCATATACAACTCCAGTATTTTATCTAGTCATTATCCAAAGACTCTAGATACTCAAGGTGCTATAAGCATTTGTGTTTATGTATAACCTTCTTAAAGGAGGGGGATGTTGTAAGATGTATTAACAATCTTATTTCGTTTATATGTAAATCCCGTTTCGTCTAAAGTGCCAATGCCACTTTTGTACTAACTGTTTTAGGCGCTAGTAATAAAAGCATGGCGACCATCGCCTATGAATCAAAACATATGCATGTCATCGTTTACCGTTCATCAAGCTTATAAACAAGCAACTATCATAACACAACTAGACCACGGAGGCGGTCGAAAGTATTGTTGGAGAAGTAGCAAATGAAAAATCGTCACAAGTTGCGCTGCGCTTGGGCGATGCTGCACGTGTAAAGTCAAGTTGTGACGAAAACATGGAATGCACGTGAAGCAGGATATCCATGCACATAAGGGTATAAAAACAGTGGCATGCACACGAACGTTATCAGTCATCAGTAAAATATATGAGAAGGCTGAATGTGATGGGGAACTTTATGCGCATCTCACAAAAATCGTGCACTGTACGAAAACGACGATCGCTTAGTTGGATCACCGTTACAGGACGTCTGACTCCACTGTTCACAGGCCACGAAGTGAAAGTCCCAAAGTTCCCCGTCATTGGGGACCGCTTCAAAATAGATTCTTCACTGTTACCTTATTAACACTGACTGCGCTTGGACGTGTCACCAGTCGTCACACCATAAGTCGCCGACTTCGAGAGCATGGCATCAGGGCCTGTCGACCATTCACAGGTTTGACGATGATGACGAAGCAACACCGGCTTTGGCTTTAAGTAACGCCAAGTTCAACGTTGGCAATGTCGTAACTAGCAACGTGTGAATGATTTGGTTGGTTGGTTTGTTGTTTTACGCCGCACTCAGCAATATTGCAGCTATGTAAATAATCGAGTCTGGACCAGACAATCCAGTGATTGACATCAAGTGCATCGATCCACGCAATTGGGATCGAAGACATGCATCAACCAAGTCAGCGAGCCTGACCATCCGATCCCGTTAGTTGCCTCTAACGAGAAGCATAGTCGCCTTTTAAGGCAAGAATGGGTTGCTGAAGACCTATTCTACCCCAGATCTTCACGGGGTTGTGGGTGAATGAATGGCTCCTTGTTGTAATCAGGAGACTACAGTTTGGAGGTAGCAGTGTGATGGTTTTGGGTAGGATATGTGGCCGACAGAGGTTGTCAATGATGGACATCTTAATGCCCAGCTTTATATTGACCTCTTGTTACGTCTTGTCTTGTGGACCCGTGAAGATACGAGGTAGAATAGGTCTTCAGCAACCCATGCTTACCGTAAAAGGCGACTATGCTTGTCGTAAAAGGCGACTAACGGGATCGGGTGGTCAGGCTCGCTGACTTGGTCGATGCATGTCATCGGTCCCAATTGCGTGGATCGATGCTCATGATGTCAAACACTTGATTGTCTGGTCCAGACTCGATTATTTACAGACCGCCGTCATATAGCTGGAATATTGCTGAGTGCAGCGTTAAACAACAAACCAACCAACCAACCAACCAACCAACCTGTCTTGTGATCGTTCTTGCAACGTAACCCCAGCATTTGGTGTCACCAGGACAATGCAAGACCTCACACAGATCGTGATATACAACAGTTTCAGGACACGAACAACGCCAGTTGCCAGCCATACAACATCTTTGGGGTCATCCTGACCTGAAGATCCGACGCCATCCCAAACCTCCAATGAACAGAAATCAGATGGCGCTGGCACTGCGTGGGGATTGGAGGGCAATTCTTGATGAAGTCATTAGACGCCAAACGAACTCTTCGTCATGTGCACGCCCGTATGTTTGCACGTGGAGGCCATGCACAAATCTGACGCATTGATATTCATTTAGTGACACTAATGATCATGGTAAATCACATGTCGTCCTGTGTGTAATCTATGAAATCGCCCATTTTACCCCCAATCTCATTAAAATCAGACCTTAGTTCTCGCTATCGCTAAACAAAGATCTGAAGACATCTCATTAGGGGTCACGTCAGAACGACCTTTCATCCGGCCAATCAGAGCGTCGCTTACCAGATCATGAAAGTGACATTCGGAATGTGAATTCTGATAATGAAACCTCGAATACTTCAACACGGGGTATTCCGAACCATAGTTACGGGTTTAGCGACTGAATCCATACAATGTAGACCATCAATTAGCCATTCCAGAATGTTATTTTGTTCAGGTTTCAAATTTGTAATCGAGAATTTGTCAAAATATGTTTCGAAGCGTAGTGGCCAATTTGAAATTAGTGCCGTAAAGCACGAGAAAGCTGCCTTCTGATTGGCTAATGTCGACTTCTTGTCAGTTCTTCTGTCGGTCGGTCAAAGTTCGCGCAAGGTCGGTCTGACGTGACCCGTAATGGGATGTCCTCAGATCTTTGTTTAGGGGTAGCGAGAACTAAGATCTGATTTTAATGAGATTGTTTACCCCCAGTGCTGTGTGGGATCTGTGATGTTGACACGTGATGGTCAATAGTGTTATTATTATTAAACATATTTTATTTCCAAAACTACAAGGGATTGGGCACACGTACACCACTTATTACATACTTCTCCCTTCTCCCCAACCAATAGTTTGTTTATTAGAGTTAAAATCTCGCCAAATTATTATACTTTCGTAATACATCATTAGCATCAACATGGGGTATTTCCTTTTCATCTTTTTGAAAAACTGATCGCTATACATTCTTATCATCGTCAGTTATAACTAAACAAACATGGTTATGTGATTTCAAACGCAGCGTTATGTTTTCGGGGCTATGTAACATATTGATTTGTTTGATAGGCATTACTTTGAAGTTGACGGATGACAAATTAGATACAATTTATGGATAACAACTTCTTTAATACTGTACTGTGCAATTGTTGTTACTGTTAATCCTCTACTGTTAATCCTCCACCTACTATATATATTCTGTACAATGTTCCTCATTCAGTCTTGCTTGAGTGAGTGAGTTGGGTTTAACGCCGCTTTTAACAGTATTCCATCTTGTTTGACAACGGTATAAGGATCTATACCGAAACGTCGCCTTTACAGTAATAAAGAAGTTGTTATCCATAAATTGTGTCTTTATGAAACATATTCACGATCTTTTCTCGACAGTCGATGGCATAAGGTGTTTTCGGTGTGTATCTCTGACAAAACCCAACTGCACTGCTGGGACCGGCCTGCCCTTGTATAAGTGTGCGGCGCACATTGAACACTGCTCTGTCTACGTGTCTATCGCTGGCGACAACACAGGTAAGGCCACACTTATTTTATTTTCAGTGTGTTAGTCTCATTGATGATCGGTATCGGACACAAATAAATGTCTGAAGAAACTTAGCTTTGTTGGTTCGTTTGGTGTTCAACGTCAAGCTCAGCAATAGTCAGGCTATATGACGGCGGTCTGTAAATAATCGAGCCTGGACAAGACAATCCTGTGATTGACATCATGAGCATCGATCTACGCAGTTGGGATACGATGACATGCATTTTTGTTTTAAGGTCAACGGAGCTTATCACCACAATCAGAAAGCGAAAGAAAATAGCTGAATTTAGTTTTACTTGCCGGCCGCTCAATTGTCTTGATGATTAAAAAAATTAGAAGGGCACGCCTGCAAAAAATCATAAAATGAAGTCACTAAACTCTTTTACTTTATAACTAGCATTTAATTAAATATTCTGTATGAATGGCCGCTCCAGGGCTCTTATAAGAACCAAACGTTATCAGAAGTAAATACGTTTACATGTTACATTAAAGTATTTAATTGCAGTTTGTGAAGAATTAGCAGTTATTTCGTTCTCTCTAAACCAAACGGCCCAACTATTTGAGCGTTATCATATTTCTATTTCGAAGGACCAAAACTAATTGGTCAGTAAACTCCTACGACATGAAATATTAAACGTGTGGCCTACTTCAAGGTGGCATGCTTAAATCAAAACAAACACTGTCATCAGCTTAATGTTACGTACCACTTTTTTCTCCCTACCAAACACATTATTCATGTTGAGGAAACTCATTAAACTGACACTATCGTTCGGATAATAATGATTAATGTTAAATTCTCCCGAACAAGCTTCGATTATGACGTCGATACATAAAACGCATTGCTTGTATTTAATTGTTTCAAAATAGCCTCCCTGTCCATATCGATTCCTTGTTGTTTGTATTTGACAAATGCGAACAAATATTCCTTGTAAATGTAAATCTACTTTCAGATTATCTGGTAGTCCGTGACTGTGGGATAGCTGAGATAAGCAGGTGCATCACGAAGGTCGTGGATAATCGTGACACCATCACATGCTTCCGGTCATGTGATCAAGATGGTTGCAATGGTTACCCGATACAGGAGATGCAATCTCACAATCGGCCAAAATTCGGAAACCGGAGTTTAGACCTGTCATAATTACATTTGACATTATCAAAGCCAGGGCATACCATATATAAAAAAACGCGCAAATAAACCCGTTGCATAAATCTTTGTTTCGTGATTCGTAATAATAATTTTAATGCTTAGTCCTACATTGGTTTGTTAGTCATACCTTATTAGGCACATCAGGTAATACCTTATTAGGCACAAGACGTAATACCTTATTAGGCACATGACGTCATACCTTATTAGGCACATGACGTCATACCTTATTAGGTACATGACGTAAAACCGTGTTAGACACATCACGTCGAACCTTATTAGGCACATGACGTCATACCTTATTATGTACATCACGTCATACCTTTTTAGACACTTCACGTCATACCTTCTTAGGTACATCATCTTCTTCCTTATTTGGCACATCACGTCATACCTTATTAGATACATACGTTATTCCTTACTTGGCACATCACGACATACCATATTTGGGACCTCATGTCATTCCTTATTTGATACATGACGTCATACCTTATAAGTCAGATCACGCCAAGCCTTATTAGGTACATCACGTTATTCCTTATTTGGCACATCACGTCATACCTTATTAGGTACATTATGTTATTCCTTATTTGGCACATCACGTCATTACTTAATAGGCACATGACGTCATACCTTATTAGGCAGATCACGCCAAACCTTATTTGTTTTCTTTGTTTGTTTGTTGTTTAGTACATAACGTCATTCCTTATTAGGCACATCACGTTATGTTTTATTTGGCACATCACATCATTCTTTAGCAGCCACATCACAAAATATTTTAATAGGCACATCACGCCATACCGTATTCGGCACATCACGCCATACCGTATTAGGCACATCACGCCCTACCTTATAAGGCACATCACGCCCTACCTTATTAGGCACATCACGCCCTACCTTATTAGGCACATCACGTCCTTCCTTTTTAGGCACATCTCGTTATAAGGCAAAAATACATTGTCCCCGAAAATTGTTGAAATTAAAATTTATGCTTCAGACTGTTGGAACAAAAGTAATTGCCTGCCACAAAATGTCATCGTTGCAAATTGTTTTTCTTTTAAAAATCAGGCTTATAGTATTTAATAAAACAAAATATATCTGGTTTTGTAGCTGAAGCTGAATAAAATGTCCATTTATTTGGCGCCATACTCCTCGTCTACAATATGTTCATGGCGCATACAATGTCAGTTAAAAGACAAATTAAAAAGATAAGTCGTAAGTTGTGCTTTGAAAGAAGATTGAGGTTGGCACTGTCCTAAGTTAGTCTAACAGATTGTTCCACTCGTGGCAGTGCCATGCTGAAAGATCGAAGGCCTCCATCTGGGGACTTCGAGAAGATGCTTCTGCCTAGAACGCAAGACCCTGTTGGTTCAGCATACAGTGAGCAGGTTAGGTCATAGGGAGTATATCCGTGCCCACACTGATACGCCACGGACATAATCTGTATCCCCTCTGCTCTCCCACTGGTAACCAGGGAAACGACAGTGCTGGTGTGATACTGTCATACTTGATGGTCTTTGTAACACTACGAGCTGCAGTGGAGTCGAAAGATGGGGTCATGAGAGATATTGATAGCAAACTGTTGCAATAGTCAATGCGAGACAGTATCAGATATCTGGCAAAGGCTTCTGTTGTCTCCACCGCAAGGAGGTGTCGAATAGAGCCAATATTGAGAAGATGTAAGTGTGCTGGTTGTTTAACGCTGCATTCGAGTATATAATCAAGTCTGGAGCAGGCAAACCACTTGGGCAACTACGTATCCACGCCATCGGGATACGATGACACAATATCAGCCAAATCGTTTACTTTTTGTTGTTTTGCGCCGCACTCAGCAATGCTCCAGCTATGTGACGGCGGTCTGTTAATAATGGAGTTAGGACTAGACAATCCATGACATCATGAGCATGTTGATAATGGAGTTAGGACCAGACAATCCATGACATCATGAGCATGCTGATAATGGAGTTAGGACTAGACAATCCATGACATCATGAGCATGTTTATAATGGAGTTAGGACTAGACACTCCATGACATCATGAGCATGTTGATAATGGAGCTAGGACTAGACAATCCATGACATCATGGGCATGTTGATAATGGAGTTAGGACTGGACACTCCATGACATCATGAGCATGTTGATAATGGAGTTAGGTCTAGACAATCCATGACATCATGAGCATGTTGATAATGGAGTTAGGTCTAGACAATCCATGGCATCATGGGCATGTTGATAATGGAGTTAGGTAGACACTCCATGACATCATGAGCATGTTGGTAATGGAGTTAGGACTAGACAATCCATGACATCATGAGCATGTTAATAATGGAGTTAGGACTAGACAATCCATGACATCACGAGCATGTTGATAATGGAGTTAGGACTAGACAATCCATGACATCATGAGCATGTTAATAATGGAGTTAGGACTAGACACTCCATGACATCATGGGCATGTTGATAATGGAGTTAGGACTAGACAATCCATGACACCATGAGCATGCTGAGAATGGAGTTAGGACTAGACAATCCATGACATCATGAGCATGTTGATAATGGAGTTAGGACTAGACAATCCATGACATCATGAGCATGATGAGAATGGAGTTAGGACTAGACAATCCGTGAGATCATGAGCATGTTGATAATTGAGTTAGGACCAGACAATCCATGACATCATGAGCATGTTGATAATGGAGTTAGGACTAGACAATCCATGACATCATGAGCATGTTGATAATGGAGTTAGGACTAGACAATCCATGACATCACGAGCATGTTGATAATGGAGTCAGGTAGACACTCCATGACATCATGAGCATGTTGGTAATGGAGTTAGGACAAGACAATCCATGACATCATGAGCATGTTAATAATGGAGTTAGGACTAGACAATCCATGACATCACGAGCATGTTGATAATGGAGTTAGGTAGACACTCCATGACATCATGAGCATGTTGGTAATGGAGTTAGGACTAGACAATCCATGATATCATGAGCATGTTAATAATGGAGTTAGGACTAGACAATCCATGACATCATGAGCATGTTAATAATGGAGTTAGGACTAGACACTCCATGACATCATGGGCATGTTGATAATGGAGTTAGGACTAGACAATCCATGACACCGTGAGCATGCTGAGAATGGAGTTAGGACTAGACAATCCATGACATCATGAGCATGTTGATAATGGAGTTAGGACTAGACAATCCATGACATCATGAGCATGATGAGAATGGAGTTAGGACTAGACAATCAATGAGATCATGAGCATGTTGATAATTGAGTTAGGACCAGACAATCCATGACATCATGAGCATGTTGATAATGGAGTTAGGACTAGACAATCCATGACATCATGAGCATGTTGATAATGGAGTTAGGACTAGACAATCCATGACATCATGAACATGTTTATAATGGAGTTAGGACTAGACACTCCATGACATCATGAGCATGTTGAGAATGGAGTTAGGACTAGACAATCCATGACATCATGAGCATGATGAGAATGGAGTTAGGACTAGACAATCCATGACATCATGAGCATGTTGATAATGGAGTTAGAACTAGACAATCCATGACATCATGAGCATCGGTACACGCAATTTGGATACGATGACATGCATCAGCCAAGTCAGTGAGTCTGACTAGCCGATCCGGTTAGCCGCCTGTATCGACGGGTTGGGTTGCTGAAGACCAATTCTATGGAAGAAGCAGGATTGCATATTTCTCCGACTTATTTCCCAATTGCATAAGCTGGATAGAAAATGGATCAACTGAGTTGCCAATTGATACGGAGTCACATTCGATAAACTTGACACAGGACCAACGATCATTGCTTCGGTTTCAGTCCTGAAATTGTCTCCCAACAGATATGAAAAGGTAGTATTAACATAACTGGATTTATTTATATTAGTCTATGTCAGATGCTAGTACCATTGTTTTAAGCATACAAGGAAAAATGTTGCAATTCTTGAAGAAGTCCCCAGTACTTCGGGCTTGCAGGAACTGTTTGTTATCTTACGTCATAAGGTTGCGCGTGGGTCACCGTGCCCCGAAGACACAGATCGATAGGCATGCAGCACTCAGCAATATTCCAGTTATATGACGGGGGTCTGAAAATAATCGTGTCTGGAGCAGACAATTAAGTGATTTACTTTATGAGCATCGATCCACGCAATTGGTATGCGATGACATGCATCAACCAAGTCAGCGAGCCACGCCACCTGATCGCGTAACTCGCCTCTTACGACAAGCACAGTCGTCTATTAAGGCAAGCAAGGGTTGCTGACGACTAATTCTAACCTGGATGTTCACAGGTCTAACTTTGTGTAGGCCTTGATGTTGCTGTAGGTTTTGATACAGCTGTTATATTGCTGAACCGGCGCACACTAACAAAATTATCATCGCCACAGACTCTAGAGTACAATGCAGGATATCGGGACTACAACGGGAAGTGAGAATGTTCGCTAGTTCTAATAACACACACGATGTGGGTCGAGCTCATTTACATAAGAACGAGCGATGCGTTACATGTGCAGATAAAACTTTTCTTAAAGGGGGTGTCTTCTAAACAATCAGCAGTGAACACATATGTATGCTTTTAAAAGGGTGTTGGTGGAATGGGGTGCGCACTCCTGCTCCCCATCTCTGAATCTGATGGTGATACGATATTGCACGAAGTGACATAAAATCCCATTCCTTCATTCACATAGTCATTCGTTGTGTAATTGCAGACAAGCAGTATTGATTCAGGACAATGCGTTGACATTGTCCGTTTGTGCTGACACGACATGGCCAGACTCACACATAGGTGTATCAGCATTGATGACAGCAGCCTAACATTAAAAACAAAATCGGCGGACGGTCTGCTCGAGTGGAGTAACAAATAGTTTGCCACCAGTTACCTCCCTTTCAATGTTTCAGCGGCAAGCTCCTATCCAGCGCGTGACACCTTCGTACACTCTCGGTAACATCGTTGCCGTCAGTATGGAAGCGGCCATTACTAGAATCTTAAAATTTGCCCTCTAACCCCAAATGCAGTAAGTTTATACTTTTGTTTATGTCTTTGGGAATGACATCTTTGTGAATTTTGAAAAGTTTTACGACTGACCAAGTTTCCAAGATGAATTTACTTTTTTGTTTGTTTGATGAGATGGATGAGATTCCAGACGAACCGAAAATCACCCAACTTCCCCCTCACATTTTTACTAAACCAATTACATGATAGAAGAAATTCAAATTGACGCATGAAGAAAATAATGAGCCTGGGGTATTCAGCATCACGACTGTCACTTGTTTGTAAACATAACGGTCAGTCGGCTGCAAGTTCAACTCTAAGCATAGTTGTTACTATCACAGTGGGGAGCTTTGACTGGTGTCCTGGTATAGAGAGCTCCGTGAACGGGCTGTCGCTGTAAGGAGCTTGGTTACAGAGGTAAACGTCACACGGGCAATCTCATTAAAATCAGATCTTAGTTCTCGCTGTCGCTAAACAAAGATCTGAAGACATCCCATTACGGGTCACGTCAGAACGACCTTACATCCGACCAATCAAAGTGACAGTCGGAATGTGTTTTCTAATCATGCAAACTCGAAAAAACGTTAACACGGTGTAATCCGAATGACAGTTACGGCCCGTACGACTGATTCCGTCAAAATGATCGTCTATATCTCGCTCCCGTGGGATAAACATTTGAACGGAGGAGGCGTTGCACAGTACATGGGAAGCACTGCCACACAATCGCAACCATGTATTAGACATTCCGGAATGTTCGTTTGTTCAGTTTTCAAAATTGTAATCGAGAACTGTGTCAACATATTTTTCAAGCGCAGTCTGAAATGGAAGTCGCCAGGTTGAAACGAGTGCCGTAAAGCTCGAGAAAGCTGCTTTCTAATTGGCTGATGTCGACTTCTTGTTAGTCATTTCAGTGGTCAGTCAAAGTTCGCGAAAGGTCGTTGTGACGTGACCCGTAATGGGATGTCCCGGGTGTAATGGGTGACAACCACAAGTAAATTAAATGCCCTTAGCCTGGTTTATATATACTTAAGCGCTGGAGTGCGACATATTGCAGGTTTTAATTCTCGTTAATTACAAATCTCGTGTTTTATCCTTCACACAATTCCTTCGTACAATGTATTCAGCAATCTGACATCACAGACTTGGAGGCAATAGTATTTATCACAATGCATATTTCATTCATTATCCAAATGAATTGATCGATGTTCAAGATGTCAATCACTGGATTGTCTGGTCCAGATTCGATTATTTGAGCCGCCGTCATATAGCTGGAATATGGCTGATGGTGGCGTTACAGAACAAAGGAAGAACGTCACTTACGACCTGCATAGTTTGCCGGACATCTACTCCAAAACAGAACGGTGGTCCACAAGTACATAATGGCCATTCCATATCTTTACCATAACCTCAATGATCAGCGTATCTTGAAGACAAAACCACGATGTGGATTCTATTGTGGAGACACTAAAGTCTTTTAACCGGGTCCCAGGCCGGGGCGATTTGGCAAACGAACAGACAAATATACATATGGTTGTACTCTGCAATACAACACATATGAATCATGAATATGACGATAATAGACAATATTATCATATTATTTTTAAATAAAAAACACCATATGTTTAAAACAAGAGTCATCAGGAGATGACATATCCCCCCGGTCTGGTCTGGTCGGAAATGGAGTTTGGCGATTTATACCCCACTTTAGGTTCATTGTCATTGGATACCTTCAGTTCAGTGAAGAAAATAATAATGCTTTTGAGTATTTTGCAATATCCAAAAGATATTTTTTCCAAAAAGAATAGTTTTTCAGCAACCTATGCTTGTCGTAAGAGGCGACTATCGGGTGGTCAGGCTCGCTGACTTGGTTGATGCATGTCACCGTATCCCAATTGCGTGGATCGATGCTCAAGATGTCAATCACTGGATTGTCTGGTCCGATTATTTACAGACGGCCGTCAAACAGCTAGGATATTGCTGAGTGCGGCGTTAAACAACAAATCAACAACAATAACAATGGTTTTGAAGTTCTGCACCGGAAACGAGCACTACCGTCATTGTCTGTCAAGTCCAAGTCTTGAAATCATAATTATATATATTAATAAAAAAGAGTTAAAAGTCTAAAAAATGGTTCGAACAAATATTTTGGTATCAGGTATAGACATGCCGGACGCGTTGTGGTTTCAACTGCACATTTAAAATATAACAGGGCAGATATAATTAAGCTAAGTATACGTCATGTCTCAGTGGCGGAGGTACGCCTACCCAAAAGCCTACCCCCAAACACAAAACATCACAAGCACGATATGTAAACCGTTATTACCTCTACTTTCACAACCGAATCAATATGTTATCATGGAAGGATTTGTTTTTACGTAAAAAGGGGTGGGTCTTGGGGTGCCCTCAGACACACACACACACACACACACACACACATACACACACACCTCTGGATCCGTCACTGCTGTTTCCAGTTTGGAGTATTTAAGAGGAGTTGCAAACACAAAGTACATTTAGTCGGACCTCTACCACAGGACCGTTAGACCATCAGCAAGTTAGGAAGAATTAACTCCCCTGATAAACCTTTCTCGGCCGACTGAAAGCTTCCCTCGTTATGTGGTTTGAATAATTTGGACAAATTGGTTACTTCCCTTTTGATAACCTTTCAGACTGAGGTAGTGTAGTGACGACGAGGGACTTTATTAAAGGCACACATCCTCCCCATATCTGCAGCATACATTATATTATAGCAAGAACTATTAACTATGCAGCCTCGTCTACCACTGCCAATTTGGGATATCACGAAATGTATGTTAACACGAAGAGGAACATGACAGTCAGGCTTCACCTTGCTTCATTTGCTGTTTGGCTAGGTCATTGTGTTCATTGTTTGCGAACTGTTTAATGTGATGTCCTTCCAAAAAATCAAAATAGATTGACTGAGCCAAAGACACCCTCCCAGATTAAGCTGACACGCCGTGATATAACTGGAATAGTGTTAAAAGCGGCGTTTAACCCAACTCACTCACAAGAAACTCTATAGAATGACCAGCTTGTAACTCCGAATTGCGGGTTACTTATTTCTAATGATACATGCTATCTTAGTAAGAAACAAACACAAACACACACACACACACACACACACACACTGAAAAAGAAAAAGTTCATGAAAATTTTGGGACAGTGTTAGGGTACTGTGTTCTGAGTCGTCACTAAACAATCATGTACCAAAAAATAGTCACGATTTTTTGTTCAGTTCAGTATATGATTGTGTGTGTTTAAGTTTCAAACATTGATTAAATGCATCACGAGGAATAGGTAATGTGTAAACCCGATTTACAAGTAGGTAATATATATATATATATATATATATATATATATATATATATATATATGTATATGTATGTGCATCAGTGGGCGTGGCTAAAGTAGATCACGTGGTATATAAGACGGACGAACCTCACGTTTATATATTTAGATTTGCAATCTTAACCAAGTGATGAAAAAATAACAAAGCAACCTTGCAATGAAAGTCACGAAAAGGAAGTATACTGTTTCAGTTGGCCTTTTTCGATCACGTACTTTAGGAACTATATTATCATTGTGGGAAATACGCCTTTAATTGACTTGCCGTTTTCACCATCCCAATTCCACAACAGCGTGCATGCAACAGTCGCCCGACTTTCACGCTTCTCTCGGGACAGCAACCCGTCCGACCAGTCAACCTACCGCGCACTGGTAACTGGCATGTTGTCTGATCTCACACTTCAAAGCAGTGTTTACAGTTACGCACGTGCAACTGACATCGCGTGCTGATGCACGTGCTGCCGCGAGATCACGGGATCTACAGCCCTGACTGCAAGGCGTCATGTCTGCTCTCCCACGTGTTGCGGTATTGATCTTAACTGTCTGTGTTCGCATCGCATCAGGTAAGTAGGCAAACATATTATCGCCTCGCTTAGAATGTAGTGAATTTGACAACATGCCAATTCTGTAATATGTAACGCCTCTCACCGAAGAACTGCATGACATTCTTTCGTGTGCGTTATAAAGTGTTTATCTTCTATATAGGCAACCAATTGCCGATATGAGACCATTGTGTCACATTCGTGAAAATGCATGTATTGTATCGGCATGTTGGAGCTTTCCGAATAGTGTAAGCCCAATGACGAGTGGTCTGATCGATTAAGAAACGATCGGACGTTAGTTGATTATTATTCTATGACACTTTTCACATACCCCTAGAGCGATAGAATTGACTTGAGTTCTTCACAGTATCTCCACATTATCTCCACACCAGTTGAGGTGAAACTTGATACAGACAGTGTTAGACAAGACATTGATTAACAGTAACAGATATTTACGTACGGCATTTTAAGAACCCGTCATATAGAGTACAACAGAAAACTGCCCAAATCATAGTATCATATTTGGCGCACCAGCTAAAACAATTAAAGGTAATTATTTTGCTAAAAAACTGATATCATGTCTGTGTTGCATTAAATCGTTTTGTTTCTCATAATGAATTATGTAATTAAGCCACCTAATTATTATGGAATGATAGTACACTATCATCAATACATTAGGACAATCTCATCTACAATTTGCTTGCTTGACATCATACGGCATTCAACGCTGACATTCAATCTTAGAAAAATCGGGACTGTATCAATATTATCGCTGTGGACCCAGTAAACGTTCAGTCGAGAGGCCAGAGCCTGTTATTGTGGGAAGTGTTTTTCTTTGGCCGTGGGTGATTTCCTGTAATTATAACTCGGCGCTCCAAATAGTGGAGTGACGTCACAGAGTGCATGACCTGGTGACAGACGATGTATGGGAAAATAAACATGAAATGTATGTGTATGATATGTGCGGACATTTCCAATAAACAGTGCAGCTTGCATGCATATTGGCACGTGATACATGTTTATGTAAAGGCGTCTGTATAATGCAGTGATGTTGAAATTGTCGTCATGCAGCGCGACCTCTTAGATTTTAACTGTTTCCGGGTTTAAAATACGACATTGAATTGTGTTTTAAAGTTTTGAGATTTTACAGCATAAACCACGGAATTACAACACACACTAATCGTATCTATCATCATGACATACCATTCCGTCATTGCCACACTCCGTCAACCGAGACACACTTGCCGTGGTACTCTATCAGTGTATTATAGTCCACAAACCACATGTTGCAGGACGACACATGGTTATTTATCGATTTCCCTAGTGAGTATAACATTATCCGTAAACCTAATAGCTGAGATACATATTTGTCATCGATCTATCCATGTATTATTCCCAAGGAAAATATCTTTCCAAGAAGTGAGTGAGTGAGTGAGTGAGTTGTGTTTAACGCCGCTTTTAACACTATTCCAGTTATATCGCGGCGTGTCAGCCTAATGTGGGAGGAAAGCCCGAAGTGATGCAGGTCTCAGACGTTTACCACTTCGGTGAAAGCCACGAGCACGGGTATGGTGCTGACAAACCTAGAAACATAATCGGGGCGAACCGGGATTCGAACCCACAATCATAGGTTTCTGGCATGCCCAAGGGACGCAACTCTGCACAGCGAATTGCGGCGCCTTAGACGACTGGGTCACCCGTGCCCCCTCTTTCCAAGGAAGGTGAATGTGTTCCTGCGTTGATGGTTATGGTGTCTCTGTTTGGCCAATTATAAAGTATTTTTGTTTCTCGTGACTTTTCCTCCAACCTTGGGGACGGTTGGGTAGCCTAGTGGTTAAAGCGACATGGGTGAAATATGTGAAGCCCATTTCTGGCGTCCACCGCCATGATTCTGCTGGAATATTGCTACAAGCTGCGTAAAACCATACTCACTCTTCCAACGTTGACTTACTAGGGAGGGAGGAATTAAAAAAATGTACTTCTTTAGCAGGTTACAGATCTATTGAATTAATCTGACGCGAGGTGCAAAAGTCGAAATCCGGTGCAAAACGATTGTGGGGTGCGCGATTTATTGGAATTATTCTATACTCTTTGTTTTGACATCATTTCGGGATTTGTCATTAAACCGTAGGATGAACAATTAATATGCATACTATACTAGTAGGGTTGAATTATGGGATAAGTCGATGAGAGAAACTAGCCGTTCCCAAACGACCATAATATTAGACGCTCCATAATATAATTTTATACAGTCCTCAAACTCAACGTTTATTTCTCATGTTCTTAGGGAAACTGGTAGCGCGACCCTGAGTTACGCCCCTTGGCTGTGCCAGGAACCACCGTTCCCAAATTCGCTTAGATCACGATCCTTGGTCTGTCAGCACTAGAGCAATCATGTTTACGTCTATTCTCTTGCCCGTTATCAAGACATCACTTTCTTCTCAAGCTAGACTGCTAGCAATGGCATAACTTAAATACCGTTCGAAATGCGTCACTTCTCTCGCCTCGTCCTCGAGAATAAATAAAAAAATATATCCAATATATATAACTCGAATCCAGAATGCTTTGGCAAGTCTAGATTGCCTCAGCTCTATGTTCTTTCATGTCTGTTTTTTTTGGTAGATTATATATATTTCTAAATAAGATAACTTAATTTTGGGACTAAATGTCAGTCTACCCGACCACCACACACTTCCCTTTGTACACCGCTGCTCGGTAATGAGATGTGACCTACAAATGCACGGTGTACTGCAGGCCGCGCCAGTCCATGAGTCACCCAGGCAGGACTGCCCCGTCTCGATCAGCGCTGTTATCACAGGTCAAACCTGTCCCTGTCATATCCATTTCCAAATGAAAGACTAACTGACGTTCTCGACCTGAACGAGTTGACGCACAGGGGACCCGTTTTATATTCGTGAGGGCACCCATGAAAGCTTGCAGTTACGAGTGAGTGAGTGAGTTGGGTTTAACGCCGCTTTTAACAGTATTCCAGTTATATCGCGGCGTGTCAGCTTAATTTGGGAGGAAAGCCCGAAGTGATGCAGGTCTCAGACGTTTACCGCTTCGGTGAAAGCCACGAGCACGGGTATGGTGCTGACAAACCTAGAAAAATAATCGGGGCAAACCGGGATTCGAACCCACAATCATAGGTTTCTGGCGTGCCCAAGGGACGCAACTCTGCCCAGCGAATCGCGGCGCCTTAGACGACTGGGCCACCCGTGTCCCCTCCCCCCTTGCAGTTACGAAACTTTAGTTTAATCGCTAATGGCAAAGAATAGGACAATTATGAAAATTAATGTATTATTTTACTTTATGTTAATGAACATATTCATCAGCCATTATCACTACGTAGCTCGTCATCTTGCGGTACGAACATCTTGCTTAAAGAGTTCTGTCGATGGTATCATTCGGGTCCACTGGGCCCATTCCGTTGCCGTCAAAAACAGCAAGTTCCGGTCTCTCAGTCAAACGTGGAAACAAGTTATGTCAGCGCCCTCTGTTGGCAGTCGGAGGACCCCGGGCAGCACTGGACGTGTAATATTTAATTAATTAAATGTAAACCGATTACCGACTGAACCTTCCACATGTAGTTTGTTGATTGTTTGTTTGTTCGTTGTAGCCAATAATAATATTGCTGGCGAAGCATTAGGTTGGTTGGTTTGTTGTTTAACGCCGCATTCCGCAATATTCCAGCTATATGACACCGGTCTGTAAATAAACGAGTCTGGACCCGACCATCCAGTGATTGGCATCATGAGCATGGACCCACGCAATTTGGATCGATGACATGCATCAACCAAGTCAGTCAGCCTGACCACCCGATCCCGTTAGTCAGGCTCGCTGACTTGGTTATATGCATGTCATCGATCCAAATTGCGTGGATCGATGCTCATGATGTCAGGACTAGTGAAACTAGCATTTCAGTTGCAATTTGGATTCCTCCCAATGCCGGCCGTGATCAGTTGGTTTTGATCGGTTTGGAGCCTGTGGTCGTTAAAGTCGCACTTATAGTTGCTCAAAGAAGCGGCCCAAAAATACGTCGTGGGGCGCCACCATTACACAATTAGATTTTCCCAAACGAGAGTGACACAAGCTAACGTTCCGACTGTGTGTAGGTATGTGCTGTGACACAAGCTAACGTTCTGACTGTGTGTAGGTATGTGCTGTGACACAAGCTAACGTTCTGACTGTGTGTAGGTATGTGCTTTGACACAAGCTAACGTTCTGACTCTGTGTAATTATGTGCTGTGACACAAGCTAACGTTCTGACTCTGTGTAGGTATGTGCTGTGATACAAGCTAACGTTCTGACTGTGTAGGTATGTGCTGTGACACAAGCTAACGTTCTGACTGTGTAGGTATGTGCTGTGACACATGCTAACGTTCTGACTGTGTGTAGGTATGTGCTGTGACACAAGCTAACGTTCTGACTCTGTGTAGGTATGTGCTGTGTCTGAGTGGGGTATTCATGTTAAACTGCGGCATGGTATCTCAGTGTGCTAGCACTATAAATCGGCATCAGACCGGACTAGTACAAGCAGCCACACAATCACACACACGTACATGCACGTCGCTATATAAGTGCAATAATCTTGTACGCGACGTTAAACCCCATTTCACCTCACCTTAATTTGGCTACATTGACACTTAATAAAAGTGACAGTATGTTTGTTTGTTGTTTAACGCCGCACTCTGCAATATTCAAGCTATATGACGGCGGTCTGTAAATAATCGAGTGTGGACCAGACAATCAAATGAATGACATCATGACATCAACCAAGCCAGCGAGCCTGACCCCCCGATCCGGTTAGTCGCCTCTTATGACAAGCATAGTCGCCTTTTACGGCAAGCATGGGTTGCTGAAGAGCTATTCTACGGTCCAAAAGTGACAGTAACAATCATGTCCTGTGTTCAAGCAGGTCTAGCTACAAACCCAGAAAATGAATGTCCAAGGCTTAACTAGATTCTGTTTGGAGTGAGGAGGTATATTTTTACGCTGCCTGTCAACACTATCAGGACGTGGGACACAAGGGGTATTAGGGATATAAGTTAGTGTGAAACTAACAAGCAACCAACACGTGGTATATAATAAACAAGTATATTACAAAATTCACTAAGTTTACAAATGAATACAAATTACTGCACAGCAGTTACAATATAGCAGTAAACAACAGAGTTGTAGTACAATATTCAATGGCGATATATGATGGCAATGATCAGTATCAAATACACAAATACAGTGGTGATAACAAAAGTCAGGGAAAATAATGTATATTCACCTAGCGGCGACCTTGGTCAAGCTTCCGAGATGGGCTGGGCAGGGAATCAGAGATGATGAGCGATCCTCACATGGAAGCTGGTTCAAACGTGATGAAATGCTCGATAGATACGTAAACGCGCTCTCGTCTCACTATATATACACCCTGACAAACAACTTGAAATTTCTATACAGTACCCTCACCAGTCTAACGGTAATGGAACATTAAAGAAGTTTCCATAACATACTATCACCGTCCGCGGTATACAGGGCCGGAAGTTTACACTAGACAATAACATATAAATATAGTAACTTCCTGACGACTGATTACTGTCCAAACACAATACAATTGAGCGTCTACCGGATCCCAACAGAAACAAAGCAATACAGCTTCAACCAATGTTAAACAATACGCCATGTACAAAATACACTGCCATGTAGCAATGTAGTTGATACACTGACGGACTAACTGGTCGTGGAGGACCATGGACGCCACATAAATATAATGTTTTATATCTTCTTGTATGTTTTCAGTGCTGAGCCTGAAGTGTGCCCAGTGCACGTCAATCCACACCCGGCCCTGTGCGAGCGGGAGGGTGGAGCCGACAGATTGTATGGGCCTGTATCAAGGAGCACAGTTTTGTGTGACGTACGCCGGCACTATCAGAACAGGTACACGTTACAGGAACCCCCGCATCTCCATGTCGATAGGGTCAGGTGTTATCTCTGTGTCAAAAGCTGTTGAGCAATGCGAGGTATATTCAGGGAGTTGTGTGAAACTGGTATGTGTAAAGTCGGGTGAGGGTTCTGGAGACATAGAACCGACTGGATAATAAATGTGTCGTTTTGCTTTGAGACATTATCATTATTGTTCCCTTTACATCGGCCAGTGTACTTCCGTTTCATGACGCAAGTAATATATGCTGAAGCCCGCATCTCTAGCTGTGCAGAGTTGCCTCCCTTAGTAGTTAGGATCCGCTTGCCGTGGTGTCGAGTCCTAGATTCGCCCCTATTATGACCATTCATTCGTCAACACCCTACTCATACTTTCGAGTTTCGTGGTAAACGACTGCATTCTGGGTCATCTATGCTTTCCTTCCTCATTATGATGATGCAGTGCTATACCTGAAATACAGTTCAGCCATGATCAAGGGGCACAGGCAGTCAGTCGCCACCGCATGTCGCTGTGCAGAGAAGACGACCTGTATCAGTCCCGTGAACCCATACAACCCATGCTTGCCGTAAAAGGTGACGATGCGTGTCGTAAGAGGCGACTAACGGGGTCGGATGGTCAGGCTTGCTGAATTTGGTTGATGCATGTCGTCGTATCCCAATTGCGTGGATCACTGCTCATGATGTCAATCCATGTATTATCTGGTCCAAATTCGATTATTTACAGACCGCCGTCATTTATTAGGAATATTGCTGAGTTCGGCGTTAAATAGCAAACAAACAAACGACCTGCATCATGTTCTTTCTCATCAAGCTGACACGCCATGGTTTAAGTGAAATATTGTTTCAAACGGCACTAACCGAGCTCAATCGCTCAATCATGATCACCCTCTGCACATGTAATGCCATAGCAATTGTCTCCTCCAAACAGGTCGGGTTGTGTTCCGCGACTGCAGCTACGTGGACATGCACACCATCTGCCGGAGCCAGCTGATGGAGAACCAGAAGACGGAGGTCTGCTATGAAACGTGCGACACAGATGGGTGTAACTCCGTGCCCAGCTCAAGCCGCCCCTTCTATACACCAGGTGCAATCGTCATGCCATGTCTGATCCTGGCATTACTCATGCCCAGGTGACAGGTCTCATCCTGGCATTACTCATGCCCAGGTGACATGTCTAATCCTGGCATTACTCGCTGGCATCAATCATGTATAGATGACATGTCTCATCCGGGCTTTACTCATACAAGGTGACAGGTCTCATCCTGGCATTACTCATGCCCAGGTGACAAGTCTCGTCCTGGCATTACTCATGCCCAGGTGACAGGTCTCATCCTGGCATTACTCATGCCCAGGTGACAGGTCTCATCCTGGCATTACTCATGCCCAGGTGACATGTCTAATCCTGGCATTACTCGCTGGCATCAATCATGTATAGATCACATGTCTCATCCTGGCATTACTCATGCCCAGGTGACAAGTCTCGTCCTGGCATTACTCATGCCCAGGTGACAGGTCTCATCCAGGCATTACTCATGCCCAGGTGACAGGTCTCATCCTGGAATTACTCATGACCAGGTGACATGTCTAATACTGGCATTACTCGCTGGCATCACTCATGTATAGATGACAGGTCTCATCCCGACTTTACTCATGCCAGGTGGCAGGTCTTATGCTGGCAATACCCATGCTCAGGTGGCAGATCTGATCCTGACATTATTCATTCTCAGGTGACAGGTCTTATCCTGACATTATTCATGTTCAGGTGACAGGTCTTATACTGGCATTATTCATGCTCAGGTGACAGATCTCATCCTGACGTTATTCGTGCTCAGATAACAGGTCTGATCCTTGCATTATCATGCGCAGGTGACAGGTCTAATCCTGACAATACAGATGCTCAGGTGACATATCTGATCCTGGCAATACAGATGCTCAGGTGACAGATTTCATCCTGGCATTACTCATGCTCAGGTGACAGATCCCAACCTGGCATTATTCATGCGCGGGTGACAGATCTCATCCTGGCAATACAGATGCTCAGGTGACAGATCTCATCCTGGCAATACAGATGCTCAGGTGACAGATCTCATCCTGGCAATACAGATGCTCAGGTGACAGATCTCATCCTGGCAATACAGATGCTCAGGTGACAGATCTCATCCTGGCAATACAGATGCTCAGGTGACAGATCTCATCCTGGCAATACAGATGCTCAGGTGACAGATTTTATCCTGGCAATACAGATGCTCAGGTGACAGATCTCATCCTGGCATTACTCATGCTCAGGTGACAGATCCCATCCTGGCATTATTCATGCGCAGGTGACAGATCTCATCCTGGCATTACTCATGCGCAGGTGACAGATCTCATCATGGCATTACTCATGCTCAGGTGACAGATCCCATCCTGGCATTATTCATGCGCAGGTGACAGATCTCATCCTGGCAATACAGATGCTCAGGTGACCGATCTCATCCTGGCAATACTGATGTTAAGGTGATAGGTGTCATCCTTGTATTTACCCACGTCCATGCGACAGCTGGGTTCATCGTTTCATTACTCATGTGCAGGTGTCATGGTGAGATTATCTCAAACATCATTTTAAATATATCGCTGTTGATAAAATGTATGTGGGTTTCATGGATTGTTCGGTAGATGAAGTTTACCCATCCGATAACCTGGAACCCGATTTGGTTGAATATTGAACATGGCCGCACGGATAAGAACTATTCCTGCAACTGACTTTGAACTCCTTTGAGGCGCCGTTAAAGCCATCAATCGTGAACGATGTAATCTAATTTTCTTAATGTACATTTTAGGCATCGTTAGTGCTTGAACTGTTCTCAGGTTGATTTGTGACTTGATTTGTTGATGCGTGAATGAGTGAATATTGTTAAACGCCGTCGTCAGCAATATTCCAGCTATATAACAGCGGGCTGTAGATAATCGAGTTAGTAACAACCCGATGGGATTGGTTCGTCTAGTACACAAACAATAGAGTGTTGGGAGTATTCTATCCTGGGAATGAGGGGCGATCGGGTAGCCTAGTGGTTAAAGCGTTCGCTCGTCACGCCGAAGACCCGGGTTCGATTCCCGACATGGGTACAATGTATGAAGCCAATTTCTGGTGTCCCCCGCCGTGATATTGCTGGAATATTGCTAAAAGCGGCGTAAAACCATACTCACTCACTCACTCACTATTCTGGGAACTGACGTGTCCTTCCAGAATTGACTGTCCACTCAAAGAGGACCTCTGATAAAGGCAGCACTTGTTCAAAGACACGAAGACACCGTTACAGAATATGGAGTGTTGTTCATCATGTATGTTAGGTGATAGGTCTATTGTTTGAACTGTGTGTTTGTTATGGTTGATTAGCATGTGTATATCGAGTAACTGTGAGATTGTATTGTACATTAAAGTTCAGCAATTGTAGTTGATAAATTTCTAATTTTACAGATGTTGTTTGGCGTGAGATATTCACCTGTTTTGCCTACAGCCTTAAAGTATGAATGTTTTAATTACATGTGTACCCAACAGGATCGAATTATGTTTGATAAACCTACGTATAAGAAATTATATATCTGTGTCATGTTTTCCTTCTGTCATGCAGAGTTGCGTCCCTTGGACACGCCAGGAACTTATGATCCTGGGTTTTTGTCCAGCTCGACCCGATTATGTTTTTTGGTTTGTCAGCACCATACCTGTCCTCGTGGGTTTGCCCAGTAAAAGACTGACCGTCCCCGGTAAAACATTGTCGATTTCCCATATGGGTTTCCACACATATCATGCCTAAAGATGATTGAACATCTTGTGTTCTTCAATGTTGACAGCCCGATACTCCGTTTTAAAATTATAAGCGACCTCTTCAACATGTGGTGGTTTCATGTTTGTTATGTACTGTTCCTTTCCACTCTCAATTCCATTGGCGGTCGGGTAGCCTAGTGGTGAAGGCGTTCGCTCGTCACGCCGAAGAACCGGGTTCGATCCCCGACATGCGTACAATGTGTGAAGCCGATTTCTGGTGTCCCCCGCCGTGATATTGCTGGAATATTGCTAAAGAACCATACTCACTCACTCACTCTTAGTTCCACTGGTGAGTAGCAGCTTGTCACGTAATGTTACAGCCCGGTTGATGTTTCTGCATCCGTCTCCAAGCGCCGTCAAAGTGCACAGTGTAGAATATAACTTTTTATTCTCCCTTTCGCCAGTCGATGTACCTTGATTACAGTGAAATGTCACATCAGCACTGTTTCAGCAATACAGCAAGCGATTGTGTGGGATAATGGCAATGTGTATTCATATTCATAATGTGGACGTTTCCACCATAAAGGCTGAACTTTAGTATTAATGGACTTCCTGCTTATCTGCGTAGTCTGTATGTCTCCATCTGGCAAATTAGATCCGGGTAAGAATAGATCTTCAGCAACCCATTCTTGCCGTAAAAGGCAACTATCCTTGTCGTAAGATACGACGATCGGGATCGGGTGGGCAGGCTCGCAAACGATGTTCATGCATGTCATCGTATTCCTATTGTGTGGATCGATGCTCATGATGTCAATCACTGGATTGTCTGGTTCAGACTCGATTATTAACAGACCGCCGTCATGTAGCTGGACTATTGCTGAGTGCGGCGTTAAACAAACAACATATCTACGAAATGGTGTAGTGTGATTTGTTCTTGTACAGTTGTAAGATGGTATGTATACTGATTCACCAAGCTAGGAATATAAGACATTGTGGCAAAAGCTATACTGCTACCAAGACTAGCTTCTACATAGTGACCAATGTCATACACATGCTTTGGAAACAGCCTTGCTGGATTACTGGATTAATTATATACAATATTAAAACAATATTGAACTGAAACAATAATGAATGACATACCACTTTATATCAAAGCAATAAATGAAATATCATTTAGTTTTTAGACGAAAATATTTATTTATTTAATACAAATCAAGAAAAGGCAGCACTATTTTTTGGGCAAGTTAGAAGGTACGATCTCTTGTGTATTATTAACCTTTCGCACATGTCAGTGGTTGAGTGAGTGTGGTGTTACACCGCTTTTAGCAATATTCCAGCAATTTCACGGCGGGGGACAACAGAAATGGGCTATTGCAGCCATGTCGGGAATCGAACCCGGGTCTTCGCCGTGACGAGCGAACGCTTTAACCACTAGGCTACCCGACCGCCCCTCGCACATGTCAAGTGTTATCTTTCACCTGTGTCTAATCTAATACCTGCAAATACCCTCACCTGAATTGGCACACGAAGATCTACTGTACATGCCGTTTGCATATGTACTGCCACAACTGTGCGTGTTCTGAGCTCAGATTAAGTGTTGTAACATAATGCTCATTATACAGGTGAGGTGAAATTGGGTTTAACGTCGCGTCCAAGATTATTGCACTTATATAGCGACGTGCATGCACGTGTATGTGTGTGTGTGGCTGCTTGTACTAGTCCGGACTGATGCCGATTTATACCATGGAGATACCATGCCGCAGTTTAACATGAATACCCCACTCAGACACAGTATACTGACTCCGAGCCGACCAGTCCTTGTTTTAGCCCCTTAATGCCGAGCGCCAGACAGGGTAACAAGAAGTATAATCTTTTAACGTCTTTTTGTATGACGCGGCCCGGGATCGAACCGTGGACCTTCCGCTCTCCGGGCGGACACTCTACCACAAGACCACGGAGGCGGTCCCTCATTATACAGACCAGTTACAATCGTTGAAGGCGTGATACAAAATGCAATTTGTTTGGCCTCACCTAACTCAGAAACGTTTCTTGCACTTGACGTTTTACAAGGTAAGGAGTAGGAAATTGTCCTGTGCATGACACACAAATCACACAGGCGCTGAATTAAAGCAACACTGGCGGTAAAGAGAGGTTGGGTGGTTGCTTGATTGTTTGTTGTTTAACGCCGCACTCAGCAATAGTCCAGCTATATGACGGCTGGTCGAGTCTGGACCAAACAATCCAGTGATTGTCATCATGAACATCCATCCACGCAATTGGGATACGATGACATCCAACCAACTCAGCGAACCTGACCGCCCGATCCCGTTAGTCGCCTCTAACGACAAGCATAGTCGCTTTTTACGGCAAGCGTGGGTTGCTGAATACCTATTCTACCCCGGATCTTCACGGGTCGCAGGTATATGAATAATTACCCATATTCAGGAGATATTCGATTGGTAAGATTCACAAACGAACATACTAGTATGAACGCATCACATGTGACGTCATAGATCCATGATTCGAGATGTATGCACACGAGCGTGTATATCGTGATAACAATAAAGTCACTGTGGTAACACTTGACTGATTGTTAGTTTTGAGAGCGAGAGAGAGAGAGAGAGAGAGAGAGAGAGAGTTTATGACAAGAATAAACAATATGTCATTTGTAAAAAGGGATAGCACTGAAAACTCAGCATAGTGATTAATAATGTGTTTAACATATACAAAATTATATATTTCATATATATTGAAATTGCTTTTCGGTAGTGATAATAAATATACGACTAAGCAGCATTCCAAACGCTTATTAACGCAAGGTTCGCCATGCAGAACTGTAACACATGGTAAAGGTATATTTTAAAAATATAATCAATATGCACAACAACGCTCATACATATCACTGTTGTATTTGTCTAAATGGGCAGGCGGATATGAGATGCTCTTCATTTCAAATATGTAAACATTAACAATTACTTCTTTTGTTTCTTATCAAAATGACCTATATCATCCATGCATCTATCCTGAAGGTTATTTCTGTTACCATTGGGATATCCATATATATTGGGATTTAACGGTTTCACAAATTCACGTGACTATCATATCGCACGAAACACGTTGGTGACACATGTTACCATTACTGCTCTGGTTCTATATGCTCTAGTTGCGTACGATCGAGGAACATGTGTAGAGCAAAGAGCACAAATTGTGGTACGTGGTGGGTTTTATCTGACAGGTCAAAGGTTCCTGATTACGAGGGTTGACTGTCGAGGTGAGTCGTCTCATGTGTTTTGTAGATGTTCTTCTTTATTGAAGTAAAAAGTCTAATCAACTTCAATTTTAAGATGCATACACGGGTTGCTACCTTCAATCTTTCTCATTTCACTTCCACACATTGACCTATTAAGACGATCACACGGAGCACATGTTGTTTTGTCCAGCAAGTCATAGTGTTGTACGGAAATAGCACAGATAAGGCAAACCTGCGATGAGACAAATGTTATTGAATATATTGCATATCCATAGTCAATGAACTAGTTTTGGGCTTTTCATTCTTACAGGTAAATAGCTGTAAGACAATTGATTCATAAGGCGTGTTTCATATATACTCAACAACAAAAGTTCCTGTGACACCAATATTTTAGTGTGTTTTTCAAACAAGTAAAGTTTGGTTTTCAATATTGTAGTACATGTATGGAATCAAGTAACAAAAACGCAACTGCTACAGAAAAAACATGCATTCCATGCAAAAGTTGACTTTTATGCAAGCCCCATGCATTTCACTACCCAAGAATGGGTATAAAAAAATGTGCGTTAACGGGATTCCATATGCATTGTTTAGCATCGTGCTGACAACCACTCAGAAAAACAACACAATTACGCAATTATTCAACATTACGAAATGCCACGCCTGTCGTATGAACGTATGTGAGTGATTGGTATGCTTGAAGCAGGATTGAGTCAACGTGATGTTGCAAGACAATTTAACGTCAACAGAAACAACATTTGGTGTTAATGGCAACGTTGGCAACAGACGAATGTAGTCAGAGACCATCCTCGGAGTGGCAGGCCACGCGTAACAATAATCGACACGACAACTGGATTCGAAACAACACACCTACGAAATCGATTCCAGCCAGCAACAGTGACTGCAAGAAGCATCCCTGGCCTTCGACGAATATTTTCACAAACCGTACGTTGCCGCCTCAGATGTGCAGGAATTATCGCCAGAAGACCCGCCAGACATCCCATTTTGACAGGCAACAACTGTCAAGCACATCTTAGGTGGTGCAGACAGCGTCTACGCTGGACGGCCATGCCGTGGGGAAAAGTTATATTCACTGGTGAGTTTCGTTTTCACCTCAGCCACAGCGATGGACGGATTCGAGTGTACCGACGTCGAGGTGAACGTTACGTCAATCATTGTGTCATGGAAGAAGATCAGTTCGGGGGCGACAGCGTTATGGTATGGGGTGGGATTACAGCGAAACAGAGGACCTGTTTGATAGAGGTATAGAGAAATCTCAATGGACAGCGCTACAGCGACGAGATCATCGGCCCTGTTGTTCTACCGTTTTTGCGTCGTCATGGCCCAGGCATTACCTTTCAACATGACAACGCCTGGCCTCATATTGCTCGACTTGTTCAGAATTCTCTTCAACAAAACAACGAAAATATCATTCCCTGGCCGGCTCGCTCCCCTGATCTCTCACCAATCGAGCACATGTGGGATGAGATGGATCGGCGCCTTCGACGTCAACCACGTGTTCCACAGACACTCCAGGAACTTCGAAACATGCTCAAGCAGATATGGACAGATATCTCACAGGACTTTATGCAACGCCTGGTCCATTCCATGAGACGAAGATGTGTTGCTTGCATCGCAACCGGAGGTGGACACACACGCTATTGATTTGTAAATTGACATTTTGGCATGTTCATGTTTTTTTTATGAAATCACGCATTTTCTGAAGTCAGTATGGCAAATTAAACCATTTGAACACTTACAGGAGTCTTTTATCTGTTGCAAACCGAAATTGTTTCAGATTTGGTAAAAACATAACTTTGCATTAAATCTTATTCAATGTCACAGGAACTATTGTTGTTCAGTATACAATTGGGTATGACATAGACATGTTTGTTTGTTGTTTAACGCCGCACTCAGCAATATTCCAGCTATATGACGGCGGTCTGTAAATAATCGAGTCTGGCTCAGACAATCCAGTGATTGATATCATGAGCATCGATCCACGCAATTGGGATCAATGACATGCATCAACCAAGTCAGCGAGCCTGACCAACCGATCCCGTTAGTCGCCTTTTACATAGACATAAAGACATTGACATGAACTCTGCTCAGGACGTAAACTAAAATATTCTGGAAGAGGGATGTTGGATGTAACTAAAGATAACATTTGCTACTTTCTATTTAAGATGACTCGCTATGCCGGAATGCTTGGTCTCCACTTCATCCAGCCGCTTTTCTGTGTGTCAGTCTTCTGTCTGCTTTACGTGTCAACATTTGGACTGATCCTTCCGAGTTTTCTTCTCACTGGAATAATTTCTATATGCTACTGGGTAATTCGAAATGCAGGCACAAGGAAGAGGATTGATACACAAGGGAAATATATACTCATTACTGGTTGTGACACAGGTAGGGTTTAGTTTGAAGACCTCAAATAACACAAATACAGGCGTTACCAGCTTGGCTTTAGAAACTATTAACAAATACCTGAGAGTGATGACGAAGGCTTTTTAAGTGAGTAGTTAAATTGAGTACTGAGAGTCAAAAATATATCTTGTTATTAATCTTATCTGTGAGAGTGTGCATGTGGTTGTCACATGGCTTGTGTGCATTTTCAGCGAAGCTGAACACGTAAATAATAATCTATCAGCGTCACTGCAAATTATTCATTTTTTTTGTAAATGTTTTCTTGATTCAGGTTTTGGAAATAGTCTTGCACGACTCCTTGATAGCAAGGGTCTTAAGGTCTTTGCCACCTGCCTTTCTGAACAAAGTGAAGGTGCCAAACTATTAAGGGAAAATGGAAGCAAGCAAATGCGTGTATTACAGCTGGACGTTAGTTCCGATGCGAGTGTTGATGCCTGCCTTGACAAGATCAAGCCCATATGTCTTGACGGTATGTACGGTATGTACGGACATTTCATGGAATGCATACTGAGACAGCTTTGTAGATAATCTAAAATGTTTTATTCACATATCTAGGCATATGATATATGCGCATGCAGAAAGAATGGTTAACAACGTAACCTTCACCAAAACGTAAATTCTTTTCCCATGCCAACCTAGTTTTTTGGAAAGTTGTTATTAACAAGCTTTATGCATAATTATTGAACGATGGAATTAAAGATATATACTGACCATCAAAAGAAACGCGAACCATCGACACATACAGAAAAGTAGGTACGTAAAGAAGGGATGTTTCCAATGTGTACCACTTAATGACAAACCTAACAACCAGCCAAGTGTTACCACAGAGTGTCTTTGTTCTCATCAGGATATGCTGCATGTAATTTCCAAAGTTTCCACGCAGATCATGCACGAGACAAATGGTGCATCTCGAGTCACGTATCTATGACGTCACATGTGATGCGTTCATGAGCGCCGGTTCAGACAACATAACAGTATGTTCGTTTGTGCATCAAGCAAATGTAATATCACTTGAGTATGAGTTAGTCTTCATATATTAACCAACATGTATTGTACTCGCGGTACTTTTGTCGGTGAGTATATGTACAGAGAACAATGCAGTGCTATGGTCCCTACGGTCACCAGCATATTGGCCCTGACATACCACTTTGGTACTAAATAATAATCTGGTAAGAAATTATCAGACATTATGGAATTCAAATTCTAAATCCAAACCTTTGAAATGTAAATTTGAAAAAAAACAATCATACTTAGTTACTGCAATTACCTTTTTAGCAATGGTGCATTTATGGTGTATATATCATTTCAGGTCTATGGACCTTGGTAAATAATGCTGGGATAATGGGCAAAGGCGATGTGGAGATACAGAGCATGGACACGTACAAGAGAATTGCAGAAGTCAACTTATTTGGGGTGGTTCGAATGTGTAAGGCTTTTCTGCCCCTTGTCAGACAATGTAAAGGTAAGCTTAGATTTGTTGATTTCAGTTATGGTTATGAGAATAACTCTACAAGATGTAGAACCATAATGATCCGGGGTAGAATAAGTCTTCAGCAACCCATGTTTGCCGTAAAAGGCGACTATGCTTGTCGTAAGAGGCGACTAATGGGATCGGGTGGTCAGACTCGCTGACTTGGTTGATGCATGTCATCGTATCCCAATTGCGTGGATCGATGCTCATGTTGTCAATCACTGAATTATCTGGTCTAGACTCGATTATTTACAGACCGCCGTCATATAGCTGGAATATTGCTGAGTGCGGCGTTAAACAACAGACAAACTAAAAAACCAAGATGTAGATGTTTTTAAAAGTCGAATCTTAGATTAATGAAGACAAGACATATGATGTATATGTTTTAGGTCGAGTTATTAACGTTACAAGCGTCAGAGGATTACAAGCGTTCTGTGCGGATTCGGGTTATGTTATGAGTAAGTTTGCTCTCGAGGGTTTTACGGACTGTCTGAGACTAGAGATGAGGAGGTTTGGAGTCAAGGTCATTCACGTGGAACCCGGAATGTTTGGGCTCAACACTGGTATATTCAATGATGAAAACGTAAGTTAATTTTGTTCTTTGCTGTCTAGATATTGTATCTACATTCACTTGACTACATGCTATATATTTACATCGAACACTTTGTGTCATCACTGATGTTTAATGATCCATATATATATTTTGCCTTGTACAGCCAATGGAATCTGTTTCAGCGAATCATCAAGACTGGTTATTCGCTAGCGTCGATGTAATATTGCGGGATTTCATATTTGACATGAACACTTATTGATCATAAATCATGAATCATCATGTGGTTGTATAAAAAACTACATGTACTATGAATTATTATTAACCAAAAACAACAGGTTGAGCGATATAAAGACTTGAACAAGAAGCTGATCGACAACGTCGGCGATGAAATTAGGGCAGCGTATGGACAAGAGTACCTAGACACATATATGCGACTGCCCAAGATGCGCCCAGGATCTTCTGACAAGGATCTTAAAGCAGTTTTGGATGCCTTTGAAGATGCCATACTGAGTCATCGGCCAGACAGTCGTTACCTTGTTGATGGGAAGAGGTTTGACGGCGACTGTGTGAGTCTACATGTATTTGAAGTATAATGAAGACTATGATCACTATGGACTACTTTGATTACTGATCAATCATGTAATCAAATCCTATGCATTTATACATCATTTCGGAAACTAATAAACAAAACTGCCATTATGATTTTGGTAATATATATTTATTAAGTTGTTCTCGTCTTGTATGTTGCTATTTTTTGTTTAATAATGACCTAAACTTGTCTTAACCTTTCAGATGATGGCTCGCCTGAGAAATATTCTGCCTGTTTTTATTATGGACCCACTGTATTTCTACCTACGTCCATTGCCAAAAGAAGCTTTCTATTCATGTACCACTTCAGGGCAACGAAGAAACTAAAGTTTATGATATGCATTTGTCAAAAGAGATCGACATTGATAATGCTGAAGAGTGTTAATAAAGCTTTTTGTATCTCCTCCACATCAATTGGAATCCATATTTCCGGTGTGGGGTGTGGCTGGGGGTGATTGAGGGCAGATATTTCTTTTAGAAGCCTGACATTAATTTTGTCAATCACAGCTTCAAGATATATATGTGAACCTTTGTTATGAAACAGTTATGAAACAGTTATGAAGGTATGATTGATAAGTTTCTGACCCTCACATAGAAGGAATTGAGTAAGAGTGAATTCTTTTGCTGTTGATATTACATATCAGAGGGGTACATCCTAAAAAACTGTCAAATTAGCAAACTATTTGCAAGTCATTAATATTAGCAGTACACGTTGAACGTGCAGTGATCGAGTCAGAATTCATTAACGAAAACTACAAGGGAAGGATGCCCCTTTCTATGTCACCTTAAAGAGATAGTCATCAGAATGTAAGCATTACAGGGAGTGCCTTGAATCCGAACCCTGACCTGAAAGGCCTATACCGCCAGCAACACCAGAAATGAATGACCGACCAGCGAATGACTGAGCCTCATATTGCTAGTTCAGTATGCATTTCCCAGGAGAGGACACTTCATTATCACAGAAAATCTGGCAATGACGAAAGTATCAACTCGTCGGGTTCCAAAGCTTCTGACAAAACACACGCCATGCACAACATATCTCGTGATAATCTAGCTATGTTTGAAGCTGATCCAAATAGTTCTTGCATTGATTTGTGACCAAGGGGGAAACCTGGGTTTAAACAACAATCACAACAAAGCATTTGACATCACACCACCAAACAAGGCAAAGACTGTCCCATCAGCTGGGAAAATTAAGGCCCTCTGTGTTCTGGGATGCTGAGGGTGTCATTTTAAAAAAAGATAGATAATAAACGGAGCATATTATGCTGAGCTTTTGAGGCAATTAAAGGGATGAAATTAAGACTTGCAATTGGCGACGTGGTAGGCTGATAAAGGTGTCCTCTTCCATCAGGACAATGCACCAGTGTGCAAGTCAGGCTTTGCCATGGCTACTGTTCACAACTGTAGCTTTGAACTCCTTATTCTCCTGATCTGGCTCTGTCATACTTCTATCTGTTGCAAAACATGACGAAACTCCAACCCGAACCAAATTCGATCGAACGACGACGTCATAGCATATGTGGAGACAGCCAAGAGAAGGACTGCTACGAAACTGGTATAAAATCATGATATTGTTGAAAAGGAAATGATAATGTCCTTTGTGAAGTAGTTCTTCGTGGGGCTCAGAACATACCAATCACCCCTCGTATTGTATTTCTCGTCTTGAGAAACATCACAACTCACCCATAGGTAGTTTTGCTGTCATTATATGCGTCGTGTCGACTTGACAAGTGTAGCTGTTCATAAAGAAGCTTATCAGTGTTATTAATATTACTGGCTACATTGCACAGCTATGCATGCGGAAATGGCTGATTCACGAGCAACAATGACATTTACAGTTTGCTTTCAATGGCTGTAGCAGATTAAATTATGAGCATGTAATATATGCACTTTAGTGATCGTCATGGAGACAACATTGCAGTTTCACGTTCCTATTGGTTTCCGAAATTTCTTTCAAAATCGTGATATCGGATGCTGTGTGTACAAAGGACACTGAATAGTAGAAATATCATGCTTGCATCCAATTAATTTTGTAATACATATGTGACAATTGCAATTTTTCAATGGAACTTCCTGGTCAATCATGTTTTAGTGGATAGTCTGCGATCTGAGCTTGGTAGTAGTTCCAGAGGAGATATCGAACATAGGGAGTGAGTGAGTATGGTTTTACGCCGCTTTTAGCAATATTCCAGCAATATCACTGCGGGGGACACCAGAAATGGGCTTCACACATTGTACCCATGTCGGGAATCGAACCCGGGTCTTCGGCGTGACGAGCGAACGCTTTAACCACTAGGCTACCCGACCGCCCCTCGAACATATGGAAGTCATTACTGACAGACTGACTGAGGGGCAATTATATATCTCTCGTTTGAAGAATGAATAAGATAGAAATTATACTGAGTCAAATTAAAAACTTTACATTTTAAAACGTAATCCCATATATACAACGGACAAATGTATCAGAGAAGGTAATTTTAATCATTAATGTCCAAAGAAATATTTTAATTAATGGTGGTAACCATAATTTGTTCCAAGCACCACGGTATTCGGTAGTAACATCAACAGTTTAAATCATAAGTCCTAAGCACGAGAATCTGATGGCACACAAGTTCAGTAGCGTGCATGGCCACCATGTGCGTTGACAGCTGCCACACAACGTCTCCGCATGGACCTTGTGATGCTTGTGAACACATGATTGGAAACACGACGCCATTGTTGCTGCAAAATGGTGCCAAGATCTTGCAAATTCTGTGGTTGGTTCTGGAGAGTGCGCAGACTTCTGCCAAGAGCATCCCAGACGTGTTCGATGGGATTGAGGTCGGGAGACCTTGACGGCCAGTCAATGACGTTGACGTTGACTGAAGGAATTTCTTGTCAAAATTGCTGTGTGGGGTCTGGCATTGTCGTTTTGGAAGATCAAACCGGGTCCATGTGCTGCCATAAAAGGCAGAAATTCTGGTGCCAGTACCTGGTCGCGGTAAGCAGCAGTGTTGAGGTTGCCACGGATGACAAAAAGCCTGGAACGTGCATTGCCACAGAAAGCACCCCACACCATGACACTTCCGCCTCGAAATCTGTCAACTTCCTGTACACACTGGACGTAACGTTCATGACGGCGCATCCACACCCTCGCCCTACCATCAGCAAATCGAAGATTAAATCGGGATTCATCACTGAAGACGACTTGATTCCATCGTAAGTGTCGCTGTGGCCACAATTGACCTTGACGTCTGTGTAATTGAGTCAGAATCGGCCCGCAGTATGGCCGTCGTGCTTGAAGGTGAGCAGTTCTCAGACGGTTTCGAACAGTTTGCGAACTCAGTCCACCCCTAAAGAGTTCATTTCTGGTTGATGTAGCCGTCAAAAATCGGTTACGGAGGTGACGTAAGACAATCTGACGATCCTCTGCATGTGACGTCACACGTGGTCGACCTGGCCGAGGGCGATCAGCGGTGGTACCCGTTTGCTGTAGATGCGTCTGTAAATCATAAACAGTCCGTCGACTACAACCCATCGTCCTTGCGACTTCAGCTACAGATGTTCCCGTTTGCAACATGCCAATGACACGTTTACGCTGCACATTTTAAAGGCGTGGCATGACAAATGGCCGTAAAGACTTTTTTTCTTGTGTTTTTTCTGGCTGAAAACACGTGCGGTATTATGGCCACGTGACCAGCTGCACGTGAAAAAACACTTTTGCCACTATAGTGCTGTGCACATGATTTTGATCGATTCACCTGCACAAAAACGGGTGTCATCTGAAGATAATACGTGGTCATTACTGTTTAAATACACAATAAGGGCCCACAATGATAACTGGTCAAAATGTTAAAATGTTAGGATTGTGAAGTTTTTAATTTGGTTCAGTATATTTTCTCCTAGCGGTATGTCTATCAAGGTGATTATGTGCCCCTAGGTGGCGTGATTAAGGGAGTATATAAGGGGTAGCACAATTTTGAATTGTTCTCTCTCGCTCACTGTGCATACACGGCCTCACAAATGTTTTCTTCAATATGGATACAGAAGCTAAACTGGACGCCACTTTGCAACAGCTTTATTCGAACAGAACAGAGTTTCAATCCCCTCTTAATGAGATTGGTTCATTTAGGGAAGAGTTTATACAGACGTCAAGAGATTTAAAGAAGTTGAATGCAGAAAAAGATTCTACATGGTCAAGAGAAGGGAATAAAATTCAATTCAACTTGAATCAGGACAGTATAGATTGTCTCAAGACAATTCTGGAAGATATCTAGTCTTCTCGTCTGGACGAAGCAGGAGTTTCCGTAACGTCAGAGCTCGACAGGATGAAACAGAAGGAACAAGCTTATTAAAATAGCAGATACATCTGAAGGTGGATGGCAAACGGTTAAGAACTATGTTTCGCATGAGCTGGCGGATGATTCCGATGACGACAAACGTATCAACAGAACTGAAAGCAAAGCTGTCCGGAAACTCAAACAGAAACGTGCCAGGCAAGCGCCGCACTCTACAAATAGGTCAAGACGTTCGGCGACTGTCACCCATCCCGTGCAAGTTGCTGTTCAACCTGGTTCTACTTTACATCATATGCAGCCAATTACAAACCAGCTTTTTCGTGGAAAAGGGCAACGATCAGGGGCCTGTTTCGCATGTGGCGAATTCTCTCACTTTAGGAAAGACTGTCCTTGAACAGGTCAAGGGGCGACAGCCGGCGGACAGGTTGCCTCAAGTCAGCAACGCCAGTAGTTCTGGTCAAGATTTGTCAGTTAAGTATTTCAATGATAACTTTGTTATCAATGATAGCAAGTTCTCTGATAACTATTTTGAGTATGAACAAGGGACAGCTGAAATCTTAGTCAGGGGCCGTCTCAAAAGTAATATACAGTATTGGCGTGAGATAGGTGCATCTCTATGTGTTATTGATTGGATTGCTAATGGATATATAATTCCGTTTATTACGACTCCGCCTAAATTGCATAATAAGAATAACAAGTCTGCTATTAAACACAGAGATTTTGTCTCGCAGGCTATTGGGAGTTGTTGAAGAAGGACCTGGTGTGCCAATGTGTTGCTCCCCCTAGTGTTGTTAGTCCTTTGTCTGTTTCAGTACAGTCGTCAGGACAAAGACGTTTAATCCTTGATCTTAGCTGAGTCAATAACTATATCTTCAAGCCGAGTATTAAATATGAAGATTTGAAGACTGCATTAGCATATATTAATATGAATGATTGGTTGATAAAATTTGATATCCACTCAGCATACCATCATATAGACATATTTCCATCTTATACTAATTTTCTTGCTTTTGCATGATTAACGAAGCAGGTAGGATGAGCTACTACAAATTCTTGGTTTTGCCTTTTGGTTTGACGTCTGCTCCATATGTTTTTGTACAAAAAGTCATGAAACAGCTAGTCAAAAAGTGGATGTTTGATGGCCATAAGATAGTTACCTTCCTAGACGATGGCATTCTATCTGTATCTACGGATATTGGAGCGCAGACAGCTGGGTGTCATATAAAGAGAGATCTGCTTTCTTCAGGCTTTGTTCCTAAAGTTGAGAAATCACTTTGGCTACCGTCACAATCTCTTGAATGGCTTGGTTTTGGTATCGATACTACTTCCATGACTATGACTGTACCTCTCAGGAAGGTTGACAAGGTCAAACAAGCTAACCGTGTATCGGTTACATCTGTAGCATCAATTGTTGGTCAATTAATTTCTATGAAATTAGTGAAAGGACCAGTTATACAACTCATGACAAGAGCTGTGAGTATTGATTTTGTTGCTGCTTCATCATGAAACAGTCTTATATACTTGTCAGATACTAGCATCAAGAAGTTGACATTTTGGCGTCGCAATATACATAGGTATATTTCTAGAACGATTGTGATGCAAGCCAAAGTGGTTATGGTGGATACTGCGTGGATGTAGACTATGTCGTATCCCATGGACAGTGATCCAGTGATGAAACTACTCGCAGCTCTACATGGAGAGAGCTGAAAGCTGTGTTTCTGGTTCTCCAAAGCTTTTTGCAACCCTAGGTCATCAGAGAGTCAAATTGTTTACTGACAATCAAAATGTTGTATCTATTATTGAGCAAGGTAGTATGAATCTTCATTTACAATCGCTTGCTTTGCAGATCTTTGATCTATGTTTACAGTACAGTGTTGAGCTCCATCTCCAGTGGATTCCTCGCTATGAGAACATGCAAGCTGACTATCTTAGCAAGCTTATTGATTACGATGATTGGGGTATTTCCAAAACTATTTTTCAGGAACTAGATGAGAAATGGGGACCCCATCAAGTTGATAGGCTGGCTTCATATAATAACACAAAAGTTGTCCAGTTTAACTCTCGTTTTAGTAATCCTGGATGCCAGGTTTCACTGTTAACTGGAGAGGTACAATTAGTTGGGTTGTTCCCCCTATTTGTTGGATACCGCGAGTAATCAAACACATGGCAGAGTGTCGTGCAATTGGAACGTTGGTCGTCCCAGAGTGGCATTCAGCGTGATTTTGGCCACTGTTATATTAGAATTCTGAGGGCAAATATATTTGCCTTGGGCCAAAGAAGCTTATGTTGCAAGCAGAATCAAAGATGGTTTGTTCGGTGAACACGATTTGCAATTTGATATGATTGCACTTTAGGTAGATTTTAGGTAATATTTTGTTGTGTATTTACAGATATCCTTCTGAATGCCTAAAGTGATGAACTTGATGAACTCCCTTTGAATGTACGCCAGTTAGCTGGACAGCTACCAGGTTTGTTGGCACGGTCCAGGGCAGATTCTACATATAAAACATATAGCAATGGATTTGCTGCTTGGAAAAGATGCGCAAACGCTAATAATGTGTGTGATCTGTTGCCCGTTTCACATTTGCATTATGCTATTTATCTGTTGTCTGTTGTGCAACAGAGTGAAACATTATCACCAGTGTTAACGGCATTTTATAGTTTAAGGTATGCTCATTGTAGCATTGGACTAGAGAGTCCCACTGAAAATAGCCTTGTCAAGAATGTTTTGGAAGGAGCAAGGCGCAAACTGTCTAAAACCAGTGGTTAAAAGGAGCCAATCACAGTTGATATACTTGAACGTTTGTATGATTCAAAAATGATCAATGCATCTTTAATGGATCTGCGAATAGTATCTATGTGCTTATTAGCTTTCGCCGGATATTTAAGATCTGCAGAATTAATTCATATATCTCGATCTGATATTTTGTTTTATAAGTCACACATAGTCGTTTTTATTGAAAAGTCAAAGACGGATTTATACAGGGATGGCGCATGGCTTGTTATTAGTAGGACAGTATCTATGTGTTTATTAGCTTTCGCCGGATATTTAAGATCTGCAGAATTAATTCATATATCTCGATCTGATATTTTGTTTTATAAGTCACACATAGTCGTTTTTATTGAAAAGTCAAAGACGGATTTATACAGGGATGGCGCATGGCTTGTTATTAGTAGGACAGATTCCAAGCTGTGTCCAGTACCTTGTGTGGAGAGATATTTACAAGCTGCATCTATTCATCCAGATTGTGATCAGTACATTTTCAGGAATGTAAGCAAATGTCGTTCAGGCTATGTTCTTAGGAAGGACAATGCTCCACTGTCTTATACCAGGTTAAGGGAACTATTTATTGATGCTTTAACTTCATTTTGTTGACAATATCAAGAAGTATGGTCTGCAAAGCTTACGCAGTGGTGGTGCTACTGCAGCTGCAAATAATGGCATACCAGATCGTATGTTCAAACGACATGGTCGTTGGAGAAGCGAAAACGCTAGAGATGGTTACATCAAGGATAGTATTGATAACAGAATGAAAGTATCACTTTCCTTAGGCCTATAACTTTCTTTGTACATCTCGGCCGTGTATCACACAGCGTATTCCTATGTTTTTGGTGTTGTGTCTTGATTAAGTGTGTATAGGATAAGGAGAAATAATATTTCTCTCGTTTGAAGAATGAATAAGATAGAAATTATTTTTTCCTAGCGGTATGTCAATCACGGTGATTATGTGCCCCAAAGTGGCGTGATTAAGGGGGTATATAAGGGGTAGTACAATTTTGAATTGTTCTCTCTCGCTCACTGTGCATGCACGGCCATACACGTGTTTCTTATATTTATTTTATAAACATGTATATAAAAATTATATTATATATTTTTTTTAAAAACGTGTTCTTCATTTTATGATTTATTGATTTCGTGTGTTGAAGATAATCGTAGAAATGGAATGCACATTTGAGGGTAATGTGTACTGTTGTAAGTGATGCTATTGCTTGGCTGGCGAGTCTTTACAATACAGCGTTGCTTCATTGAGAAAGTCCATAGTTGGATGCAGGGATGTTGCTTGGCCGGCGGGCCTTTATAATACAGCGTTGTTTTATTGTGAAAGTGTGCATTGTTGGATTCAATTATATTGCTAGGCCGGCGGGCCTTTATAATACAGCGTTGCTTCATTGTGAAAGTGTGAATTGTTAGATGCAATGGTATCGCTTAGCTGGCGAGCCCTTATAATACAGCGTTGTTTTATTGTGAAAGTGTGAATTGTTGGATGCAATGATATTGCTTGCCCGGTGGGCCTTTATAATACAGCGTTGCTTTATTGTGAAAGTGTGCATTGTTAGATGCAATGATATCGCTTAGCTGGCGAGCCCTTATAATACAGCGTTGTTTTATTGTGAAAGTGTGCATTGTTGGATGCAATGATATTGCTTGGCCGGCGGGCCTTTATAATACAGTCTTGCTTTATGCATGATGTGTAATTTGTACATCTGTTAAAACTATCATTTTGCTGCAGAGCCCTTATATCACATATCTTCAAAATAAGACCATATTTACTAAGCTGCAGAGCCTTGATAATACTGCATATACTATGCGAGTTGCACTGTATATAATAAATTATAAAAATCATTTGTAACATGATGTACATGAATTGTTAGTATTTCTGTTTGGATTTGCATATACATGTCATGAGTATACTGTACACCCTCCAGTATTTGCTGCTGCATCAGTTGAGGGAACACGGTTCCAGATGTTTTCTTAAAAAAGTTTTTATATCTGGTTTTACGTGTCGGGCTTCAGCAAAATATAAATATTCATAGCATATTGCTGACCATGTATATACAAATGTGTGGAAATGAATATCTTTGTCTTTTACTATACGCAAATAAATTTGCCGTGTATCACACTGCGTATTCCCATGTTACTGGTGTTGTGTCTTGATTAAGTATGTATGTGATAAGGAGAAGACGACGTGACATGGCGTAAACCCATTTTAACCCATAGTTCAGGTGGATCACATGATTTACGCATTTAAGCACGAATTAGGTCAAAGAGGCTGAGCATAACTTTTGCGGTATGAACTGGTTTTATCACAGTGGGTTTATCATTGGATTAAGTAACTTGAATTGACCTACTGACCTATTATCCTTAGAGGGAATCCTGTTCTCTCTGGTAGATCATGTCTACTTCGTTTGGTCTCTGCGTCTTCGAGACTATTTTATGCGTGTCGTTTATATTGCTGGTATTCGTATCAGTATGGGGTCATACTGTCTACACTTGTCTACTCGGTGCTGTGCTATATGTCTGTTACTGGATCATACGCAAAGTAGGCAGAAACAGGGTTGACATACATGGAAAATACGTTCTTATTACGGGGTGTGATACAGGTAAGTCTCCACGTCTCTTAGATATTACAACATAGGTTTAGACTATACATGTAAAAATATAAGAAAGCCTGCTTAAATAGCAAAACATAATGGTTTGTTCAAATATGTCATCTTATTTGTTGTCCAGACACCAGGAGGTCAAGACTATTTTCGTAAGAAGTTGCTAATGTAAACAAAGAGAAGACTAACTAAATACATAAAAATGGAAAATATACACAATTACATCATTATGGAAATGTGCGGTGTATCTGTTCTTGTAAGTTGTAAGGGGGTGTGATGTTATGATTCCACAATTTCGGTATATCAGACATTGAAGTTATATTGTCACTGATGTCAAGCTTAACTTCCACATAATGACCAATGTCATATACAGGCTTTGGAAACAGCCTTGCTAGATTACTGGACATCAAGGGACTGAACGTCATCGCCGCGTGTCTCTCTGTGGAAAGTGACGGTGCCAAACAATTGAAGACAACAGGAAGCAGGCGCATGTGTGTTTTACAGCTTGACGTAACTTCAGACGAAAGTGTTGCTTCGTGTTTTCACACGGTGAAGACTCTATGTCACAAAGAAGGTACAGTGTGTAGTCTTAAATACACTTTATATGTTACAATGTTGTTGACCGCCTTCGGTGTGTAGTTGATAGAGCGTCTGCCAGAAGAACAAAAGGTCAGATGTTCGATCACCTGGCCTACCAAAACGACGTTGAAAGATGGTGCTTGTTGTTACCCTGCTTGGAGTTCGCCATTTAAGGATAAGGATAAGGATAAAATAAGGACCGGTCTGCTCAGTGTCAGTATGCTGTGTTTGAGTGGGATATACATGTTTACCTGAAACAAAATACCGGTGAAAATCAGAACCGGAATAAGGCCCAAACAAAACGCAGTCCAGTTCCAGGGAAACGTATGATTAGAGCTAGTGGGTCAACTTAACCACCAAATACCTCAAACCCGTGGCTTTGGACAACATCAATTGTTGAGGTATGACTGAAAACAATAAATGACTGTGTAACCTGTAAGTAGTAGTAGTAGAATGTTGTTTAAACGCTGCAGTCAGCAATATTCCAGCTATGTGACGGCGGTCTGTGATTGACAATGTCATCATGAGCATCGATCCACCGATCCTGCAGTCGACTCTTACGACAAGCATGAGTTGCTGAAGACCAATATTCTAACCCGGAATCTTCACAGGACGTAACCTGTAAATAAGGACATTTTGTATTAAAATATCCTCTTTGGTTTCTGACAATAAGTAACGGTTTAGCAATGGGCTTGGTTTAGCGCCGTTTTATGCAGTAATTTGTGTAAATCACATTACTTGAAAATTAAAATGTTACGTTTCAGGATTATGGGCCTTGATAAACAATGCCGGGATACTTTACACAGGGGATGTGGAAGTACAGACAATGGCTATCTACAGGAGAGTTTCAGAAGTCAATTTGTTTGGTATGGTGCGAATGTGCAAGGCGTTTCTGCCTCTTGTGAGGCAAAGAAAAGGTCAGGGACTCACGTTTTTTATTATATATTATATTCAAGTTGCTGACATAATTCGAATTTATGAAAAAGTATACACATAAATGCTACGTTCATTGCATGCGATTATATCTACAGAATATACTTAAGTAATAAGAACAGGGTTTTTTTTGCAAACATGAGACACCAGAGAAAAACCTTGGGAAAAGGCTAGGAACGTTTTATACTTAATGTATTCATACTGAGATAATTCGAATTCATTAAATAGTATAAACATAAATCATACGGTCATTAGATGCTGCCATACCAACGAAATATATTAATATCCAAATGTGTATAGCTCTTGCCAAAGCATGTAACAATGTCTCACTATGTTTTTGACAATCAGAAATGAAAGAAGTGATCTGAATATGGTAATCTCCATAAATGACCAATTGTGTGATCTTTTGTCCAGGGCGCGTAATCAACGTAACCAGTGTCCGTGGTCTACTGGCAGGTCCTGCTCACTCAGCTTACGTCATGAGTAAGTTTGGTGCAGAAGGATTCACAGACTGTTTAAGGCTGGAGATGAGGAGGTTCGGGGTCAAGGTCATCCTTATACAACCCGGCAGTTTTGGGCTCAGCACTGGTTTATTTAGTGTGGAGAATGTACGTATTACTTACAGTGTGTATACATTGTCAATTATCTAATTTATATTTAAACATTAATGAAACAAAATCAAATAGTATAATATCATGGGTAAGACCCCCCTCCTCCATATGAGGGGCGGTCGGGTAGCCTAGTGGTTAAAGCGTTCGCCCGTCACGCCGAAGACCCGGGTTCGATTCCCGACATGGGTACAATGTGTGAAGCCCATTTCTGGTGTCCCCCGCCGTGATATTGCTTGAATATTGCTAAAAGCGGCGTAAAACTGTACTCACTCACTCACTCACTCCTCCATATGTATATACTGAACCGCAAAAGAAACGTCACCCAAAGTAACATTGCGTGAAATGTTGTCATTTAAATATCACACTACTGTTGCAAAATGTATGTACATGTAATTGTTATATCCTCTGAGGTTCTTTGGTATCAATATATTGATATTCTTATATTTATCTGTAGATACTTGTGTAATTCTTTTGTTTCGATTTGTAACTTGCACCTGGAAATTGTTCGCGCCAAGCGCACACAACACTCATGTAGCTATGTATGACTTGATTATGTAACTATAGTCAATGATATTAAATGTATACAGTCCTTGTGGGTATTTATCAAAATTGTTGTATCAATCGATACGTCACACCATGTAATATTCACACACTCCAGAAAGGTTGCGTTCAGTAACAATACGTACATATTTGTTCTGAAATACTGAGCGGGATGAGCAAAACACAATACATGTACTGGAATATATTTATATATAAATAAAGCGACAAAATTAAAACCCTTTCCATATCCAATAGAAATCTCTGCATAAAGCATAACAATTCCGACAATATCATGAGCATGTGTTTATGAATCACTATCAAATTGTAATGATACCAGGTGTTTACGAAAACGTGAGCGTATCCTGCCCCACCAGTGGTACCCGTCATAAACACATACAAAGGCAAGTCAATTGTTCACCTCAAAATAAGAAATTTCATCGGACAAAAGTTTTGTCACTGATGCGTCAAATTTGGAAATGTCCTCCACATGTCTACCATAAAACTTTTTGAAAGCTTTACTAAGGCCTTGAATGCTGTAACCTTGATCAAACAAATTCCAAGCAAGAGTTACAGGACCCTTTTTGAAATCTTTGGATAGTGGATATTTAATTCTTTATCAACGATATCAAATCATCGATATGCCTGAAGCTTAAGATGGCCAAATCACCTTGTTTTGACTTTGCCAATCCGAACAAAAATTCCGATTTATATGCATAATGAAAAAGATCCGCATGAGGGAGGGGGGATAACTGGTGCCCATGGGGATGACTACTTCTTGTCACACACGCGCTATTTAACAGCAAACATCTTGAACATTTCCGAGCTTTAATTACCTCAACGGTATTTTTCAAACCATTAGATTGTGGTACTCACTGTCGTTTGTTTAACATTTTTCCTTAATCACAGGTTCGGCGCCAAAAGGTGGCGTACCAGCAGTTAATAGACTCTGTAGATGATGAAATACGGGCGGCATATGGGCAGGACTATTTGGATACATATCTGCGCGTCCCAAAGATGAACTCAAGGTCCTCTGACAAAGATCTCAAGAGAGTTTTGGATGCATTCGAGGATGCCATATTGAGCACTAATCCAGACAGCCGATACCTGGTGGATGGAATTCGCCATTGGATTGACGTATTATGTGTAAGTCAAACCTTTTTATATTAATTTTGTCATTAATGTCCACAACATACAATCATCCTATTGAAGCTACTGCAAAAAATACGATTCCTATTAACTGTAACCAGGACTGCACTTTTAGCATGAATGCAACTATTCCCTGGTCCATCCAAAGCAAAACGGGGGTCATGGGTAGCCTTTTCATCTAAGTTACATTAATTCCAGTACAGTTGCTGCCCTTTGTCGTGTTAGGATCCGACGATCATTGGTTAAAAATCTATGTGCCTTGGTTTTATGAGCACACCTGCTTATGACAGTCAATGAAGTAAAGTGGTAAGGCATAAAGCCTCTTTGAACTGTGATATCGTGGCGTGTCAGCCTAACGTTGTAGGTGAGCATGATGGTGGTTTTAGAAGTTGACAGCTATAGTGAAAGTTACAGTTGAGATACCACACATTTATAATTGAAATACACTTCAGTTCTTACGCTGTTTCAGCTGAAACTAGTCGACAACTAATGCTGTTATATAAATGTTACTATAGCTTGAAGTATGTTGATAGATGATGGCACGACTACGCAACGTTCTTCCGGTGTCCCTGATGGATGCTCTTTACCTCTGGCTCCAGCCAATGCCAAAAGAAGCCTTCTATAAAACTTAATCGTGAAGTAAGGTATTATTATACCTAGCCAATGTAATGGATCATTTATGATTTGAATAATAAAATGAAGTTGCTTTGCTCGAGGTATTGCGTTCAAACTTCAAACGTAACACAGTCTATGCATTAACACAACATACTCTCTAGCTGTTATTCCCTGTAGGCGTCTGTCACTGTAGGCATTAGTAGACCTAACCACTGCAACAACTACTGCGAGACGTGACCATAATAGTTAAAGTTCAGAGCATGTATGATGTGCACCATAGTGATCGTCATGGTCACAACACTGCCGTTTCACTTCCTTAATGATTTCCGAAGGTCCTTGAAGTTAAACATTGCAGTAGCGACTACGTGTGTACAAAGTCCATTGAATGTTACTACAATCACGCTTGCTCCAAATCCAAGTTAACAAGAAGATAAGGAAATGGACAAATCACAATTTTCAATTTACTTTCCTGGGCAATCCTATGTTTTTAGGGGATCGGAAATATGTGGTCAGACAGGGTCTAAGCATGGTAGTAGTTCCTGGTGAGATATTGAACGTATGCGTGTCATACGGACAGACGGGCGGAGGAGCGGACAACAAGGCAAGAGCTCATTTTTAACCTCGTTTCAGGTGAGGTAAAAGTAGACCATGCCATTTACACAGATAAACACGAATTAGGCCAAAGAGGCTTAACAGAACTGTTCCTTTTTGAACAGGTGCCGCCACAGTGGGCATATCCCATACCCTATTTCACAGGTGTCACACTGCGAATGCTTATGGTGTAGAAATGGAAACCGGTTCCCTACACTAGATCATGTCGAGTTTGGTGGACATACTTGGTGTGTGGGTCTTAGAGGTCACTTTTTACGTGTCATTTATATTGCTGGTATTTGTCTCAGTACTGGGACAGGCGCTCCAAGCTTGTCTACTCTTTATTGTATGCTATGTCAGTTACTGGGTCATACGCAAAGCAGGCGGAAATAGGGTGGCCACACAAGGGAAATACGTTCTTATTACGGGGTGTGACACAGGTAAGTCTCCTCGTCTCCTAGATACTCTGAGGTTCAAAAGTTTACATGTAAATTAGTCAGAAGAACGGTTTTATCATTTAACCTTATCTTCAGTTCATTCGACATTAAAATATTGTATTTTATCTGTTATCCAATATTTCAAAGTTGAGGCTATATTTTAAGGATTTGCCGAAACAAACAAAAAGAAGATTAGTATTTGTCTTTTGATAAACCAACTGATTAAATACAATAAACATAGAATGTGTGTAAAATTTTATTATTACAATCCCCGTGAAGATCTAGGTTAGAATAGGTCTTCAGCAACCCATGCCTGACTTAACAGGCGACTGTGCTTGTCGTAAGGGGCGGCTAACGGCTGGTCAAGCTCGCTGACTCGTTTGATGCATGTCATCGTATCCCAATTTCGTGGATCGATGCTCTTGATATCAATCACTGGATTGTCTGGTCCAGAGTCGATTATTTTTTACAGACCGCCGACATATTGCTGGAATATTGCTGAGTGCGGCGCTAAACAGACAACATAGCTACGGAATGGTGTAGTGTGATCTGTTCTTGTACACTTGTAAGATGGATGGTATGTAAACTGATTCAACAATATCGGTATATGAGACATTGCGGCAAAAGCTATACTGCTACCAAGACTAGCTTCCACATAGTGACCAATGTCATACACAGGCTTTGGAAACAGCCTTGCTAGATTCCTGGACTAATTGAATACATGAACATGGAACACATATATAATTACATTAGTACGGAAAGGTGCAGTGTGATCTGTTCTTGTGAAGTCGTAAGGTAGTGGTGGTGGGGGGAGGGGGGTGATGTCATGATCCCACAATTTTGGTATATCAGACATTGCAGATACATCGTCACTGCTGTCAAACCAAACTTCCACATAATGGTCAATGTCATACACAGGCTTTGGAAACAGCCTTGCTAGATTACTGGACATCAAGGGACTGAACGTCATCGCCGCGTGTCTCTCTGTGGAAAGTGACGGTGCCAAACAGTTGAAGGCAACAGGAAGCAGGCGCATGTGTGTTATACAGCTTGACGTAACTTCAGACGAAAGTGTTGCTTCTTGCCTTCAGAGGGTGAAGACTCTATGTCACAAAGAAGGTACATAGGGAAGACTTAAATATACTTTATATGTTACAATGTTGTTGACCGCCTTCGGTGTGTAGTTGATAGAGCGTCTGCCAGAAGAACAAAAGGTCAGATGTTCGATCACCTGGCCGCGTCCTACCACAAGACGTTGAAAGGGGGTGCTTGATATCCAGCTGTCTTGCGTTCGGAATTGCGTGGCTAAAGAAAGGACTGGCCGGTTCAGTTAGCGTTTTTGAGTGGGGCACACCATGTTTATCACTGGAGTGGTATCTCAGCGGACTATACTATAAATCTACAGCCCAAACTCATTAGTATTTGGCGAGTATCGTGTCGCGCTCGTACGACTGCTCTCTCTCTCTCTCTCTCTCTCTCTCTCTCTCTCTCTCTCTCTCTCTCTCTCTCTCTCTCTCTCTCTCTCTCTCTCTCTCGTGACGTTAAACCCCATTTTCACATCACCACCTATATGTTTTACTCAGGCAAATACACAGTCCAAGTCCAGGGATACGTTAGTATCAAAGCTATTGTGCCGACTTAACCACCACATACCTACAAAACAAAACTGTGGTTACAAATATCTTGTCATTATATTTGTCATGATACCTTGACCTTAGCTTATTTCCATAGGCGTCGTATATGACCACATTATGTGCATTGTGTCATAATATCATGTTTGGTTTCTGTGAATGAGTAACTGTTTAGCAGTGGATGTTGTTTATAGCCTCTTTTAGCAATATCATAAGAGACACTAGTAATTGGCATCACACATTGTACGTATAGGAAATGGAACACGGGCTTTAGGCGTGACGAGCGAACGATCCAATCACCGGGCTACCAATTCATGAAACTGAAAGGTCATTGACAGGATGCAACAACGAATCTAATTAACTGACAACTTATTAATGAAAATATAGACAACAGTTTTAAAGTTCAACATGTATTAAACCTATATATACAATTGTATATTCTCTCAAAATACGGCGTGTAATATCATGACTTGAACATTAAAATGTTACGTTTCAGGATTATGGGCCTTGATAAACAATGCCGGCATACAATACACAGGGGATGTGGAAGTACAGACAATGGCTGTCTACAGGAGAGTTTCAGAAGTCAATTTGTTTGGTATGGTGCGAATATGCAAGTCGTTTCTGCCTCTTGTGAGGCAAAGAAAAGGTCAGAGACTTACGTGCTTTATATATTATATTCAAATCGCTGAGTTATTTCGAATTTATGAAAAAGTATACACATAAATGCTACGTTCATGGCATGCGATTATATCGACAGAGTATACTTAAGTAATATTAACTGTTTTGTGAGAACATGAGCCACCAGAGAAAACCTGTCTCGATTATCCGACGAAACAGATTCCATTCCGTAAAAGGCAAAATTGTTGTAGGCAATTATATAAATGGATCACTGAAAATCGGTGATGCCACCAGATGTTCGTAAAAAGGTAGTTTGACGATCAGAATGAAAAAAATATTCTGAAAGATGTAATCACCACAAGTCACCCATACTGTGAGCCTTTGTTCAGGACGCGTAATCAACGTAACCAGTGTCCGTGGTCTGATAGCATGTCATGCTCACTCAGCTTACGTCATGAGTAAGTTTGGTGCAGAAGGATTCACAGACTGTTTGAGGCTTGAGATGAGGAGGTTCGGGGTCAAGGTCATCCTTATACAACCCGGAGGTTATGGGCTGAGCACTGGTTTATTTAGTGTGGAGAACGTACGTATTACTTAAAGTGTGTGTGCACGGTTCAGTATGGTTGTGACTATTATTTAACATATTAATTAATTAAATAAAATAAGAAGGGTATAAAATCATGTTTTTATAACAATAATATCTTTAAATACATTACATACTAGTTAAACAAATAGTAAATGTAATTGTGACAACCTCTAGGATTTTTTTTGTAAAAACACATTTAACTATATTACCTTCACGGGCAAAGATATCTTGTTTTCATAAAGATCGTATGTGCCTTAGCGTTAGATCACGTCACAAGAAACAGTGTATTGTTTCCGTGATTTCCGACCTCCGTGATGAATGCCTCTCCACACCATGACGCTTCCCGATCCACTTGCTGAATGCAATTTTCAGCGGAACGTTCGTTACGACGTCGGTACACACGGGCACGTCCATCAGCACGTCTCAGCATGAAACGGGATTCGTCTGTAAAAACAGGTCACGGCACCATCTCCGTCTACATCTTGAGTCATGTAACTCTCTGACGCGTCAGGATGTTACGCCGCACGGGTCTCCTGGCTAGAATACCAACGGTGGGGTAGCCTAGTGGTTAAAGCGTTCGCTCGTCACACCGAAGACCAGGGTTCGATTTCCAACATTTCTGGTGTCCACCGCCTTGATATTGATGGAATATTGCTAAAAGCGGCATAAAACCATACTCACTCACTCACTCAGATTTGTTTTGGCGGTTCAATATGTTTCTCTCGGTTAGTCACAACACAAATGGACATTATGGGTTCTTGAGTTGGTTCGCACTTAATGTCACTGTCTTAATGTTTAATCTTATTGCATTAAACATTCTTTTTCGATATTAGCGGATATTATGATATATGTAGTGCTCCGAAATCACATTTCTAACAAACGGCGTTAGCCAGAAGTTACAAATGTAAAAACCTCCTTGCCTCGATATAAAATATGTTATTTTAAAAAAACAGGTAAATCTCCGTAGCACTCTCTTTGTACATGTACTCTAACAGTTGTAATACCGGCATAGTGTCACTGTGATATGCTTTAAAGACACGAAACAATGGCTAGAAATATGAGTAGGTTCATCAATCAAAGCCAAATTGGTAATATGTAAATATTTTTTATCAAACGTAATTGTTACTGTAATAGTGTGTGAAGCCCATTCCTAGTGTTCCGTAAATATTGTATAAATCATCATTCAATCAATATCAAACTTATATGATATTTATCTCTCCATGTGTCGTTTTACAAATTTGGAAATGAAACGAAACAATTTTATTTATCAAGAAAAGTGACAAGTCGACACGACATTCGAGCCCAGAGCCCCCAACAATATATTTCAACTGATAAGATTGGAGCTGTCACACTTATTCGTTTTACAATGTAATGTTAATCACAGGTTGAGCGCCAAAAGGTGGTGTACAAGGAGTTAATAGATTCTGTCAATGACGAAATACGGGCAGCCTATGGACAGGACTATTTGGACACATATATGTGCGTCCCAAAGATGAACCCAGGGTCCTCTGACAAAGATCTTAAAGGTGTTTTGGATGCATTCGAGGATGCCATATTGAGCACTAACCCAGACAGTCGATACCTGGTGGATGGCATTCACCCCTGGATTGACGTATTGTGTGTAAGTCAAACCATGTCATATATCACTGTATTCAACATTATAAACCGTCGGGTAAAAGACGTTATACACCCATGTTTGATGGTGGCTGAACATGAAACAAACAAGAAATGGTTATTCGGTGGTAATCCGGTATTATAAGCCACATTACACTCATATAAATCAGTATCTCACATGACGACTAAAAGGGTACGGAGGTCGCAATTTCACAATTTACAGTATACGTAGTGAGCAGAGTGAAATGTGAATTTTGCAAATGTTTACTTTCTTTTGCCATGCAGTTTACAATCATCTTATTGAAGTTACTGCTTACTATCCCTATTTACTATGAACACGACTTCACTTTTAGAAGGTAAGCAACCGTTCCCTACCCCAATCCCAAGCCAAATAGGGGTCACTGGGTGCCTAGTGGGTGCAGTTACGTCCCTTTGTCTTCAAGGATCCGACATTCATGGGTTAAAAAACTATCAACTTAACAACTTAACTGGATGTTAACAACTTAAAAAGCGTCAGCTGTTTCACGTGGGAAATGAAACTAATGCTGTTACAGTATAATAAACGTTGCTATAGCTTGAAGTATTTTAATAGATGATGGCACGACTACGCAACGTTCTTCCGGTGTCCCTGATGGATGCTCTTTACCTCTGGCTCCAGCCAATGCCAAAAGAAGCCTTCTATAAAACTTAATCGTGAAGTAAGGTATTATTATACCTAGCCAATGTAATGGATCATGTATGATTTGAATAATAAACTGGAATTGCTTTGCTAGAGGTATTGCGTTACTTGTCTTCTTCGGATTGACACATTGTTGGTGTAAGTATCCATGTCTAGGAAAGAGATACATTGATGGCTCTAACACAATGATTATCAAGTCACTATGCTGGAACATTTAGAGTGAGTGAGTGAGTGAGTATGGTTTTACGCCGCTTTTAGCAATATTCCAGCAATATCACGGCGGGGGACACCAGAAATGGGCTTCACACAATGTACCCATGTCGGGAATCGAACCCGGGTCTTCGGCGTGACGAGCGAACGCTTTAACCACTAGGCTACCCGACCGCCCCGGAACATTTAGATGTGACCTGCAGCTGTAGGTAATAGTACCTGGGCCGTGAAACTAATCATGGTGCTCCTCTACTTCCATACCGATCAACGGATCCATTCATTTGTAAGCACCGTACATACGGGTCTGTTATCTGTTCTATGGTCCATACTCAAGTATTCACAGACCCCCGTCATAAAGCTGATATATTGCTGAGTGCGGCGTCAATGAACAAACAAGCAACCAAATAAACTTGTACAAATATATAATGGAAAGTAATATTGTATACATTTCTATAACAAATAAGGTCCACAATGGCATTAAAAAACAAGGAAACTGCGATTTCTACACGCGACTTCTTTATATTCAAAATAGTTTTTCTCATTCATGAATTACTTATATCGCAGTGATACACAAAGTGCGATGAACATTTTCTGAAGGACTAAAATATGCGTTTGCGGAACATGACACTTGCTTTCCTTTCGTCAAAATACTGACAATCCAGAAACTACTTTTTTGACACTCAATCAAACTTAAAGAAAAGTATGAAACACATGGTTTTACATTAAACAGCAAACATGTTTCTAAAACTTAACAAACAATTATATGCATCTGTCTATCAGTGGTTAAAGAGTTGCTTCCCCTTTCCCTATCCTAGAACTGGTGTTTGGGGCATCCGTCCAACACAAAGAATCACGTGGAGATATTTAAATGTGTCCTGGTGCATATTCCGAATACTATTACTCTCGTCCATTGTGCATGTCAAACTCGGTACACTCTGGGACATGCCGCTGTTTCACAGTCTAAGCACCATCTCTGTGTTTCAATGGAACTCCGGCTGTGCAGCAACTGGAGGTGGACCTCGCACCTTCAACATGAGATAGTCCAGGATTCCTACGGGGACGAAAGGACGAAGACGGGCCATAACCTGCCATAAATGTAGAATAGAACAACCGTATTACAATATCAAGATTGTGTTTTAAAAGAAAACAAATTAATGTACCGAGCACATATCGTCATACATTTTATGATTGTGTGAATAGGATTGTGTTTTCATTGCTGTGTTGTTTACATTAACGGCAAGACAGTGGCAATCGTCCTATAACATAAACTTTTCATCTGAATACGCCATCCTCGATTAGCCAGTACGGTATATCTTCATTGTATAATGAGCTTAATAAATATTCTGGACCCACTCTCCACTCAAGCCCGATACGGTGCTAAAATCAAAATGATCATGATCATGAGCGAATCGAATATTTACTTTTTTTCGAGTTTGGAGAGATTTAGAAGGTAACGTCGCTTCCGAAACGAAGCTATGGTGACGGATGGTTCCAGAGTATATTCGAATCCAGATATTGAGTGAGTGGGTGAGTTGGGTTTTACGCCGCTTTTAACAGTATTACAGTTATATCGCGGCGTGTCAGCTTAATGTGGGAGGAAATCCCGAAGTGATGCAGGTCTCAGACGTTTACCACTTCGGTGAAACCCACCAGCACGGGTATGGTGCTGACAAACCTAGAAACATAATCAGGGCGTTCGAACCCACAATCATAGGTTTCTGGCGTGCCCAAGGGACGCAACTCTGCACAGCGAATCGCGGCGCCTTAGACGACTGGGCCACCCGTGCCCCCGAATCCAGATATAGTACATATGCCAGTGAAAAGTGAGTTGACTTAGGTCAGAAAAATATGTGTTACATTGGTTGAACACCAGGTCTTACACAGTCAACGTCGAACCATTGGTTGCTGCCATCAACGAGGTATCGGTTTTGAGGAGAAATGCTCCTGACAGAAGCAACGAGGGCCGCCATCACTGGTTCGAGGTTGGGAAATGAGGTGGAACATCCTTTCACAGCCCTTTCGAACATCGTGTCTAGGTACTGGGGGCCATACGCTGTGATGACGTCATGACTAGCTGCTGACATCATTTCTGTATTAGCGTTCCGCATCCTCTGAACCTATATGACAAAACAAGTCTCATCTGCATAGCTGAGAAGATGAACCTAGTGAACAACATATCCATTTTGTAATTACCATATGCATTCAACGTTCCTTATTTCTTTCCAATCCTACCATGCATTTATCAACATTCAAAGATACAGTTTGTTTGACGTTTTACGCCGCATTAAGCGATATTTCTTCTTTATTACTGAGTCCAGACAACCATGTGGTTAATATTATGAGCACAGTCCCACGACGTCGGTGTGCGAAAACACGCAATCAACCAAGCCCTCGATCCTGACAACCTGATCCATGTAGGTCGAGAGAGCTTTGGGTTCATTATACATGTTCATCAAAACGTAAATAGATTTCTTGAAATAGTTGTACCTCCTTAGAAACAAAATGTATTTGTACGAGTTATTCGGCATTTGTTATAATAACTTTAAGTTTCAAATATGTTGGTAGATACCCTTTGTTTTGTTTATGTCTCAGGTCACTTCTGCATCCGAATACCCAATTCCTCATATACGTACATTGGCGTCATCCCAGAGTGCTGTAGCCCCGCCAAAGTTCCCTGGTTCTACGATAACGACCTTGACGCCAAACCGCTTCATCTCCATACGAAGACAATCAGAGAAGCCCTCAGCCCCGAACTTGCTGACGACGTACGTGGAGTTGGCCGGAAAGGCAACAACGCCTCGCACACTTGTTACGTTGATGACACGACCTTTCCAGTAATCAAAATACATCACTTTATTTTATGCTTCATTTCAGTCATTATAATTCTATATATTTTATTATGTTTTACTCAATAGACTAAATCATTTGTCTGTTGCTTAACGGTGTGACGTGTTCATTATTATTGCAGGCGGTGGTCTGTAAATAATCTAAACTGGACTAGACAAACCAGTGATTGATGTCACAGGTCTCGCCATCTTTGGACTTTTGTTTTGAGATGCAGCGGTATATTTAACCAGTGATGTAGTAACTCTGAATAAATCACATGTGCACTTCGGTGTGTGTGTTTGGCCTAGGCCAAGGCGCCGTAATTCCCCGTGTCGCGTTCCATAGGCGTGCGGACTAATGCCGGTTTTATAGTGCTATAGGCGTGCTGACAAATTCCGGTTTTGTAGAGCTACCTTGCCGCAATTTAACATGCATACCCCACTCAGACACAGTACACTGACACAGTACACAGGGAAATGACAAGTGCCATCTTTCAACGTCTTTTAGTATGACGAGGACGGGGATCGAGGCCCCGACCTTCCGCTCCGGGCAGAGGCGCCATGCATTTCACCATTGAGACGGTCGAAATGTTAAAGACTTGTAGATGGCCTACAACATCACCTTGCTGAATGGGGAATGGAATGTCACAGCTAAAAGGTCCAACAAAACAACAGCGTAACTAATTTAAAAAAAAAATTTTTTATAATTCTATATGTAAATGTACTCTTTTATATGCATTGTTTAATATCTATACATCACCTCACAAGTCAAAACCCGTATAGGTGGTAGAAGGACGAGCGATGCATAGATCCTCAACACAGCTACCCGTGAAGATCAGGGGAGGATAGGTCTTCAGCAACCCATGCTTGTCGTAAAAGGTGACTAACGGGATCGGGTGGTCAGGTTCGCTTACTTTTGACTTTTGATGCATGTCATCGTATCCCAATTGCGTAGATCGATTCTCATGATGTCAATCACAGACCGCCGTCATACAGCTGGAATATTGCTGAGTGCGGGGTTAAACAACAAACAAACAAAAAACACAATAACTACAGCCCTAGCTAGCGCTGGATATGTGAATGACTTACCTTTAGTTTTTCGGATCATTGGTAAAAAGGCCTTGGTGGTTCTAATCATTCCGAAGAGATTCACATCGGCGAGTCGTTTATACATGTCCATGGTGAGAAGCTCTACATCTCCCATACCTATAACACCTGCGTTGTTGACGATGGCCCAAAGACCTGAATAAAACCATGCGTTCGCTCTTTATTTCATTGTATCAGTTCTATATGCATTTCATTAACTAAAGAGGTTGTTGTTTGTACATATATTGCAACAGAAACTAAATGAGGATATTTTGCCACTATTTATGTATATTCTGGTATGGACTGTGTACTGAATTCACAAACATGGTAACCACGCTTGTGCTATGTACGAGTAAAGTGTTAACACAAAGGGTTGAACACAACAGAAATAATTTAAGGGAGCAAATGAGATGCCTCATTTCTTTTACTTGAAATCTGCAAATACCTCAAATTATATTCTTGACATACATTGTTTATATTGAACGCATTCGTGACACGCCGTATGTCATCGTGCTGTGTGTTAATGTCTGTTATTGGTATATATCACATAACAATAACAGCACATAGTGAACATAGGAGTGAGTGAGTGAGTGAGTTGGGTTTAACGCCGCTTTTAACATTATTCCAGTTATATTACGGTGTGTCAGCTTAATCAGGGGGGAAAGCCAGAAGTGATGCAGGTCTAAGACGTTTACAACTTCGGTGAAACCCACGAGCACGGGTATGGTGCTGACAAACCTAGAAACATAATTGAGGCGAACCGGGATTCGAACCCACAATCATAGGTTTCTGGCGTGCCCAAGGGACGCAACTCTGCACAGCGAATCGCGGCGCCTTAGACGACTGGGCCACCCGTGCCCCCCAGTGAACATAGGAAGTAAAGGCATCTTAAGCAGTGAGTGAGTTGGGTTGAATCGAGCTTTAAACAGTGTGCAAGTTATATCACGTCTCGCCAACTTTATGTTATTGTGAAGGTCCGAAGTGATGCAGGTCGTACGTTTACTACTTCGGTGAAACCCACGACTACGAACACCAAGAAACCTCGAAACATAATCGGGGCGAGCCGGCATTGGGAACTCATGACCATAGATTTCTTGCGTGCCCAAGGGACGCAACTCTGCCTGCACAACCAGACGACTGGGCCACCTCTACAGCAGGTAAACGTACACACGATAACGTGCCCCACGCATACACTATAATGGCATTCTGCTATCATGGAACTATATGTAAATTATTCAAACCCAAAAGTGATTTTGTCTCACTATATCTCGTGCTGTGCCCAGGTTTCGACACAGCATATGTTTTATTCCTTTAATTGTCTGAGAATCTACAACAGTATTCTTAACAGTTCAACGGGCAGTGCGCATCCATAGTTTTAACATCCCAGTCTACTGACATGCATGTGTGTGTTCAATACCTTTATCACCGAGTTTCTGTTGAACTGTTTTAACGCAGGCTTCGACACTATCATCGGAAGTGACGTCAAGAGGAAGCACGTGCAGTGTTTCACCTCCATTTTCCTTCAGCTCAGATGCACCGCTACCGTTAACATCTAAACACGTGGCCAGTACGCTGAAGCCCTGAGCGACCAGTCGTTTGGCAAGAATTTTGCCAATACCTAGGTACCAGTAAAAGAAAACAACAAAGGTCTAAAAATATAAAAAAATAAAAATGTGTGCCTGTTGTAACAATTCATTAAAATGAAACAGTTACACATTATGATATGTTCATTCGAAGTAATGCATTAATCTGTAATAAGTCCCTTACATTTATTTAGTTACTGGTCGCCAATTCATATCGTGTTGTGAGTGAGTGAGTGAGTGAGTGAGTGAGTGAGTGAGTGAGTGAGTTGGGCTTAAGGTGGTCATAACACCACCTGCTGAGTGAGTGAGTGAGTGAGTGAGTGAGTGAGTGAGTGAGTTGGGCTTCAGGTGGTCATAACAACATTCAAGACATCGGGGTCACTAAGAATGGATATGAGTGAACTCATGATGGGAATCGGTCCCGTGCCCCCGACGTGACGAGCTAACGTTATTACCACTTGGTTACCCCAACTCATCATATCGTATAAACATATATAGTTCATGTGAGTATCTTTCAGTCTCATCTCAATATACCGTATTCGACGTAATAAGCGCCCACGGCGATAATTGCTAACATATTGAAAAGTGAACAATCCCAACTAGCACCCCTTCCGATTGATCAATGTACACAAGACTTATTTATTCGCGTATAATACGGACTCGTGTGTTATATGCACCCTTAATTATGGGCAATGAAATTCTGGAAACATTTATCTGTCGTACATAAAGATTTCAGGCTGTCAGCATAAACCACGAAATTAAAGATATTAAACGTCTCGATTATCCGCCGAAACAGATTCCAAGACACCAAAGAGAAATATATGCTGTTTGAATTAATGATATTTCTATCTCATGAAGATAACTTAAAGATGTACCACCTACGATGTTATTACATGTTTTACATGTACCCATATGTTATTGTAATAATATGAAAGAGGTGAGGTGAAATGGGGTTTAACGTCGCGTCCAAGATTATTGCACCTATATAGCAACGTGCATGTACGTGTGTGTGTCTCTGTGTGTGTGGCTGTTTGTACTAGTCAGGACTGATGCCGATTTATAGTGCTAGCTTACTGAGATACCATGCCGCAGTTTAACGTGAATATCCCACTCAGACACAGTATACTGACTCCGAGCCGACCAGTCCTTGTTTTAGCCCTTTAATGCCGGGCGCCAGACAGGGTAGCAACAAGTACCATCTTTAACGTCTTTTGGTATGACGCGGCCGGGATCCGAACCCCGAACCTTCCGCTCTCTCGGCGGACGCTCTACCACTAGGCCACGGAGGCGGTCTAATATTAAAGAAGAAATCGCAGGACCTATATTCTATATCAACGAAGGGACAATTAGTACGTCATAAAAGAAGGATTTCATTACACGGGAACCTTCTTGCTGTTGTATACTCCACTAACGTATGGACCTTTACTTATAATAACATGTATTCATTCTTCAGTTTGGGTTTTCGTTGGTATTCACTTAACGGCCAAATCGATCGAATGGTACCCGTGAAATATATAGTACCTGTATCACACCCTGTGATGAGAACGTGTCGGCCATCTGGCGTTATCCGTTCCGTGCCTCGTTCCTGTATGACCCGGAAGGAGTAAAATATGATGAGGCCGACAAGACAACTGACAAGCACAGCTTTCTGGAGACAGGCATACACCAACAGGACCACACACCCACAGAATGTGACCTCAAAGAACTGCAGCCCTAGTGATTCGACCAGCCCCATACTGAAACAGACATTTTGTATTGTCACATTTGCAAAGAATTCGAAATACTTGTATACATGAGTTCCCTAATTTGACTTGTACCATTGTTCCCATGTTGAACAATTGACTTGCCTTTGCATGTGTTTGTGCCGCGTGCCCCCGGCGGGGCAGGATACACTCACTTTTTCGCGAACACCTGGTGTCATTACTATACTACCCATCAAAAGTTTAGACTCACCAGTGTAAATGTAGCCACTCACTATACTCAACTGTTTCAAACCAGATAATGCCAAATATTCTAAACTTTTGATGGGTAGTATATTTGATAGTGATTCATAAGCACATGCTCATGATATAGTCGGAATTGTACAATCGACTCTGCTTTATGCAGAAATCTCTTTTGGATATGGAAATGGTTTTGTCGCTCTATATATACATACAAACACATATACTCACCGCCAAAAGAAATGCGAACCATAGAAACATATAGAGAAGTTTGTACGTTAAGAAGAGACGTATCCAATGTGTCCCGCTTAATGACAAAACTGACAATCAGTCAAGAGTTACCACAGAATTTCTTTATTCTTATTACCATATACAGCAGGTGATTTCCAAACTTTACACGCTAATCCTGCACGAGAAAAATAGTGCATCTCGAGTCATGGATCTATGACGCCACATGTGATGCGTTCATGAGAGTCGGTCCACACAATATACCAGTATGTTCGTGTGTGCATCGAACCAATCTAATATATCCACAACATATATTAACCAATATGTATGGTATTCGCGTTTCTTTTTTCGGTGAGTATATGATGCATATGCATCTGTATTTCTGCCACAGGAGTTCTTAAGTTGTGCATGTATTTATAATATATTCACAAATGCTTAATTATGGCGATAACTGCGGTGAGTGACAATGAAATAAACCAGTCTAAATCAACGTTGTCTCAACAGTTCATCGTGTACATGGGGCGGTCGGGTAGCCTCATGGTTAAAGCGTTCGCTCGTCACGCCGAAGACCCGGGTTCGATTCCCGATATGGGTACAATGTGTGAAGCCCATTTCTGGTGTCCTCCGCCTTGCTATTGCTAGAATGTTGCTAAAAGCGGCGTAAAACCATACTCACTCACTCATCGTGTACATGTCGTGCGATTTATACAACGAAGTCGGATATAATTCGATTCCCCAAGTGCAGTTAAATAAAGTTATTGTTTACACGAACATCGATTTATATAAGAATACGTTCCGTTATCTCGAACAACAGCAACTGGTGATGATGATGCTATTGTTTAACACGATGTCATATTATTGGATCGTTTGTCGAGAGATACTGATTACTCGATGTGATCTTGCGAGTTACCAGGATTTCGAGTAACGTTTCACTCTACAGAAACGTGTATAGCACATGATGTACATTGCCAATGCCTGCGAATGTAAGAGACACGTCTCGAGTTATGCACCTGTGATCTGATCATGTACTGTTATCAAGAATAACACGGGTGCCTAATGCTAAAGTCCCATCTCAAAATGGTAACGTATATATTTCCACAAATACCACACAAACAGTAGACACAACTTATGGATGTTTGTCACGGTATTAAGATATATACCGAAACGTCGCCTTTACAGGAGCTAAAGAAGATGTTATCCATATTGTGTCTACTTTGTTTGTTTATTGACGTCAACTTTGTCATCCGTCAACTTCTATGTAATGCCACGCAAACCATACAAACATGTTTGAACCATGAGTGAATGAATTCGTTTTACGCCGCTTTTCGTTATATTCCTGCAATAATACACTAAGGGACGCCAGAAATGGACTTCACACATTGTACCCATGTGGTGAATCGAACCGGGGCCCACGGCATGACAAGCGAACGCTTTAACCACTAGGCTACCTCACCGCCCCGTTTGAGCCATGCCAAATACATCCAGGGATTACAACTACAAGTGAGTGAGTGAGTGAGTATGGTTTTACGCCGCTTTTAGCAATATTCCAGCAATATCACGCCGGGGGACACCAGAAATGGGCTTCACACATTGTACCCATGTCGGAAATCGAACCCGGGTCTTCGGCGTGACGAGCGAACGCTTTAACCACAAGGCTACCCGACCGCCCCTACAACTACAAAGACGGTACTCGAGTTTGCATACATTTTTAGTAAGATGATATGTTTTCTGAATATCTCTATACAGTGAATGTATTCACGTCAACCCTTATCTGTTGATAATACTGACACGTACACCTATACACATATGTGACGTGTACACCGAAACTGAACTAACTTGAATGTAAAACATTCGCTGAATTATTACATAAAGATGACACTCAGTCAAATTATTTCTACTCACGTTGGTTCGATAGGGTATGTCTCCACAGCAGCATACCATCAGACACTGGGGTCGAAGTTCACTGTTAGCGCAGGGTAAACACGTGCTGTGTGGCTGGTATGTCTCCTCGTCTCAAGGAAAGTCCATTTACATTATTACGACGTTTTAACATTACAAAAACCGTTCGTGCAAACGTCACATGTAATGCACTGCTGTATCCGATTGTAATATGTCATTTAACATGGTAATCATTATTAAAAATCGTTAATACTCTTCAGCGTGATCCCCAGATGTGCAGCGCCACAAAGTGATAACAGCTGTGGCCTTGGCCCATGTAGAGAAGACACCCACAAGCAGCATACACACACTCGGGGAGCGTGGATTTGTTAATGTGACCTGACAAAGTAAGAATTTTGACTTGTATCACACTCTATTATTATGTTTCATGAATAGCTGAAAATTTACCCTGGGAGTCTGCCTATGACGAGATATGACGAAACATAAGACCATCACGCACGTGACATACTCACATGCATGTGTCATATTTGGGAGGACAGTGTACATGTTTCTTCTGTCGGGTGAAAATATATCAAATCTACATTTGTTCCTTCTTTCATGCAGATTAGTTTGCATGTTGACAACAGACAACGCCATTGAGGAGAGTCTTTATCATCTGTTCGTCAACAGAAACCGTTAGTTGTGAGGGTCTGAACGCATGGTCCAATCACCATCGAACTTAAACAGTTAAAAGTGTCCTTGCTGCTTATCAAACAACTATAACCTGTATTTATGCAAGTTCTTTTCATTATGTGTTAGTTTTATGATGTTGTATCTTTATAGACGTTAAAATATTAGTAATGAACTAGTTCATGTTTATGATAACTGAAATCGTGGTACAGTATACTATGTTTATAACGAACACGCCTATAACGAACTGACGGATATAACGAACTGTTTTTTGGCCCCGTCCATTTGATGTGTATATGCTGTGTATGTGCTTATAACGAACTACGGTTATTACGAACTAAAATTAGTGGTCCCTTTAAGTTCGTTATAAGCGTGTTCGTTATAAACATAGTATACTGTACCACGATTTCAGTTATCATATAGTTTACTGTACTTTAATATCGAAAATTGCATGTGTATGTGTGAAGTACTGTTTTAAATCTCCACTGAATATAGTGTATAAAAAGCGTACATAATTATATATTTAATTCAATCTGAATATGTCCATCAATACTCAGTATATGGAACTGTTATATATGTTACACTTGCTCATAAAGATAAGTGTGTGTTAAACACAAATATAGACAAATATATTGAGTATGGCACTAGTAATTTCCTAGTATGAGGACATTTACAATGATAAACATGAATATTGCTTAAACTGAATTTCTTAGTTGTTGGGTAAGGTCGGCTTGCTTCGTCGCTAGATGAATGGGGATGCTTCTCAATGCGACTTATAGCACAACTCACACACTCACACACTCACTCACGCACTCACTCAAGCAGTTTAATGACATATTACGCATATTTAAACAATCATATTATTCGCATGTGAGTTAATTTATACACATATTGCTCCGTTTACGGTTGGATTAATGTACAAAGCTACGTCCGACACAAGAATTAATATAATTACAAATATACATCTTAAAGAGGATTAATGTACAAAGACGTTTCTTAAACGAGGATTAACGAAAACGATGTATTTAACACGAGGATGTACAACGATGCATCTAACACGAAGATTAACATACAAAGATGCATCTAGCACGAGGATTAATGTGCATAGATAAATCTAACACAAGGATTAATATACAAAGATACATCTTAAAGAGGATTAATTGACCAAGATGTCTCTAAAACGAGGATTAACGTACACAGATACATTTAACACGAGGGCGTACAAAGATGCATCTAGCATGAAGATTAACATACAAAGATGCATCTAACATGAATATTAACATACAAAGATGCATCTAACATAACGATTAACATACAAAGATGCATCTAACATGAAATTAACATACAAAGAGGCATCTAACATGAAGATTAACATACAAAGATGCATCTAACATGAAGATTAACATACAAAGATGCATCTAACACGAGGACTAATGTGCATAGATAAATCTAACACAAGGATTAATATACAAAGATACATCTAAAAGAGGATTAATGTACAAAGATATCTCTAAAACGAAAATTAACATTCAAAGAAGCATCTAACACGAGGATGTACAAAGAGGCATCTAACATGAAGATTAACATACAAAGAGGCATCTAACACGAGGATGTACAAAGAGGCATCTAACATGAAGATTAACATACAAAGAGGCATCTAACACGAGGATGTATAAAGATGCATCTAACATGAAGATTAACGTACAAAGACGCATCTAACACGAAGCTACATCTTTGTACGTTCACCCTACCCCCTTAAACAAATCAGCATCCGCTTACTAAGTTTACTGAAACGTGGTTTAAAGCAAGAAAGAAGTTGCTATCCAATCCAATAAAACGTTTTATGTCTTGACATTCTCCCAACGTATAACTGTCTATCAAAGATTTATACCGTGACATATAGTGACTATTCCTGTGAATATATCAAGTAGAGACCTGTTGTTTGTTTACACGGCGACACTCTCACAATTTACCGTTGTGAACTGTAGATGGACCTGCTCCAGACTTTGGGACCACAGGCCTTTGAGGTGACTTTCTTCCTCTCCTTCCTACTGCTGCTATACTCGGCCATAAATCTCCACATGCTAATGTCCATGGTCTTATTTTCTCTGCTCTACTACACGTACCAAGTCATCAGAAAGAGAACTGTCAAATATACATCACCTACAGACAAGTATGTTCTCATTACCGGCTGCGATACAGGTGAGTGTGAAGTTTGTTTGTTTGTTTGTTTAACGCCACACTCAGGAATATTCCAGATACATGACGGAGGACCCTGAATAATCGAGTCTGGACCAGATTATGCTTGGACGTACAGAATGAGGATCGATCTACGCAATAGGGATACGATGACATGCGTCAATCCTGTCTGACTATAGAGTCCATTTTGTCGCCTCTTACCACAAGCGTAGATTTGCTGGGGACCTATTCTAGTATGGAATCCACACGGTCGAAAGTGCTGATTCAGTTACATCCCAGTAATTAGGTATTTGTTCAATCGACGTTAAAAACGAGTAAGTTGAATGTTTAATTCCATATATGAGACGTGATTATAAAATTTAAAAAATTTAAAATACAATTACAAATACTTGTTTTTAAATTTATTAACAACTAGCTTTTCCATTTCAAAATCTAGATGGAGGAGAACATGTCTAAATTATCTATGTTTTTTTATAAACGTAGTGCTTAGCTATGAACACACGAATGCTTACAATTGTGTAAGCTATTCCGCCTTCTTTCAAGGTATCGGACACAGCTTGGCTATCACCCTAGACGACATCGGGTTCAATGTGATAGCCACATGCTTGCATGCAGAGGGAGAGGGTGCAAAGCAACTGAGAAAGGCGGGGTCGAAGAGGATGCATGTATTGGAAGTGGACGTCTCAAGTGATGACAGTGTTGCAAAATGTCTCAAATATGTCGAGAACGAATGCCAAACAATGGGTAAGCATGCAGCTTAAAAGTTGTATACTATTTTCATGATTATGAAGATACCAATGCCTATTCAGATTATGTAGTAGTATTGGCGTTTTGTTATTGGACTTGGTATAGGCCCAAAGTCAATTAGATAGGCGGGATATGTTGGTCAGAGGCAGCTGTTGTCATCCTGGTCCTGAGAGATCTGTTGTCTTTGTGGCCCAAAGCGGGTTATATTGGCCCGAAATAACTGGTTCATGGCCCAAGGCGAGCTATGTTAGCCAAAGGAACTGTTGTCATCATGGCCCAATGCAGGCTATGTTGGCCCCAAATAACGGTTTCATGGACCATGGCGGGTTATGTTGGCCAGAGGGAACTGTTGTCATCATGGTCAATGGCGGGTTATTTTGGCCCGAAGCAGCTGTTGTCATAATGGCCAAGTTCGAAGGCAGCATGAAAACATCCATATAACGGCACTTTTCTAATGCCCTAGTCTGCCAAATAACTCAAAATGCTCAAGATCCTGGATTCTCATACAATCACTGTCTACTCTCTTGACACCGGGGTGACCTCACTTTCGTAAACGTTTAATATTTTTAGTCGCTTCACATTTTATACTTCATAATTCAGCCACTACGAACATTTTAGAGATATGACACACTTTTATGTAAGATGACAAATAAGTACTTGTCCGGGTTTAATCCGACTTGACCTTCTAGTTTCCTTATTTATGGTTCCGGCTGACTTGGGTGTAGTATTGTCACTTGATTCATAACATATGTGGGGGCACGGGTGGCCCAGTCGTCTAAGGCGCCGCGATTCGCTGTGCAGAGTTGCGTCCCTTGGGCACGCCTGAAACCTATGATTGTGGGTTCGAATCCCGGTTCGCCCCGATTATGTTTCTAGGTTTGTCAGCACCATACCGTGCTCGTGGGTTTCACCGAAGTGGTAAACGTCTGAGACCTGCATCACTTCGGGCTTTCCTCCCACATTAAGCTGACAAGCCGTGATATAACTGGAATCACTTGATTCATAACATATGTTACATCTACTGCACATCAAACGGCCGGGCACCTGGCTTGGCATTATATCTCGGTCGCTGTAATGCATGTGGAGTAGTTCCGGTCAGTGTCAAGACGAGGCCAGATGGGAACAAATATTGTATTCTAAGTCTCCATCCACGTACAAATAATTGCAGATAGTCCATTCATTAACGAATCTTCTTAGCTCGGACCGACTGACCAACTGTTGTTCTGGTTGTTGCTTAACGCCGATCTCAACAATATTCCAACTATTTGACGTCGGTCTGTAAATAATCGACACTTAACACAATCCACGCAACTGGGATACTATGACACGCAATAAACTCAAGTCACCGTACCCGTCCACCAATCTGGGCCCTATATTTCACGGGTCTCGGACTATTTCAGTGTGTATAATGGTCATAATGTACACTAAAATGTTTTCATGTTATAATGCTAGTTTACTGACGAAATAGTTTTATATATCTGTTGGAAACCGAGTAATTTGGGGTAATTATATAGTGCAAAGGGCCATGAGTTAGTAGTGGGGTTCGATCTAGACAATCCGCAGGGCCAGTGCACTCTGCTATCACTGGGCCGCTTCAGGCTGGCCACGCCTATTACATCCAAGGGAATTTTGAAACGTCTAATTTTTTTCCAATTTCATCCCATGTAGGTAGTACAAAGTTAATTTTACTGGCAGCGTGTAAAGATATATGTCGGGTTGGCACATGCGCTATATCTAATACTTATTGATCTCTGGATAGGTTGGTATGGATATTTGCGATATATACTATATCAATAACACCTGTCGCCAATATCAGCACGCCATTGAAACATAAAGTATGTTATAGATCTCTCGACAGACATCGAGACTGACACAGTAATGCTATATGATTGCATTACATTTCATGTTTTACGAGACCACGTATCGTATGCAATGCACAACATTGTATCGTAATATTATTAAATGCTTTGTGTTCACTGTTATAGGATTATGGGCTCTCGTCAACAACGCTGGAATAAACTTTTTGGGCGATATAGAGCTTGCAACAATGAAACAGTACATCTACATTAACAATGTCAATAATTTTGGTCCTCTAAGGATGACGAAAGCATTCCTTCCTCTCATACGAAAGGCAAGAGGTATGTCAATGTTTTTATTTACAAACCAATAATACGTTGTACAGCAACTGAACGCAGATTACATGCATCACACACATCCGGAGAGGGGTGGCTGAAAAAGTCTGAGCCTCATGATCACTACGAAAGATGTACATTACATCCTCAACAATTTACATGTCTTACGTACACTAGTTCCCATGCTTACAGACGACATTTGAACCAAATACACAACCTGGTAGCATATTTCCGCAGACATCAAAGTGACTAAGAATGCTGTTGATTAAAATGGACAAAATTGACATCAAGTATCTCAAACTGAAAGGGCTAACTCCATCATCTACGGATGCGGACATGGTGTCGAGTTTAGGGATGATTATCCTTCCTTTGTCACGGTTACAAGGTGGGCAGTGAAGAGGAGAAGAAAGAGCCTCAAATATGACCCAAGATCTGGAAGACCACCAACTGCCACCACTGAGGCAAATGTTGATAAAATCCAAGATATGAATGTGAATGAACAACCACTCATCACACGTCTCCCATGAGAGAGTTGAGAACATTCCGAATAATGAATTGGGCATGGCAAAGGTTTCATCACACTGGGTTCCAAGGCTTATTCCTCCTGATCAGAAACGTTCCGGGCTGACCATCATCTCTCATGATGATGTACGTCCTTAAGAAGTAGCTCCAGCTTATTTTTTCACCAGGGATGAGTGTTGGGTTCACCACTAACAGTCAGTGCAAGCATCTAACACCTCCTCTGAAGAAGGCAAAGTATATTCTTGGATTCAACAGAAATCCTACTGGTGGCCCAAAAGTCACTTTGATAGCCATTAAGAAGTTGGAGTACTAAATTAGGATTCGATTTATGGATGAACAACTTCTTTTTACAATTAAGAGCGACGTTTTGTTGTAGATTCTAATACTGTTATCAAGCAAGTGATGACTTGCTTGATAACGCTGTTAGAACCTTATTTAATTAATGGCTAATATTATACTAATCTGCTTAGGAGAATAACAGTGTCGTGGAAAGCTCAACAAAGGTGTGTTCCACGAGGAAAATGCATATGTGTACAAGTCTGTTGCCGCCATGACTGCAGTGCATGACTGTTTCTTTGAACTTATTGAACATTCTCCATATTCACCAGATTTGGTCCCCGACAGCTTCCCCCTCCTTCCAAACTTGAAGCTATACCTCGATAGCAATTTGTAATACACAATGACACCCTGTCTGATATGGAGGAGTTTTTACATCACCAGGAGGAAACCTTCTACACCAGTGGGATCCATGTACTCCAGCATCGGGGATTATTTTGAAAAACTCCATCACTGCAGGCCATCGTTGTTAGGTTCAAACACTCCTCGAATAACACCAAGAACATGTTGACCATATCATAGTAATGTGAACCATACCACAAGATATAATCTTGGAACTTGCTTACCGTTACCCTTAGTATCCAGCTATATGAACACGAATAACCTCTATCTCGTTTTTAACGCATCAGGCTTGTTCTTTGGTTTCAAATAGATTATCTTCAATTGGTTTCAGGTCGCGTCGTGAATGTGACCAGCGTCAAGGGTAGGTTTGCCTTGCCCTCAAACGCTGCGTACAGTATGACCAAATGGGCAGGAGAAAATTTCTCAGATACTCTTAGATTAGAGATGAAGAAATTTGGGGTCAAGGTCATTATCATGGAGCCAGGGCATTTTGGTGGTGCCACTGGGTGCCTGAACAAAGAAGGGGTATGTATCAAAAGTTTAAATCGTTAAATGCATTTCAATCACTTCACCGTACGCCTTATATTGCATGGACAAAAAATGGGTTTTGATATTACCTCTTTTCAACGATTAAAACCCATCCACTAACCTCTTTTTGAAGGACTACTGTTTCCTTTGAAACTCAAGCAACATGTATGTTATATATAAGCCACTAATCAGACTACATGTAGTTTGATGTCACTCATGGTGTCTCCCCTGGACTGCAGGTTGCCCGTATAAGAAAGGATCTTGACGAGCAGTGGGAGGAATCGTCCGAGGACGTGAGATATACCTACGGGAAGGAGTACCTTGACGAGCAGTTCCAGGCAGCCATCTCCTCCTCCTCCACCAGCTTCCCTACACTGCATCCCATTATGGCAGCTTTCAAGGATGCCCTTTTGAACGAGCAGCCACAGAATAGATATCTAACGGATGGCAGCAACGGCTTGTACGATCCATATTGTGTAAGTAAATCTGCCCGAACTTTCCAGGGTGGTTGTTTTTGTAATAATACATATCTATGCCAGAATTCCTGTATACTTGCGGTCAACTGCTTTTCCTTCACAAACACATTCTCTGTAAATAATCATCTTGATACGGGCTCAGAAATAACGTTCCACACTTCCCAGTGATTCTACGATATTTGTTGATGGATAGTTTGTCATATGTCCTAAGTGTACTGCCTAAATATACCATGATCTTATGATCGCACTAATTATCATGTAACGCTCTACGGTATCTCTGCTGAATCTAACCTAAATACGAAAAGAAAATTTGAATTGGGAGATGCTATAGGTTTAATCATCTATGTCCGTTGCCCCTTTCAAAGTTGTGTGTGTTTGTGTTTGTTAATTATACTCTAAGACTATATTTAAGTTTATAGGTCAAACTTCATGAATACTGGCACAAACGTCAGTTGTATGTGCCTCCTCTCCTGATAAACACTACATAGCAAAGTACACACGGAACATGCACAAACGGCCACACAACAGGGCGACGTGTGATTTCAATATGGCTGCCATGACGCTTATCGAACCTTGAGTTTAGTTTCAGTTGCTCAGTATTATCCTCGGATATATAAAACGTGAAAGGTTCAAATGAATGTACTTAACGAAGACGGACAACTGGTCGTTGTAATGAAAAGAACCGACGGATCTTATAATATTGCGGCTCATTAATTTTGAAGTGATTCTGTGTCAGATTATGGTAACCTGTTGAGACAAGGATACAACAATTAAAGTCATATTAACGCAATAAGGACTAACCGAACAACCCGATTATACAGTCAATATCTCAGAGAGAAACTTGTTTAGTTGCAGACAGGTTTTAGAAGTGGTAGTTATGTTCAAAGAATTTATATATTACGCAAACAGAGAGGCACTGACACACTGACTTATGACTCTCCGCCAATATCTAACAATCTCGCTATTTCATACTGACTTTTTCTTCTTTCTTATCATTTAACAAACAAAAATTATCTTGTATATATTGTAAACTATCTCAACAATGTTTATTGTCTGTTTCAGTTGTGTGCCCGCTTGTATTGTGTTCTCCCTGAGACGTGGATGGATAAGATTGTAGACTATCATTTTGGAAGAGGGCCAGTCGTTAATGCCCTGAAATAGGAAACATGAGTGTAATGACGCTGGTTATTTTCCCAAACAAAACTATCTACCGTGTTGTGTTCATTTGAGTTATATATTCATCCTCAGACATCAACAGGATTGATAGGAATCAACAAGGGCATTCACACCATTGGAACACACAGCCAAACGAACGCACTCACACACACACACACACACACACACACACACACACACACACACACACACACACACACACACACACACACACACACACACTAGTTATATATTTATCCTCACACATCAACACGATTTTTAGGAATCAAAAAGGGGATTCGCACCATTGGAACACACAGCCAAACGCACACACACACACACACACACACACACACACACACTAGTTATATATTTATCCTCACACATCAACAGGATTAATAGGAATCAACAAGGGGATGCGCACCATTGGAACACACACACACATACACACACACACACACACTAGTTATATATTCATCCTCACACATCAAAAGGGCTAATAGGAATCAACAATGGGTTGCGCACGCACGCACGCTCGCACGCACGCACGCACGCACACACACACACACACACACACACACACACACACACACACACCACCTCAACACTCACACACGTCTCCGGATTGCGTATGTTGTTTGCTGTTTAACGCCCCCTCAGTAATATTCCAGTTATATGATGACAGTCTGTAAATAATCGACTCTGGACCAGACAATCCAGTGATTCACACCGTGGCATCGATCTACGCAATTTAGATACGATGACATACATCAACCAGTCAGCGAGATTGACCACCCGAACCCATTAGTTGCCTGTTACTTCAAGCATGGGTTGCTGAAGATCAATTCTTACCCGGATCTTCACGCGTATGTAGTTGACGCTATATGTTCAATAATTCGCTTCGAAATATGCAGCATTTTCTATCTTACTCAGATATTCTCAATGTTCAGGGATTCTGAATCATTTTTTGATTTAGTAGTAGAGTAATAATTAGTTGTAGAATATTAATACTCTGGGATTTTCCAGCATACACCCAGGAATACACTTGCAAACACACGGAGATTTTTTTTATACAATCAGTGCTTCTCCTTCACTGCTCTATGATTCTCTAGCACACACAGGGATTATCTACCAACTACTCTGGGTTTCTCTATCGAATTCTCAAGGATCTCTGTCATATACTCTGTTATATGTCAGGAATTCTTCATAGTACACCAATAGAGGTTATCACGCGAGTGTGTTTGGGGATGGTAAATATTCTGCATTAGGAATAAACATTGTATTTAGCGAGCCTTGGCGAGCTAAATACATAGTGTTTATTCCTAATACAGGATATTTACCATCCCCAAACACACAAGCGTGATAACCTCTTTATCATATCATGTCATTCTTTAATTCTGTGTTTCAAAATCGCTTTCCCTCTCTCATAAACATTACCGAAACATTGCGAGTTTTCCTGGAATGCGCGCATTAATATTTATTACGTCACAGGGTAAGTGATGTGTCAGTCGGACAGTGACAGTAGCCAATATAGTTCCAACTGAAATCTGTTTCTTATACAGTGGCGAAGCAATATATACGCAAAACAACAGTTGTTTGTAAATGCCTTTCGCGGCAATCCATCGGTCTGTCCGCTAGAGAAACTGCCCTTTGTCAAAGGGAAGCTACTCTAAACCTAGTCTACGAGACATCACGGCCACGGTCAGACGTTGTTGACAGTCGGCCTGTCCTGTCATAACGTTAAGAAGCGCAATCAATGTACAGACAGCGACAAAACGAAACAAGGTAACAATTCAAACATATTTCGGCCAAATCCAACTGTTTTAATTTGTGGAGAAGGTTTCAAGCACAGATATGGCTCCTGATCCCGCTTGGCTAGACCTCGTGCCCTCGCAAAATTGTTTCTCCAAAGTTGCCAAAACTTATAAAATGCCTTCGCTACGTCACAGTTAGACACTGATTTTCAGTATATTAGACTCTTCTTTTGATAATAAAAGCAATTATCTCTGTAGTTTATCCAGATTCCCGATGGTTAGGGCGCATGGGTGGCCAAGTCGTCTGAGGCGCCGCGATTCGCTGTGCAGAGTTGCGTCCCTTGGGCACGCCTGAAACCTATGATTGTGGGTTCGAATCCCGGTTCGCCCCGATTATGTTACTAGGTTTGTCAGCACCATACCGGTGCTCGTGGGTTTCATCGAAGTGGTAAACGTCTGAGACCTGCATCACTTCGGGCTTTCCTCCCACATAAAGCTGACACGCCGTGATATAACTGGAATACTGTTAAAAGCGGCGTTAAACCCAACTCACTCACTCACTCACTCCCGATGGTTAATTCTAACTCGATCGCGAATGACAAGGGCGACGCCATGTTTGTTTATAAACAGTGAAAGTAGTCCCTACTTGACCTTTGATATTTGTATCTCTATCCGCATATGGCCCCAACGGATATCGTTTTTATCCGTTGGCTTTATCCTGCCGAGAAACTTACCCATTACATGATAAAGGGATATATCCAGCGAGACTCATCAGGTCCATACTTGTATATATAAACGTGATAAACGAAACGAGACTTTAAACTGATATTTTTCGTAAAAATCTGATCATATATAGACAGTCATGTATATACAGGTGAATGACAACTCTATGATTACACATGTTGGCAGCGATTTCCAAGTTATAAAAATAAATCATGAAATAAGCCTATGTACAAATTTTAAACATATGTATATATGTGACATAAACAGAAATCACTGTGGAGTCATTAGAAGATCATGATGAAGATCTCCATTGATGCGAATGTTTGAGATTGTCAAAGAATATATATTTTTGCATCATCGGGTAAAAACTACTTTCCATTTACGGGTTACATATAAGATGATAATTCAGCAACAAGAACATTTGGATACACAATATCAGTAAAGCATGACACGTACAATGTACTTAGTTGTTCGATTACCATTAACTATTTTTTCTGGAATATTACTAAAAGCGTCGTAAAACTATATTCACTCACTTACATACTACTGCACAGATACGTTATAACTATGCTAATTTTGTAAAGCCTCACAATGATGTGACGTAAGTCACCATACGCCTCACAGAATTATACATGTATAAGACAGCTGATATCCCCTTTTCTGGAATAGTATACAGTGACAAGTATCACAAGAGCGCTTTGGTATCAAAATGATTTGGTCACTGCCAATAGGAGCATATACTGTTGTATACAGTCAGATCACATGGTTCCAGTTTAATCGGGAGATGCTGCATTTCGACTCCTAGATTTTGTTTGTTGCTTACATCCTCAGGAAGATTCCAACTGTATCACGGTGTCCTGTAAATTAGCGAGTTTGGTTGATATTGTGATCATCGTCCCACGACGTTGTGGTACCACCATGACACGTAATCAGCCATATCACCGAGCCGCGCCACCTAGGACGTTTAGTTGTTCATTACCAAAAGCATGACTTCTAATATAAAATTCGGGGGCACGGGTGGCCCAGTCGTCTAAGGCGCCGCGATTGGCTGTGCAGAGTTGCGTCCCTTGAACACGCCAGAAACCTATGATTGTGGGTTCGAATCCGTGTTGGCCCCAATTATGTTTCTAGGTTTGTCAGCACCATACTCGTGGTCGTGGGTTTCACTGAAGTGGTAAACGCCTGAGACCTGCATCACTTGGGGCTTTCCTCCCACATTAAGCTGACACGCCGTGATATAACTGGAATACTGTTAAAAGCGGCCCTAAACAAAACTTACTCACTCGAATATTATTCGAATCTAACGCTGTGGCTGGGTGTGAAATAGTAGCGATGAAGATGCATCTTTTGTGCTGGAGTTGATGTCTAGGCTTCTGCAAGTTGTTACAGATGCTACTGGTGAAGATGTATCTACTGTGGAGGAGCTGAATGCTGAGGTGGTGCATGTTGAACATTCTCGCTATGAAGATCGAACTAATGTGGTTGAGTTGATGGCTTGGCTGCTGTATGGTGCTACAGATGCTATTGAAGAAGATGTGTCTAGTGTTGAGGAGCTGAATGCTGAGGTGGTGCATGTTGAACATTCTCGCTATGAAGATCGAACTAATGTGGTTGAGTTGATGGCTTGGCTGCTGTATGGTGCTACAGATGCTATTGAAGAAGATGTGTCAGGTGTTGAGGAGCTGAATGCTGAGGTGGTGCATGTTGCACATTCTCGCTATGAAGATCGAACTAATGTGGTTGAGTTGATGGCTTGGCTGCTGTATGGTGCTACAGATGCTATTGAAGAAGATGTGTCAGGTGTTGAGGAGCTGAATGCTGAGGTGGTGCATGTTGAACATTCACGCTATGAAGATGTAACTAGTGTGGTTGAGGTGATGGCTGGGCTGCTGTATGTTGCTACAGATGCTATTGATGAAGATACGTCTTTTGTTGAGGAGCTGTCAGCTGAGCAGTTCCATATTGTTTCAGATGCTATTGAAGAAGATGCATCTATTGTGGAGGAGCAGAAGGCTGAGCTGTTTGTTCCCAGTTGTAGTACGTGTACACTGGAGCATAGTTCATTTCTCCTTTGGTATACTCCGTGTCGGCATCATCCTTTATGTCCACTGTGCCGAACACACTTTCTGCGTAGGATGGAGGTGCTAGAAGAGAAAAACGGTACGTTTACATTCCGGAGTTGGCAAATCACAGAGATTTGTACGTAAAGAACACGATATCACAAACATGTTATTATAGATCAAAAATAAGAAACGTGGGGCTTGTTATATAGCAAAATCACATTAGAATGATAGGTGTTTGATGATTGTTAAAAACGTCAGTGTGATAAATTTTGAGACGACTGTGGTTACTGGGGTATACATGTATATATATCATTTGACACTTTGATATTGTGACGAACATTTGCAAAGGAGTTCTGCCAGGACTGTGAAAATATACATACTTTCACAGTTTCCATGGGATAAAAGGCCCACAACATGAAATATTGTTCCAGTTATTGCTCTAGCAATTTTAGCCGTTTTATGTAGAAAGTTGTTGAAAATTCCAAATATGATGATATTCCAAGTGAGCTCACGCATTGTGTATTGAGCTGAAGCCTGTGCCCCTCCCTGGTGCAGCTGGGACTGGTCGGGGCCCTGGGGTGGAGGAGCAAACCCGTACTGCTGGAGTGTGGACCTGAGTGGTATGGATCCGATGATCAGCCTGAGCGGTACTTCTAACTGGAATGCGGGTCCAGAAGGATTCACACAGAACTGAAACATTGTAAATTGTCCATGCAAGAGAATAAACAGTCTTGATTATCCACCGAAATAGATTCCATTTGGCTTAAAGGGAACAATAGCTGTGAAAAGTATATGACTGTACCACTGAAAATCAGAGAAGACACCAGGTGTGAGGGAGAAAGCTAAGTACGTACCACTTGTATAATATACTTCGTTTATGTTTGATTTCGAGATGTAGAAATCAGAAAAAGCTGTGAGTGAAGTATGCTAGATATGGAAATCATACATTTTTCATTTATGATGGTATCGGGGGCGAAAGGAGTGCGAATCTTTGTGGGAATTTGTTTTGTTAAGACCAAATTTTCCGAATCAAGTGCTAAAGAATCCGATCATTAGTTCACATTTAATTGGGTCAAGAACCTACGTGTCCTTCTTTCGACTGGAATATCAAAGTTCGCCCAGCCTTATACTGACACGATCTTCTCTGAAAGTTGGTCAGAACTTCACGCAGAGAAAATCGTATCATGGTAAACGATCTGATTTAATTAAATTCATTTGATAGCACAATTCTACGTTTACTAAATGCTAAATGGAACTGTAATTGTATAGTATCCCGACATGGAGTTTTTCCTGTGAGAAACAGTGATGACCTTCTGAGCAGGAACACAGCTCTGTTTTGGTTATATTATTATGGATATTTACAGAACTTCAAAAAGACAATACCTTTACGAAATACTCAATTTCGATTATTCTGCATCCCTGTAACTTGGATGGCGGCACTGGTGGTATCCTCAGAAGGTCCCCATTCCATGAATCAGAGTCACCAGGAAGGATTTCTCCATGTGATATTTCCCCTATTTTCTGAAAGTTTGTTCGTGACTTCCGTGTTGCGTGGTACTTCACGACCTAAAAACATCGACTGTGTTTTCAAAAGCAAAACATCGTCAGGCATCATAGCGTGAGTAGAAATTTTAAAGTATATAAGATATAAGTTTTTGCTTGTCATTTAGAATCTTGAAGAACATGCAATCATGACACTTTCATTTGGTTCTTAGTCACGACGTTTCAGAGCTACTTCTTCCTCTTTCATCCCTCATTCACGTGATGAAGGAACAAGAAAGAGCGCTGAAAGAGTTGTTCATTTGTCGTATTTAAGGTGGAAGAATAATGGCATTGGACGTGTACATAAAGCTCTATTGTCAGAGATACGATATATTTTCTTCACATACTCTCAATACTGACCATGTATAATTCAGCATATGATCTGGTCATTCTCCTGTTACTGTGGTTGATGATCTCAGCTTTGATAGGAATTGATTCCCCCGGAACATAGCCACATCGGTCAATTTCAAACCTACAGCTGATTGGTCCAGATTTGCAGCATAAGCAACACAGAGTCTTTTCATTTTCACCCCTTGCACCTTCCTGCAATCATAGATCGCAAACATCCAAATAGTATATAGTTATACAAAACGATAACGTACATTCAGACAATTTATCTAAATAACATTTTCTTTTTAAGTTTCCATTTGCTCGGGGTGTGTGGAAGAAACAATGCATGGGATAGCTTAGCGGCAAAAGTATATAGTAGAGGAATGGCCTTTCTTGGTGGGCGATCAAATTAAATCGACATTCAGGTAGGTAGGTATTCATTCAATTAAAATTAAACTCGAGACATTGTATCTAGTGGTGGCTATCGAGGGCATATCCTTACTATTGCAATAATTCAGTTATGCAATTAATGCATGAGTAACTCTACCGTTTTGCAATGTAGATTTCCGTGATTTATTCGACATGATGACAAAGCCTAACAAGTCCGACAAGTCTGACAAGACTCAGTCTTATACTCAAGACATATACTTGTGGCTTACCTGAATGGATTGAAAAATGGGAAGCCGTACATTTTGAAAGCGAACGACCAACAGTTGCTTACAGTTATCGAATGATACGGTGTTTTTAATTAATTTTCATGTTGAGTTATCATTTAACTGGTGATTATTAATTTAACTTGCCCTCAATTTCACATGTACATGTTTATGTTTAAAGGCAAATAATGCTTGGCCTGAATATTTGTCTATGTCAGGCAAATGCTCAGACGGAACTATAAACGAAAGAAAACGCGTTTCGGATTGAAAAGTCATATTATCACATCACATTAGACACGTTACGTTAGATACATAATTTATACGTTAGATACAATTTCCTTGAGTTCACTCACCATAGCCCCAAGTTCAGTGTTGAGGTCCAAAAGATTGACAACTGTAAAAGCCCTTTTCGTTGTGTGGTCAAATTTCCATGGCTTGTCAATGATACCACTGAGCCAATATCTTATCCTCCCTACAGAGCCCTCAAACGAGGAGGGGAGTCCAGCTGGCAGTTGGTATCGGAAGGGGTATGTATAACGTCCTGCCGGTAGAGAAGGGTTATCCCCCCCTTGTCCTGACGCTGCAAAATACCAAAAAGAACCTGGTTGTTCTGTTCACTATAATTTCTCTACAATTTTGCATAATGACCTAAAGTTTACCTGCTAAAATGTACGTTCCAAATGGCTCGCGAATTCATGACTCAGAATCAACTGCAACAACAAGAACGTGACGTCATAATGGTTTAACCCGGGTTAACGAATGTCCAGTTAAATGATTCAAACATACGTTGCAATATCTCTTTCTTGAATATATGTTCCGCGAAGCAGACTTCCGGATTAACGTCGTCCGAATTAAAGAGGTTTCACTGTTCATTGTAACGAGCAGGACACCCGTTCCTGTTTCCAACTCCGCTTGTGTCAGATGTTAATTATATATACGTTTGATTTAAGTCATGATTTCTATATTTCCGACTCTTTTCGTGTTTCAGCTGCACAGAAAAGACATGTCAAAAGTTATTTTCAATTGGTTGATTTTACATGCACGCTACAAATCAATATTCTTGATAAGGATTTATATCAAGGGTGCGTATCATAATGCTTTAGAATTTTTTATCAGTGGTACTATCATGAAGCGGCAGTATCTATATCAAAGGTAGGTATCATAAGAATTCAGTAACTATATCAATGGCACATGTATGTATCATGAAGCTCAGATCGTCTTGACTGGGCGCCGCCATGTTGTTTGATGCAAATGCAAGTGATATGAGCAATGGAATCTGATTGGTCAGTAGGAGGGACATAGAAGGGACATAACTCGTAATAGCCACTGGTGGCGCTAATATCGAGCCTGGAAATTCCAGCGTAATTCGGCAAGGGTGGAACTGGTCTTTATAGTCAGTTAAAGCCTTGCCTCGGGAAGTTGGATCAGATATGACTTCTGTGGAATGTTTATAATAACTCGTGGGTTTTAATACCTTTCCCAAATAAAACCAGTTCATAGCTGAAGTAGTTCTCCTGCGATGAGTAAATTCTAGTAGTAGTCCGTCTGTTCTTCCCTGATCCCGTCGAATGTGACTCCGACCATCTCACAGTAGCACCACCGAAGAATTGGAGCCTTATGCCTGCAAATAAATCAAATTTTCGTCTTACATATTTCTGCCAAGGCGTATTTATTGCGACTGGATTGGTCTGCTTCTTTCCTTAACTTATGTTTGTTTGTTGTTGCACTCAGCAACATTCCAGCTATATGATGACGAACTATAAATAGTTGAGTCTGGACCAGACCAAAACAAGCAACGGTCAACGCCGTCGGGGTACGATGACCTTCAATCAACCAAGTCACCATGTCTGACCGCTCGATCCATCAGTCACTTCTTACGGCCAGCATAGGTTGCTGTGGACCAATGCTAACCCGGAAGCCCTAATTGGATAGCGTGTCTATCATTATGGTATCATGAAATCCCGTTAAAGGGGGGCAATGCTTGGGTGATTTGGTAGTACTGACAAGTTTGATTCAAGTCGTTCGTAGACTATTATATATGACTCTTGTCCTGCGGAATGTTTAATCACAAACACTGAACTTTATAAGGGGAAATATTAGTGTGACACATTAGTTTTCCCAAAGTGTGAACACAACACACGTCACTCGACAGGAGAGTCATGTCGATTTACAGGCTAAATAAATATTATGTTGATCCTCGAAAAGAAATAGGTCATGGTCGGATAATGCTAAGTATACTACTATATGCAATATGTATTTAATGCATTACTAATATTGATATACAAATATTACATTCAATGTTCTATGTACAATGAATTAACCCTTAATGCTTTATCAGTTCATCGGATAATGTTATCTGTCAAATAATATCAAACAAACATACACATATATACTCTCATCCCCCACCTATGGGATAAAAATGTCAACTGTGCTTCATATGTTCGTTTAAAGCAAAGTGATTTTGTCCTGTTGTCCTCACAACCTAGATACACACACAGACACACACACACACACACACACACACACACACACACACACACACACACACACACACACACACACACGTTTCGTTTTTCATCTTATAGATATTTCAACTGTTGGTGATCATTTGAACAACGTTCCATTTGTCATGCCATGACAGTAAATAGTATGCTTGGAAACGGTCATTTTCATCATACTTCATACTTAAACTTCAGTTGGATCACATGTTGGTTATACTATTTGAAACTTGTTTAGAGATAGTTGTTATTCAGTACTGACCTCTCATTTTCATTTCCCCATTCAGTTCCACTGTGACATGTCCCTCAAGGACCTGGCCCGGGTAATACACTCCTTGGGGATTATTTAAACTTATTGCAAATATGTTCAGTTTGCCCATGGTAGAAACTCCTGCGTGTAGACCGGTGTAGGTTCGCGATCAGACAATATGGAGGGAAGTATATGTTATCTATGCATTGCGACATATTGACATACAACGTCACGACAATCACACCGCCCGCTAAGGGGTGTGTGTCCTTGACAACGTGGTGATTCAGGTCACAGCTAGATAGCGGTTATTAACATACAATCTTTTGCGTTCGCGCTTCCTTCAGCCGTATATGTGAATATCAGTACGACAAACAAATGTTTAAAGCAGTTGACGTTTTGGCCCTGTTGTTTTTATCAACTGAGGAAGAAAGGAAATTATACCGAGTTTGTTTTTTATGTAATATAAAATTAAAAGAACTGTTGTTAAATTTGAATCTTCATGTTAAGCCGTCACTCAATCCTGTGGTAATTTGTATAAAGTAATCTGTGGGGAATTTTTGTGGAAAAATAAATAGTGTTTGAAAGGCATTTAGAAGTGATACATATAAGGAAGAGAATATATGGATGACTGACCTCTCATTTTCATTTCCCCATTCAGTTCCACTGTGACATGTCCCTCAAGGACCTGACCCGGGTAATACACTCCTTGGGGATTATTTAAACTTATTGCAAATATGTTCAGTTTGCCCATGGTAGAAACTCCTGTGTGTAGACCGGTGTAGGTTTGGATCAAGGGAAGTATATATATGGAGGGAAGTATATGTTATCTATGTATTGCGACATTTGATATGATGTTAGCACAGCGAGTGGTCGACAAAGAGGCTCTCGTAATACAATCATATCAGCGTCGACATATTTCGCAAGGCCTCGGCGTCACTACACTTACGCCATCCTGTCAGGAAGGTGTTTCCGTGCCAATCTGATGATTCATGTTTCAGCTTATTACTATACAACCTGTTTGACATTTTGGGTGCGACTCACACATGTTCAATGCAGTTGACGATTTGGCCCAATTGCACAATATATATTGAACTTTTCAATCAAACCCCAGCATCCCACCCCCACTATATCAAATGGTCGGTCCCTTAAGGTTTAACTGCCAGAGTGACACATTCTTGTATTTGGTTAAAGCTTCATTTAACGTACGCGTTGTGGGCTATGCACATCATCGTTAGTCTGGAAACCAACATATGTGTGCATATGTTAATGTATGTATAATATATACATATGTATATAATATGTGTATGTATATAAAATATGTATAAAAGTGTGTAATACTATATATATAGTATTACAAGTTTTGACAAGCACGAATATCTGGCCCCTGTTTTTGTGTATATTTAATACTTAAACACCTGATGAAATCACTTGTTTAAATATGTGTGTGTGTGTGTGCGTGCGTGCGTGCGTGCGTGCGTGCGTGCGAATGTATATACATTGGTCGGTCAAAGTTCGCGAAAGGTCGTTCTGTATCTTGTATCTTGATTTGAATGAGATTGAGGTAATCTAAGCATGTGATTAATCTTGTTTGGTTATTTAAAGCATTAATTGTTTATTTTTAAGCAAGTATATCTCTGCAGCCGTTGTAAAATGCAGCTACTAGCCGACTCATCTCGAATCAAAACACGCGATCACTGTGTCGGATAAACGAGACTGATTCATGAGTGATTTTAGTTATTTGTTGCAAATTAGGAGTGTCAGAGTCGGAGTGCGAGACTTCGAATTAACGGGTTTAAATAGCATTGATATAAGTCCATCATTAGTGGGGTTATGGGCAGGAAGAGCGAAACCTAGCCATAATCAACTCTAAAATCTCTTCGCTTTCGTGAAGCTACAGTAAGACTGGTCACGCTACAGTAAACACGGGATATTGCGTATACACAGAAATGCGTATACCGTAATTACAGTAGTAATTTATTAGATGCTGAAGTATAGTATAGTTGCTCAAAAGTACTTTACATTTAACAAATTTAATAACTCTAATACTTTAATATTTCATAGATGTACATTATAATTTCTACAAAACCAACAATAACTTATATCTTAAAATATAATGGTAAATACATAAATATATTCTATAATAAATTTGCGGTTGCACTGGCATACACGTTGTGTTCAAGTCATTCACTCCAAGTGGATCAGGTCACCAACGTGATCTGTGTACTCAACGTCGCCGATGACGTTGTTGACGAGATTATCTTTCAGAGCCTGAAGACGGTTGTCAATCAGCCGGTATCTTCTCTTTCTGGGTGGTGCTGACCAGTGGGCTCCAATTCGTTGAATGGCGACTTCTACGTTGGATTGTTCTCTTTGACAACTTCCAAAATGTTCGGATGGCTCTTCCTGGCAAGTTTGTTGAGTTTGTGATTCCACCCTATGTCTTTAAGATTATTATCATCATTATCATGTGCGTTATTTTCTTACCTGCAAAGCCGCTTGAAGAATGCCGTTTTCAGTGATCACCGACGCTCTGCAGGCAGCAACAACGCAGTTCCAATACTTCTTCTCACGGACCGTTTTCTTACAACGAAACTTGAATCCCTCATAAAACAAGTGCTGACCACCTCGCACGGTATCAACCATGGTCACTCGAACTTGTGCATTAGCCATTTTGGACATAGATAAATAAGTTGCACTCTTTATATATACCATCAAATACATACTGTATGTATTCTTAAGAAACGACTCTTCTCTAAACCCACCGGTACCATAACCCATATCAACTAAGAAACTAATTGTTTGTTCAATTAAGAAACTGATCATCATACATACATACATACATACATACATACATACATACATACATACATACATACATACATACATATACAGTCAGGTCTCGTTAATCCGACAATCGGCGTTATCCAACAATATTTATATATGTGTGCTTCTAGGATCTGTTTCTGTTTGTGTGTATACATGTATATGCCTGAGCGAACCGTATTGTGCAGACGGGATATGATGGTATGTGTTGTGTATAGTTTCTTTTATCTCTCGTCATTTTCCAGAGGGTCATTTTCAGTTTGCATTTCACACCATATCTCTTTTCATATTACACACTTGTCTTCCTTATTCCTCACAAGGCCAGTCAAGCCGCAAAAGCGATATTTGCACGGGTCCTTATTAAAGACTCTAACGGACGCAAAATACGACAAACATGAATATGTTACATATATGCATGTAATTATACTCAATACCGTATTCGACGTAATAAGCGCCCCTCTGTAATAACCACCCACGGCGATATTTGCTGATATATTGGCTAGTGAACTATCCCAATTAGCACCCCTTCCGATTGATCAGGGTACACAAGACTTATTTCTTTGCGTATAATATAATGTGTTATATGCACCCTTAGCTATGAGTAATTGATATCTGGAAAAATATATCTATCGTACATAAACATTTCAGGCTTTCACCATAAATAACATATGTTATATTTGGGATAACACTTTCTTAGTAAAGTACAGATTCTAGTACTTTTTGGGGGTTGAGTCCCGTACGGGATTCGAACCCACACCTGCCAGGGTGAGGCACCTAATCGCCAGCACACAAAGCGAAGAAACATTTTCATCTTTAACCCCATTTTACAACCTTGTGCAAGTGTACGTTCCACTTCAATTCGAGAAATGATACAACTAACTCTCACATTTCTTAACCAGTTTTACCTCCAACCTATGCTGGTGCTAACCTAATAGACACTACTACTACCGTATTCGACGTAATAAGCGCCCTGCTCTAATAAGCGCCCACAGCGACATTTGCTAATATATTGGCTGGTGAACAATCCCAATTAGCATCCCTTCCGATTGATCAATGTACACAAGACTTACTCATTCGCGTATAATACGCACTCGTGTGTTATATGCACCCTTAGTTATGGGCTAATAAATTCTGGATTATATATATTATATCTGTCGTACATAAATACTTCAGTCTGTAAAAAACACGAAATTTATCTTTCAACTCTGTTTTTTACACCAAAATAATATTCTAATAAGAGCCCCCTATTTCCAATTTCCTGGGCGCTTATTATGTCGAATACGGTAATTCAGACCAAACCTGTGGCTGTCACTGACTTCAGTTGACTTTCTGTTGAAAAGGTTTTGGAAATAAACGCATTTCCCGAATCAGCCGTGTTTGAGAAAAAAAATGTAACGAGGCTTAAAATAGATTAAATTCTTCATTTGCAAAATGTTTTGTTCAGGTTATAACCTTTGTGTATGTGCCTACCTATGACATCACATCACTGTCATAGCGGGTAACCGAGCGTGATGACACATACACAGTGTCACGATGAATCGTTATCATAACATTCCCCAAGGCCAGCCCCACGACGTGTATAACGTGATAACTAATTCCCGAGGAATCAGTTTCAGATTACTTGAAGTAGACGAGTTGTAAAATGAGATATTGAACCTGCTTACAAATGACGTTGTACTAAACAGGTTTGTAACTGAACCACGTATGACAAGGCGTAACAAAGGTACACCTGAATCACCAATACATCCATAGAAATGATTAAGTTGAGTTTTTCAAAACGGTTAGTCGTGGAAACTCAAAACGAGATTTGACATGTTAAGTACAAAGTAACACAGTTTCTTTACAGACTCTAAAATATTCCTATTCATTAAAACAGTTCATTTGAAGTGAAAGGAACAAAGTTGTCACGATCACGAATCCTCTTTCAGCAGTCCTTCACGACTTTTTGCCTTAGTTTTGACGCCCATTTCTTGAATATAGTCTCTTAAATTGGGAACAGTTATGCTCACGGATCAGCAGGTTGAACCGCTTGACTGTTTATTTCATCCAGTTTTGCTCGCTTTGCGCTTCGAACTTCACGTATCTCCTCATTCCAGTATTTAGGTCTGCGCTTGGTGTATTGTCGCTTGTCTCTTTTGGACTTGGAACTTTCTTCCATGCGTTTGCAGATCTGTAGGGCCTCCACGGTGGGGTCCCACTTGTTAGATTTCCGCTGATGTATTTTCTTGACAACATCATTGTGCTTCTCAAATGCTTGGCAGCTGAATTTTCTCAATGTACCAAATTTTCGTAGCATAAACGGTACGTGGTACACCATGCAATGAACATAAGGGGTTACGTTCTTTTCAGTGTATCCTGATAAGTGAGGGCCAAGTGACAAGAACGTTTCTACCCAAGTTTGTGATAACTTGAAGACTTCTTCTGCTCTCATGGGCTCAGAGGCGGTAATGGTGCTGTAGATATCGTCTAACAGCTTCCACAAGCTTAGGACTTTCTCCTCAGTGTTTGATTGAAGCTTCCCTTTCAATGCTTGTGGAAGTTTAGACAGAAGTTTTCTTTTTTCCAGCCCATTCAAACTTGTCCATTTCAGTTTCTTTGTTTCCTTTTCCTCCCAATAAGAAAATGGCACCCCACAGGATTTGATAGCCTTTACAAGTTCACCCATATGTTTAGGGTTCTCCTTCACTGCTGCACGCTCTTTATCTCGAGTCATTGCATCATTTATCAGGTTCTTCTCCAAGACGTCCGTAATCCGGAGCAGGAGATGCAGCTCATCCAGAATAAAGTCCTCCATCTCTATTTTCAGGAAAGGAGTATGATGGACCCCATACTCGCGTTTTACAGCATGTTCTGTTACTCTTTGCCAGTTCCTCATCATGTTGTCGCTGTTGAAGTAGTCCAATGGGTGTGTCATGTTGTGCCTGTCATCCCTATGCACTAAGCACCAAGGACAGGAATGATTGCAAGAGACTCCCCCAAGCCCCATCATTGTGAGGATCATCTTCATGTCAGCACAGAACACAATATTAACTGCTATCTCCTTGTCATCAATATGAACTCGCCCTGCTTCAATGACTGAGTTAATTTCTTCGCATAGAGGCTGTAATGAAGTTTTGAGTTTGAAATAATCTTCTCTGCAGTTTAAGATAGCCAGAGTTATGACGTTATCAGCACTGTGATTATCCGTGTACGTTGCGTCTACCAACCGAAAGGCAAATATTACGTAGTTCGATATGCGACTTACATGGGTTCCATCACTGCTTAATTGAACCATGACTTCCTTCAGATTTGGGTTTTCAAGTATTTTTTCCTTCAACCTTTTATCTAGTTCCTGTCTGAAGCTAACCATCGCTCCATTAACTTCTCCTGGCACTCGACTGATGGCGAGAGTGGCAGTCATTTCTCGACGGGTATTTATCACGGAATGAGTGCGTGGTAGATTTGGATATAACTGTGTAATTTCATGATAGGCAGCCTCGCTTACACAAAACCTGTCCATGACACCGACGAGAGAGCGGAGGCTATCACACGTAGACCCCGACGATTTATCACCTTTATTTTCAAAGTTGATTTGAACCTCTTGTCCACAGGACGAAGTACTGATGATGGCTTTGGGGACCAGTTGATACTGGGTGAGAAAAGACAGACTCTTCTTGGATTGTTGCTTGATAAGTGTCCGTCGTCGATGCTGTTGGCGCTTGTTCAAATCGTCATAATTCTCCTGTTTCTTAGGAATACTTGCATCAGGTTGACACCTAACTATTTCTAAGGATGCAACCTTATCCCAGTCAAAATAAGACAAAGGCTCATTCGGATCAACATTTTTGTTCACCAATTCATTTGTGAACAAGGCCAAAGAGAACGTTTGAGTTTTAAGAGTGTGCTTGTTGCTATCTTTAGTTTCATATCTTTTGCAAACGTCTAAACATTGACAAAGAAGAGTTTGCTCAATTCTTTCACTCTGCTGTAGCCTTGTCTTTGTGAGCTGTGTATTGAGCAGGTCGATCATGGAGCAAGTTTCATTTATCTCCTTGCTGATTCGGAGGTTGACCATAAAGGGGTAGGACATTTCGAGGGACACTGTTCCTACCCCTCCTCCATTGTTTTTCTTTTTACTGGGGCGTGGTCCTGAGGCTTGACTTTTTGGAATTATATTTCCTAGATCTGTACTGTTGGACATCTGTAAGGGATAGGAACCTGCGTTTTAATGAGTCAGCGTGTTAAGACAACGTAACTTGCGTGGTGTTTCTGACGATAGTACTTGCGTCAGTTCGACTACACGCACAGAATGTTACACTTCCGAATGGCTGTCATAAACTGAAACTGAAACAGAGAAAGTACCATTGAGACTTTAATATAGCGTGAGAGTCATGTGTGGTGAGGTTAAATGGGGTTTAACGTCGCGTCCAAGATTATTGCACTTATATAGCGACGTGAAAGCACGTGTGTGTGTGCAGCGGGTTGTAGAAAAAACAAAGCCCGATGCTCTTTGACACGTGTGTGTGTGTGTGTGTGGGGGGGGGGGGGGGGGGGGGGGGGGGGGGAAGGGGTGCTTGAACGAGTCCGGACTGATGCCGAATATATAGCGCCAGCCCACTGAGATACAATGCCGCAGTTTAACACGAATACCCGAATCACATACAGTATACTCCGTGCCGACAAGTTCTTGTTTAGACCCAGACAAGGTAACAAACAAGTACCAACTTTTAACGTCTTTTGGTACGACGCGGCCTGGGACCGAACCCCAGACCAACCGCTCTCGGGGCGGATTGTCTACCATTAGACCACGGAGGCAGAGTCATGTAAATAAGAAAATATTTATGTCGTTTTTTTGGCAAATGGTTTTGTGTATGCGGGTTGTAGAAAAAACAAAGCGCGATGCTCTTTGACATGATGCCATAGTGAGTGAGTGAGTGAGTTGGGTTTAACGCCGCGTTTAACATTATTCCAGTTATATCACGGCGTGTCAGCTTAATGTGGGAGGAAAGCCCACAATCAAACCAACAATCATAGGTTTCTGGCGTGCCCAGGGGACGCAACTCTGCACAACGAATCGCGGCGCAAAAAACGACTGGGCCACCAGAAATGACGCCGACAGATGTTTTAAGAAATCAGCTACACACACACCACAGGATAAATGTAGTCCTGTTTTATTGTATCGTAGATTTGTTGTTCTTTCGACCTTAAGTTAGTGGTCATGGATGATCTGCTTGCATAAAACACCACGATGTGGCGACTTGTGACTCTTATCTGTGCAAATATACGCTGCCTGCCTTACACAGGCACCCAACCCTGCTTCACAAGCCGACAACCAACACTCTACAGTGAGACCCCTTTAATCCGGACCGTGGCTGGTTACAAAAGTTTGGATTAACGAGTGCGTGAGTTTGGTTAAACACAGCTGTCTGCAGTATTTATCAAAGCGTGTCAGATTCATGCAGGTCTCAGACGTTTACCAGTTTGGAGAAACACTTTGGTGTTATGAAACCTAAAGCCTAAAACCTAAAACCGAAATCTTGGCTTCCAACCAGCGACCATAGGTTTCTGGCCCGCTCAGCGAAATGTGGCGCCTCGGACGAGCAGGTCACACGATTTCCCCTCGGATCAACGAACGATTCAAAGGCATAGGGTAATATGGTACATGCGGCAGATGACCACAACTGTCATTGACAACCATAGTCGTCTAAGGCGCCGCGATTCGCTGTAGAGAGTTGCATCCCTTGGGCACGACAGAAACCTATGATTGTGGGTTCGAATCCCGGTTCGCCCCGATTATGTTTCGAGGTTTATCAGCACCATGTCAGCTCGTAGGTTACACCGAAGTGGTAAACGCCTGAGACCTACATCACTCCTCCCCCATTCAGCTGACACGTCGCGATATAACTGTAATACTGTTAAAAGCGGCGTTAAACTCAACTCACTCACTGACAATCATAGGCCTGGCAAAAATGTATTTTCCTCTGAGTGCATATATAGAGTTACTGGTAACAACATCTCTAGTGATGGTTAAAATAAGACACACTCACGTTTACAGTTCCTTGGGTCATGAGAACACAGGTGAATTCCAAACAGGTTCCTCGAACGCTGTTGTAAATTGATACCAGATTACTTACGCAGTACTTGAAGTATGACGTTTGTTTCCTTATCAACCTATAAACGTGTGCATAATAATACCATAAAACAGGATCAAACATGTCCATTAACTTTCTATTGCCTTTTAAAATTAATCGGCACAGATATATGTAAAGGTTTCAGTAGCATGGCGCTGCTTAATCAGGAGTAACACACGTAGCGTGAAACTTTTGAATCCAATGCGCTAGTTACTATACACCGACCGTACTGCTCAATCAAAGTATTGAAATGTAGGATGCGTTGCATGAATTGAATGATTGGAACTATATCAATGAGGATATAAAATGTCACGTGGTATAACTATGTAATCGCAACAATTTATTGAGTTCCAGGAACATGATTGTTCATTTGTACATTTGGCGTTGAACTTTATCCGTGGACCGTAGGCGGATAAAATTAATTATTCTCGTTTGATAATAGAACGAATATCTATACATATATTTGCGGATTGATAAGATAGAGAGGTTTGTAAGATGTATGTACAATCAAACACCGTATTCATTCTATATTCCCCATCATCGGTTGTGTCGCACCTCGGATAACACGTATTTATGTAGGTCCCTTCAACTTACATATATACATCGACAGACGGGGAGATTGGCATTGGACAATAACCCATTGCAATGAAACTCACTCATTGTCCGACAAATTTATGTAAATGCACGTGGTCGATATACTGGGTGTATCGGAGGTGACGGTTCACGAGGTCATCTTTGAGGGGCTATGCTGTCCACATCCTGGAGGTCGGAGAGATGTCGGTTCACGAGGTCATCTTTGAGGGGCCACGCGGTCGACATACTGGAGGTCGGAGAGATGTCGGTTCACGAGGTCATCTTTGAGGGGCCACGCGGTCGACATCCTGGAGGTCGGAGAGATGTCGATGAACGAGGTCATCTTTAAGGGGCCACGCGGTCGACATACTGGAGGTCGGAGAGATGTCGATGAACGAGGTCATCTTTGAGGGGCCACACGGTCGACATTCTGGAGGTATTTGGGTTGGATGTGGAGATCTGGGTGGTGTCAGACCATGAAGTCATCAATGAGGGTCCACGTGGTCGACACACATACTGGAGGTCTGAGAGGTGTAGGTAAACGAGGTCATCTTTATGGAGCCACGTGGTCGACATATTGGAGGTCGGGGAGGTGTTGGTTTACGAGGTCCTTTTTTTTTGGGGGGGGGGGGGGGGGGGGGGGGGGGCACGTGGTCGACATACTGAGTTCTGAGAGGTGTCAGTTCGCGAGGTCATCTTTGTGGTCGACATATTGGAGGTCGAGGAGGTGTTGGTATACGAGGTCATTTTTGGTCTACGTGTTCGACAGACTGGAGGTCGGGGAGGTGTTGGTTGACGAGGTCATCCTTGTGGAGCCAAGCGCTCGACATATTGGAGGTATTGGAGGTCGCACGGTTTAAGGGGCCTGTGGTTGCCGAACAAGAGTTCATGGAGGTCATGTCGTCGCATCAGGCTGCAACTGAGAATTATGCCACTTTGATACTATCAGTATGTCATTTTTATTAATTAATTAATTATTTTATCAATGGGTGTAATCACAGATACCCATGTGTGGGAGCTGGAATATAAACAACTAACAAACAAAACTAAGATTGTTATTCATTCTACATGACATTGATTCTGATTGGTTAAAAAGAGGTTTCCTTTTGCTACAGAAACCCCTTTCAAATATACTAAGCAACTTCACGCACAAAAAACGTGCGTATTAATACATCGATAGCTGACAAATCGATTCATTAAAAAATGTCTGCCGATCGATCACCCCCATATGAACTGTAAAACTATCTATATTTCCTCTATTACACGCCAGGTTCTTAATGCACGCCAGGTCTCTAATACACGCCGAGTCAAGGGCTCTCGGGAAAATTAATAGACGGCCTCGCGTCTAATGGAGGAAATACGGTTTGATATCGATGTTTTTGGCGTCCTAGCTAGGCCGCGACCCTGACTGCCACGGTGTTACATTACAAGATTTAACGAAGGCATTTCTTTTCCATACAAATAAAATGTTTATGAAACTGGAAGGGGCATTCTATGGCGACCAGAATCGGAACAGTCTATTTCCTCATTGAAACAACCGGTTAGGGAAAAGTTAATCATATTTCCTGGTATTCGTTTGCATTTTCGTTTTACTGATTCGTAGAACTACGTTCAAGTTAATTGTTATACCTAAAATAGACTTTGTTTAATCGGACTCCACTTCCGTGTAATATGTTCACGTGATAGATAGTAATGGACAAGACAGTGTAGGAAGTATATATTTGTGCACAATACACTTTTCAGAACATTAATAGAATATTAAAAAATACTATTAAGTAAACCTGACTAAATTTCTTTTCCTAGTACTTTTCTCGGATACAACGTTTTAACATTCCTCCGAGTTATGCCAAGATAACCGAATGGTCGGTTATTAAACACGGTGGCACGGGTGGCCCAGTCGTCTCAGGCGCCGCAATTCGCTGTGCATAGTTGCGTCCCTTGGGCACGCCAGAAACCTATGATTATGGGTTCGAATCCCGGTTCGCCCCGATTATGTTTCTAGGTTTGTCAGCACCATACCCGTGCTCGTGGGTTACACCGAAGTGGTAAACGTCTGAGACCTGCATCACTTCGGGCTTTCCTCTCACATTAAGCTGACACGCCGTGATGTAACTGGAATATTGTTAAAAACGGCGTTAAACCCAACTCACTCACTCACTTATTAAACACACTGCATCACACTTCGTACACTTTGATACCTGCAATGCAATACGTGCACTGGTACATGCAAAATTACATACTGAGACAGTGAGTGAGTGAGTTGTAACAAGTCCCAAGCACGAGAATCTGATGGCACACAAGTTCAGTAGCGTGTATGGCCATGTGCGTTGACAACTGCCACACAACGCCTCCGCATGGACCTTGTGATGCTTGTGAACACATGATTGGGAAGACGACGCCATTGTTGCTGCAAAATGGTGCCAAGATCTTGCAAATTATGTGGTTGGTTCTGGAGGGTGCGCAGACTTCTGGCAAGAGTATCCCAGACGTGTTCGATGGGATTGAGGTCGGGGGACTTTGACGGCCAGTCTATGACGTTGACTCCCGCATTCTGAAGGAAATTCCTTGTCACAATTGCTGTGTGGGGTCTGGCAATGCCGTGTTGGAAGATCAAACCGGGTCCATGTGCTGCCATAAAAGGCAGAAGTTCTGGTCGCGGTAAGCAGCAGCGTTGAGGTTGCCACGGATGACAAAAGCCTGGAACGTGCATTGCCACAGAAAGCACCCAACACCATGACACTTCCGCCTCGAAATCTGTCAACTTCCTGTACACAACACTGGGCGTAACGTTCATGACGGCGCCTCCACACCCTCGCCCTACCATCAGCAAATCGAAGTTAATTCGGGATTCACTGAAGACGACTTGATTCCAATTCCTCTGAGTCCATCGTAAGTGTCGCTGTGCCCACAATTGAGTCAGAATCGGCCCGCAGTATGGCCGTCGTGCTTGAAGGTGAGCAGTTCTCAGACGGTTTCGAACAGTTTGCGCACTCAGTCTACCCTTAAACAGTTAATTTCTGGTTAATGTAGCCGTCAAAAATCGGTTGCGGAGGTGACGTAAGCCAATCTGACGATCCTCTGCATGTGACGTCACACGTGGTCGACCTGGCCGAGGGCGATCAGCGGTGGTACCCGTTTGCTGTAGACGCGTCTGTAAATCATAAACAGTCCGTCGACTACAACCCATCGTCCTTGCGACTTCAACTACAGACGTTCCCGACTTTTCTTTTCTTGTGTTTTTCTTTTTTTGTTAATGACTGCTAACAAATATGGCTGAAAACACGTGCGGTATTATGGCCACGTGACCAGTTGCACGTGAAAAAACACTGTTGCCATTATAGTGCTGTGCACATGATTTTGATCGATTCATTTGCACAAAAACAGGTGTTATCTGAAGACAATGCGTGGCCATTACTGTTTAAATACACAATAAGGGCCCACAATGAGAACTGGTAAAAAATGTTAAAATTTTAGGATTGTGAAGTTTTTAATTTGGTTCAGTATATTACTGATGAAACAAACACAAACCTGCTGACAATACAGTGGATACAACAGGAAAGTCATATATTCCGAGACTGGTCTAGCTATGCAGTGTGCGTGATAAGGGCCAGACATCATATTATCTGACTTTGATAGTATCTCTACATTTTGCCTTGGAGTATGATAGTAATGAAATTAGATGGGGATTTTTATCTGATTTTGTTCCCTGTTTCTGATTTCTGAGAAGGGCAATGACAATACGTTATCATGTCGATACCTTCCATTTTAATAAAGCGAACGGAATGAAAACTGCTTTCTTGCTCCTATATAGGTTTGCGATACAGGTGTAGCACAAGGTTCGTCTTTGTTGTTTAACGCCGCAGAGATAGCACAGCTATGGGCAAGATAACCTTGTGATTGACATCATGCAGTTGACGAAGCTCGACATCTGATCAATAAGTCGCCTCTGACAACAAGCATGGGTTGCTTGAATCTATGTTCTTATCCGTAATACCCACTTGTCGAGTCATAATAGTCAAATTATTAAAATAAACTTTACGATTTGTATGATAGCTATTGAGATCAAATAAAATGTCTTTGTAACACAAACATAAAATAACGAAAGTTTCATTAGAACTTGAGTGTGGGTTATGGAACGCGCACTGTATGCAAATGTCTACATTCAATTTCATTTTCACGTGACTGGAGTTTTGATTTTCTGTAATACTCGACAGTTACTACTCTTCAATGTTGAACAGGACATTGCATGTTCTTGTAAACTGTACTCGGCATTCTCGACTCGTTCAAAATAAATAAGCATCTTGCAATTGTCCACACTTGATTATATTACTTAGTAAACCTAATCAATAAACCCCGGCTCTTCTTTATTCTGTATGACAAATTGTTTATGATAAGGCTGAATACATACTTTACTATGGCGACCAAATATAAAATCCTGAACTGGCACAGACCAGACGCTTTTAAGATCAATACAACTGGTCGTGGACCGGTGATAACTAAAGTTGCATGTTACTCTGTCCAGCATAATAGCGTTTTCAGGTTGATGGGGTACGGGTATG